TAATCTGTCAAGGTCGTTTTGAAGTGTGATCCTGTCCTCTGGGGTGTTAGCCACCCCTCGCAGTTTGGTGTCATCTGCAAATTTGATCAGGATGCCCTTGAGTCCATCATCCAAGTCGTTGATAAAGATGTTGAATAAGACCGGGCCCAAGACAGAACCCTGTGGCACCCCACTAGTCACTCTTCTCCAGGATGAAGAGGAACCATTGATGAGCACCCTTTGGGTTCGGTCAGTCAGCCAGTTACAAATCCACTGAGTGGTAGCATAGTCAAGACCACATTTTACCAGCTTCTTTACAAGAATATCATGGGGCACCTTGTCAAATGCCTTGCTGAAATCAAGGTAGGCTACATCCACTGCGTTCCCTTCATCGACCAGGCTTGTAATTCTGTCAAAAACGAGATCAGGTTAGTCTGACATGACTTATTTTTCAGAAATCCATGCTGACTATTGGTGATCACAGCATTCCTTTCTAGGTGCTCACAGACTGTTTGCTTAATGATCTGCTCCAGAATCTTCCCTGGTATTGATGTCAGACTAACTGGGCGGTAATTATTTGGGTCCTCTCTTTTCCCCTTTTTGAAAATAGGGACAACATTTGCCCTCCTCCAGTCTGCTGGGACTTCGCCTGTTCTCCAGGAATTCTCAAAGATGACTGCCAGTGGTTCTGAGATCACATCTGCCAGTTCTTTTAATACTCTTGGATGCAGTTCATCTGGCCCTGGAGACTTGAATACATCTAGACTAGCCTAGTATTCTTGTACTATCTCCTTAGTTATTCTGGGCTGTGTTTCCTCTGCTGAATCATTTGCTCCAAACTCTTCAGGTCGGGCATTGTTTTCTTTATCGGAGAAGACTGAGGCAAAGAAGGCATTGAGGAGTTCAGTCTATGTTCAGATCTATGGATGTTCAGATCTATGGATGAAGGGCAGTATACTAAATATAGATAGATCAATAGATAGATCCATACTGTCCAAATTGTGTTACCCTCCTACTACTGACTAGTAACATTCAGCCATTGCAAACTGTGCACTGATAATGCTGTAACAGCCCCCTTTTAGTTATAAGCATGAATATGGTCCTTGTCAAGTATCCATGTGTAATGGGAGATTAGAAGCTCTAGTTGCAGTCTGCCATTTTGTTCCAAGGCTACAAATGATTCTGAAATGAGAGCCAGGTTCAAGCTATGGACAAACTATGGCTTCCACAAGCCACAGTTTGCTGCTTCTGGACAAAACAGCAAACTGTGGTTTGCGGCATATTGAATCGGATGTTTCTCATTTCTACCTCTTGAACATGAAGGAGCAAGAAAGAGGAGAAAGGGAAGCACACAGGCTCAAGACCTGCCATAGCTCATGCTCTTAACATCATGAGTTTTTCCATGGTTATGACTGAACTGGGCCCTTACATGGCCTTTTGCAGGATTGGGAGTCTTAATGACTACCTACAAAATTGCTCAGTAACTGAAAGACCCGTGGATCAAACAGTCAAGGATTAAAGGCACAGCAGAGGTCAAAAATGTTTATTAAAATTTATATCCACTTGACGGTTAAAAAAAACCCCCTCAAAGCAGTTTACAAAAATATATCCTATCTTAACCATGGGATCAGAGTAACAATTCAGAAGGCAAACTGAGAGTTCAAATAGATCTCCTTAGTTCTGGTAGTAAGTCAATGTATCCCTGTACAGACCATCCAAGTGTGTATTTTATTTATTTATTGCATGTATGTCCCATCATTCCTTTCATAAGCTCAAGGTGGCAAACATGATTTTCTCTCTCCCGCCCCCTCATTTTCTTCTCCCAACCCAACAACCCTTTGAGGTAGGCATGAATGTATGCATGAAAGCGGCGCTGACATTGTACTTCCTGGTTCTGCCCACAATTTCCATGTGTTTACTGTGTGTAGGACCTTCTGCAGCGGTTACATTCAGATTGTGCAACCAGAACATTTTGGTCCCACACAGAAGTAACAAGTTGAAGTCTGGAGATTGGGGTGTAGCTAAGAGGTGAGATCCTCCTGCCTCCACATATCCATTTCTACACTTTGATCACCTGCTAACATAACTCTCTCTTGCACAGCCTTTAAGTAGATAGGCAGAAATTTGACAGGACAGCTTTCTCCTTCATCTGGTAAAGCAACTGTTTGTGTTCATCATAAATTTTACAAGTTTCAACTCTCCAAGGTTTTAAAAACTGCTGAAATTTGTAATGCAAATTGTGATTACTAATTCTCATTATAAAATAAATAGATTAAATAATAAAAAGGAATGTTGCCAGAATGATATAAAATCTTGGGATTACTTTTTCCTCTGAGATCAAGAACATCGAATGTACATTTACATTATGTACAATCGTGCAAAATACATTTGCTGGATTATCTGAGGCAAAAATGACAAAACATTTTTTTAAATAATTACAGGATCATTAAGCCTAGGCAATTACACACAAATGGGCCAGCACATAAATGATTATTAACTGAACTGCTAGATAATGTTTCATACTGTTTGCTGTTGGCTATTGTATTTGCTTCTGTAGGATAGCAAATCTGGGTTTCCATTTGGACAGAATAGCAAATAAACTGATGATCTGTTGTAAGCGCATTTAAACATGGCTAGGCACATATATTAAACCCTACAGTTTCCTCTGTGTAAATCAAAAAAAACTTTTAAGAATGAGACTTTTGATCTATGCAAGGCTGAATTGTCTCATACTGCAGTGTAGCTAATCCACTATTTGCAACATTTAGGCCTTTGAAAAGTCTGCAAGGCTGAACCACATCTGGCAATTGGAATTATAATTTACCACACTCAGTAGTGATTAGATTACATATTTATTTAATGTGTATGAATCCACAGTTCCTGCTCATGGGGCACTTCCCCAAGAGGAAGAAGAGGAATCAGTTTTTGCCCACCTGCAGCAACCTGCCAAATCTGCTGGTCATAATGTTTTGGATGCCTCAGACCAAGGACCTGACAGCTTCCCAGCATAGCCTATCCAAGAACACCTTCACAGCTCTAGCTGCAGGCTGCAAAAATGGGAAGCTGTGCTTGGTGACTTTTTAGAGGAGAAAGTCACCAAGGTTTTCAGAGACAAGACACCAGCCAGTAAACACAACGGCATCATCTTTTTGTTCTAACTTCTCTTCCTTTAATACTAAAGGTTTTTCTGCCACTGCAATGCAGCTAGGCCACCACATTCTCTCCCAATGACCAACAGTGCTGTATCATGACAATGAAATATCATTTCACACATTGTTGGGAGGAAAAAGTGAGCAACCCAACCCAAAAAACTTAACCCTCTTTCTCCCCCAGAATAACTTGGCATTGTCTTCCTACTTACACCTACCTTAATCCCCTAAATTTATCAGTGAAAACAGCAGAACAGTGCTAGCCCTACTAAACCCAGCACAGGACTGTATGCCATTAGAAAGGTGAGGTAAATTTAAAGGCTAGGTCATGGCACAATACACTTAACTGAAAGATTAATTTGTTGTGATGCATTTTGCTTGTGTCTTCTAAATTATATGGACTACTGGGTGGGGTGTTGATGAGCAGAGAAGCCAGCATTTAAAACCCTAAATTCAATCTGAGGACCTTTGGGTTCTCTATGGCTCTCTCACTGTATGAGATACACACACAAAACTTTCCTCCACTTCCCAACCCAGAAATTCGAGGAAGAGGATGCCCTGGATGATACCAGAGCTGGTGAGAAAATGTACACTGAAGAGAGAAAGGAAAAGAGAGAGGGGGAATTATTTATGTGATGAAAAGTTGTACATCTGTGGATTTTACCTTTAAAGACAAAATATGCTTTACTATAGTGGGTGCATTTCATAATACAGTGGTACCTCAGGTTAAGTACTTAATTTGGTCCGGAGGTCTGTTCTTAACCTGAAACTGTTCTTAACCTGAAGCACCGCTTTAGCTAATGGGGCCTCCCGCTGCCGCCACGCCGCCAGAGCACGATTTCTGTTCTCATCCAGAAGCAAAGTTCTTAACCCGAGGTACTATTTATGGGTTAGCGGAGTCTGTAACCTGAAGTATATGTAACCTGAAGCATATGTAACCCGAGGTACCACTGTACAGTAAGCCCACAACTTACGCACATTTAACTTGTGCACATTCAGCATTATGTGCTTGGCAATAATAATAATGATGATGATTGAAAATATGAAAAGGGGGCAGAAAGGGGGTGGGTGTCTGAGCAAAAAAGACTTTGGCAATCCCTACCGCTGCCGCCGCCATTGCACCCAATGTGTTTTGACTATACATGATTTTGGCGTTAGGGACATAACCCCCATGTAAGTTGTGGGCTTTCTGTATTTAGCTAATCTGTGCACACTCCAAAACACAAACTGACTTCCCAGCTGAAGTCTGCATAGTCAATAGTAAATACAAATTTAAAAAAAACCATATAGTTCTACTGACATCTACTGGAAAGAAGCAACTCCTAATGCAGTACTTCAAAGTTGTTGCTTTATTTGTAAGACCATAAGTTTGCACATGTAGACTAATATAATAATTTTAATATCAGGTGTAAACACATTTTAGATCCATTTAATAAATATTTGTTAAATATAGATAACGAAGTAATTATAAGTAGAGAAGTGAGTTTCAGGAAAACTGTGTACCAGCTCCTCCTAATGATAGTGTTGGTGGATTAATCTGAACAAGACAGCATACAAGACCAAGAACCAATTCCGATTGTTAAATTTGCCTTCAGTGAATTTGAGCTGCCTTTGGCCTTGTTGTAAAATGTAATGGTTTCAACCCATGCATTTTTTTTGCAAGGCACTCATGTGCTTTAATTGCTATTAGCAAGAAACCTTTGAAAACCTGTGTGGCAAGACATTCCAGGGCCAGTGACACAGCAGGGTTTAATTCCTCTGGACGATGAAGCACAGTGTAGATTTATGGGTCCTCTGCAATGTTTTATTTATAAATATGCAAGTAGGGCACGCTGGAAACCAGTAAGCAGACACCTACAGCAGGCAGCAAATTTACAAATCCTGCATCAGATTCCCAGAGAGCAACATGTGCAACCCTGCTAAGTCTATTATTGAGTTTCTACTCTGCAGTTTCCAAACAGTCTTCAAAGGCAGCCCTACATACAGTGTGTTATAGAAGTCAATGCTAAGTTTTACCAGAGCATTGCTAACTGTTAGTAGGCTGTCACTGCCTAGGGGGTGCCATAGCTGGAACACCAGCCAAAGCTGATGAAAGTCACTACCTGGGCCGACAGTGACAAAGCAGGATTTAGAAGTAGCCCCAGACTGCAAAATAGATCCTTTGGGGCAGTGCAACCCTTTACAGAACAGGTTGAACACTATCTCTCTGATAGTAAATCCCACATTTGGAAAGCCTGGTGAGGCATGTGAAGGAGCTATATACACATACAGCACCGACATATGTGTCTATGGCTACTCTGTGCACGTGGGAAGATACTGGTGAGATTCAGGAAATGGCTGCATAAGTGCAGTGCATTAACTAAAATACAGTGGTACCTTGGCTGTCGAACGGCTTGGCTCCCAAACAAATTGGCTCTCGAACGCCGCAAACCCGGAAGTAAGTGCTCCAGTTTGCGAACGTCTTTTGGAAGCCGAACGTCCAATGCAGTTTCCGCGGCTTCCAATTGAGTGCAGGAAGCTCCTGCAGCCAATCAGAAGCTGCGCCTTGGTTTTCGAATGGTTCCTTGAGTCGAACAGACTCCCAGAACAGATGAAGTTCGACAACCAAGGTACAGTTAAACATTCCTACTTCTCTGCGTAATAGGGTTTTGGTTTCGGCTCTCCAAAGCAAGCAAATAGCCTTTTAGAAGCCCTCACCCTCGCCCCAATGCCAAGGCTCGCTTTTGCAAACCCCATATCCTACTCGTCTTTCCTGCTAGCTACATTCCTACTATAAACTACTTCTCTGAACATACCCAACCACTTGCAGAGCACCAAACCAAGACCCCACACTACAGACAAGACTGCGTACTGATGACAAGGGCTGTTTCCTTAATAGCAATCAGGAGCAACAGGTGATGTTGGCAGCCAGGACAATATTTCCAATTTATAGAAGTACTATAATTCCAGAACTGAACTGTTTCATAACCCATTTTGTAGGTACTACATATTTCCTCAATTCTAACCAGCATTGACTCTGTCAATAGTCGACCACAAAAAAAAGCTTTTGCAAAGAACTATAAGAGCAGGTTTATTTCATTCAGTGTCAAGAGTAAAACTAAAACTAAAAATCCAAGAACTTTTAATGCATTTTTATAATGGAGTTACTGTCAGAAGCGATTTTATACTTTTGTAGTTGATGGATATCAAGTTCGCTTTTCTTTGATTTTGGTAAAGATGCCATAAATAAAAACCTAACCTAATCCATTCAATACAACTATGCCCATGACATTTTACAGAACTGGATTGCAAATTGAAAAAAACAAATAAGAATAATAAATTCAGAGTAAAAGAGTTTGCCAAGCACATGAACTTGATGTCCCGTACTATCAACTTAGTGTCTCAGGTGTGTAGACAACCAAACAGCAATTTCCACTTGCAGACCTACAATTCACAAGAAGCGAGCTCAATCTTTTATGAAGAAACTATTAATAGGCATTAAAATTGCCTCACAGTTCTATTTCAATATGAAATACACTTACAATCATCACAGTAGTGAGCAAGCTGTTCAAATGAGATTTTTTTTTTAATCCCCAAGGTTGCAAATCAGTTAAAACATATGATTCAGCTAGCATTAAGCACTTTTACATACCATTGTTCCAATGTCCCCACTGTGGAAGGACATGTGGATCCAGAATTGGCCTCCACAGTCACTTACAGACTCATTGTTAAAACCGTGTTTATGGAAGACAATCTTACTCGGCTATGAGTGATCGCCAGAGAAGAAGAAGAAATGTTATGTATTACTTCAGGTGAACATCACTTATAAGAGCTAGTTTGATAGCATAGAAATTTGCAAGTAAGAAAAACTGGGAACTGAAAATACAGTACAAACCAGAACTTGACAGTAGGCTGAAGCTTCATTTTTCAAAGGTGTTTAAGATTCCTACTTGGTGCAATGAATTCTTCCTTCCATATGTTAACAGAAACCCTTCCCCAGAAGTGAAAGATAAGACAGGGAAACACTGAATTTCCGCATTTAATTGTTCTTAACAAATTAAGTAACTGAATACAGAAGAAATCTCATTTGTTTAAGGCCTTGGTTTCTGAGCAGTTGAGGCACTGAACAAACTGAAAACATTTTCTGGGGCTGCCACTGAGTTCTGTTAGTATGAAATATTTCTTTTTACTCCAAAATAGTTCCATGTCTTCGAGATAAAACATTTAGGATTACAAAAAATCCTTTCACTATCTGAGTGACTGGTGTTTTAACTGCATACATACAGGGGAAAGATAAAATGGCTATGCGATTTTGCAAACTGAATTAATGTTACATTTTCTTCTTGTCCTTCCTTATTATTTTGTTCTTCCCCAGCTGCTTAGATAAATTTTCCTAGAGAGAGGAGGAAAAAAATCAAAATGAGCATGACTTATTTCTTACTCTGCATAAGCCGCTGTGCTTTTCTACACTGGTAGGATACTTTCAAGGTTAATGATCTACAATTAATACTCTGTTTAGTTTTATATTTTCCTGATTCACTGAACGGATTCTGAAAAGATTTATACTTGTATCATTAAGATTATTTCTGAATGGAAAAAGTTGTCTGCAAAATGATGCTAACCATTCATAACCATTGGAGACGTTACAGAATAGATTCCATTTCAACTTTTTGCCGTTAGGCTTTATATAGGAACTGTTTTCTCCTAGGTATGAGTAACAGACAATACAACTGGAGCTCTTTCTTGCCAGCTGTGGGGCTTTCTGCACAGAAAACAGGCACTACATTAACAACATATCGTAAATAAATTACACTGTACTTTCCATGGCACACTGGTGTTGTTTCTGATTAATATAATTTTTAAAAGAGTAATGTTTAGACTATTATGCTTCATTTACCCCCTCTTTTATATGACCAAGATCAATAATACTATTGTATAACCCACTGAATCATAAAACACCACGTTTTTTTCAGAGCAGGTGGCGTTTTAGGGCTCTGAAAGATTTTAAGTATTGGATGCATTCCAAAAAACTTAGCAACTGGTACAAAAGACAGTTGATTTCAGATGAACATGAAGTTTTTACAGGTTTTATACCCTGTTTACAGAATTACCTTCAACACAGGGTAGAAATTAGTCTCCTAAAAATTCAAGACCCTCTGTCACTCTCTATAGCCTTTACCTTTAAAATTCTCCATCTCTCCACCACTGCCCACCTAATCTCCTCTTATTACATGTCTTAGCTTTGCCATGTCTCGTGGTGCTACTTGATCTTTCCCCCTCTGTCTTCAGTGCTCATCTTCCAACTCCTGTTCTTTCCTTTTGCCACAGAAATCATGCACCAAACACATCAAGCAGAAAAGGAAGCAAGACCGAAAAGTGGCGTTCAGCCACTCACAAGCATGCACCTCTGACTTTATTCCATTGTTTCCTTCTCAGAACCAGTCCCACACTGAACTTGTGGGGAGGTGAAGGAGAAAACTGTCAGTCCGGGGATTGGGCATGAGAAATAATATTCACCAAAACACAACCTATTCATTGAAAAAGCTTTCCCACCAAACTACTTTTAAACTTGGGGGGAAAAATTTAAATAGTAGTTTTCTCATGCAAGAAGTAAACTGAAAAATTCAGTTACATGTACATGCCATTTTAGAGTATGTCTATGTGTGTGGCATTTCAGCAGCCAGTTAACAGAAGCCATTGCTATTAGGGTAGACTTACAGGGGACTTGGCGTAGTTCTGTTCCACAAGTATATTTCTGGCACAATTGTTGATGTGTTTAAAACGATCTGGTCCTAGCAGGATACCACCATACCAGCGGGACACCACCACCAGAACATTGTGGACATCCAGGATCTGTATAAAAACACTTGTCCATTAACATCTGGAAGATGAGCTGTGTGACTTGTGTCTGCCTGGATGCGCTCTCCTGTATACAATGAGCGCATGTCATTGTTGATGCCACGCTCTGGAATATTTCTAGAAACAAACATTACTCTTTTTTTGTTTTAAGCACAAGCCAACTCTGTATTCCCTTGCCCAAAATTCTTTAATAAGAAAAGCTGGCATTGGTCCAGAAACTCAAATTCTGCACTGGTACGTCAACAATTTAGGCATATCCAGCATCTACAGTGGTACCTCGGGTTACATACGCTTCAGGTTACACACTCCGCTAACCCAGAAAGTGGGTTAAGAACTTTGCTTCAGGATAAGAACAGAAATTGGGCTCCGTCGGCACGGCAGCAGCAGGAGGCCCCATTAGCTAAAGTGGTGCTTCAGGTTAAGAACAGTTTCAGGTTAAGAACGGACCTCCGGAACGAATTAAGTACTTAACCCGAGGTACCACTGTACTTAATAAATTCAGCATCTGACTGTTAACTACTCTCGCTATTAGGGAAGAAGTACAGCAGGAAGAGGAGAGCTATTGTAAATGAAATGTACAGGGCTGCAGGAGTGGAGGCAGCAGCGCCACCTGCCGGACCCCAGACCTCCCATTCAGCGAAGGCTAAAATCACTACAGGGGAAAAATCCAGCAGGTGAAGCTCTTCTGGCCATGACGTGTAAAAAGGGGCATTGCGAGGGCATTTAGCTGAGTTTTAGGAGGATGCCCAGTGTGCTATCTCACAGCGTACGTAGGACCAAGAGACATGGATGGAGAGGAAGCTGCTGCAGTGATCTGCAACACTTGTGCCCTGTTTGTACGCCTGCAGCAAGAGCAAGCTGGAAGAGAAGCTACAGCAACTTGAAGCCTCTTAGAGACCAGATATTAGATGAGGCTGGAGCAAGACTGACTCATGGAATGCTGGACACAATCTTTCACCTGCCCATTGCATGTATCTAGTTTTTAAATACAGCCATACATGCCCTTGGACCAGATTAGGACCATGGCCTATGCTTTCAAATTATCTCCATTGCAAGATCCACAAAGATTCTTTAAAAGTTTTGTTGTTTTCACCAACATATACAAACAGTAAAGAATTCATGATAGCAAATACGTCAAAGAAGAGAATACTTTCCTCCCATCATTTAGCCAAGTAGGTCATTCCCAAGAGTGCTCTCTGACGGGGAGTCAGTTTTTGAGCCATTGCTCATAGAAGAAAGAAAACACCACCAAATCTCTGGGAAGTCATTGCCGAATGCTTTAAGTCCCAGATATTTTAAAACCACATTGGGATTTTCCAAAAACCAAATTCTGTCACAGGCATCAAATTCCAAGTGTTCAAAACTGTAAAACATGAACAGGTCATGTTGTCTGCATCTCCCTTAGGAGGAGATCTACTACAGTAAAAGGAAATAGCACACAGACAAAAAGGTGGTCCTCCTTGGTTTCAGACACAATTCATAGCAATTTCTTTTGTAATAAATCCCAGTTGCATGGCTACTCTTTTCATTGCTGAGAGACGGAGTGCTATTAAGGCTTTTCGGGGCTCTCGTGCCTTTAAATGAAGCGCTTCTAATTTACAGGTTCAAGCAATTTTATTGCCATCTATTGATTACATTGGGGGGATTAGTGACTAATCTCCCCTTGAGTAGCCTCCCTGAGAATTGCCCTGCATCAATTTCCTTTTCCCACAGGGGAGGCTAATTACTTATTTCCTTTTTTTTTTTTAATAGACAGCTAGCGATTTAATTTAAAAACAACAACACATACTTGATTCTTCTACTGTTTTGATCTGTTATGGCCTGGCGCACGAGGAGGATGAAGAACTTTCCAGCAGGTGCAGAGTTTATGGTTAATTGTGGTTTGATGTGACATATGAACTGGGCTTCTATGTAATGTGATGTTACCACATTTTGAAACACAGTGATGTGTGGCATATGGGAAAGGAATCTCACTGCACCATAATGTAAATGTAATGTAAAGGAAACCGGAGAAATTAGGCACAGACTGCCATTTTCAGTGTTTCTGTCTCTAGTATCTTTATGCAGATCTTGTAATTCTATGCCTAGAAACTGAAATTTCCACTAAACAGTACCTGGATGGTAGGATGTTTTTATTACTTTATAGTATTTCCATCATTTAGCTCCCATGTGTAAAAATACTCAAATAATGCTTTCTAATCATTATCTATCATCTATGTAATCTATCTACAGTGGTACCTCAGGTTACATACGCTTCAGGTTACATACGCTTCAGGTTACAGACTCCACTAACCCAGAAATATTACCTCAGGTTAAGAACTTTGCTTCAGGATGAGAACAGAAATTGTGCTCCGGCGGTGCGGCAGCAGGAGGCCCCATTAGCTAAAGTGGTGCTTCAGGTTAAGAACAGTTTTAGGTTAAGTATGGACCTCCGGAACGAATTAAGTACTTAACCAGAGGTACCACTGTATCTATCATCTACACTCAATACAGATTTGTAGAATAAACTTTATTTTAGAACTACAATCCAAACACTGGGATTTTTACCTGCATGAGATGGAGAAGACGTCCACCTGCGGCTGTTTCACCGTCATCTTCACAATCCTGTAAGAAAGTCTGCTTGTCTTCACAGTATATCCTAAAAGCAAAAAGTGAAACAAAAAGTGTCAAGTAACAAAGCAAACATCCTGCCATGTTTGCTGCTTATCCCATAATACATATCTCAACAATATTGTTTATAGGACTCTTACTTTTATTCAAACGCCTTAAAATCTACCATAACCAACTGTAGTTACACTGTATGACAGTGCAAGAGAGTTTTGATGCTATTAAGGTAACGCAATCAAGGCAGATGTTTCTCTCGTTCATCCCTCTGAAATAATTGCCACTGAAAATTGACTACTCACCTGTATGCGTATATATTGTGAGTAGCACTGGCTATTTTCTTATTCTTGTACAACTCAGCAAGAACATTTTTCACCTACAAAGGAAAAAAAGGGTTTTTTTCTCCCAACGTATAAATGCTTATATGCTTCACTTTTAAGGTTTTGCAAACAAGGCTCATTCTCTGCGGTTACTACTAAAACATTTCAATTAAATTAAATGCAACAGTGGTGCAGACTAAAATATGACATCCATACTTCTGGTACAAGAAATTATTCATTTGCACAAGTACACGTTTCCTTGGCAGTAAATGCCACTGGATGCAGTGGTGTATACGTCTGTGCAAATGTGCGCAAGACAACAGCCTGCAAGCGTAAAATTTAAGACAGCCATTGCCAACCTGGTGCCCTCAAGATGTTTGTACTACAATGCCTATCAGTCAGCATGGCCAATAGAATGACAAGAATTGTAGTTCAAAATATCTGGTGGACGCAAGGTTAGCAAAGGCTAATTTCAGATTTGGTGTAATGGTAAAATGCACCCAGTACCACCTGAGATAGTGATGCTCAAGGAAGTTAATGGTAAACCACAAAACTCCAAAGAACACGAGTGAAATGAAGATTTTCCAAGACAACCAAGGGTGCCCCAGAGTACAACTTCAGCTACATGGACTGTTGGGGCTTACAAGGAACATGGACTGGGATGGGGGAAGAAAATAAAGGAACAGGTTACAGATGGGGGAAGAAAAGAAAGGAACAGGTTACAGAAGGACTGATTCTTTGGGTTAGCATTTTTTTTACCATTGCCCAGCCTCCATGTTCGCCTGTAGTACCTTCTATCCCTTTCTTTGGAGGAAAAAGTCTGGAACTTGGACTGTATAACCAATGTCCTTAGTTATGCTATAACTATACATATTTTAAAAGGCACTTTGAGAATGGCTGAAAAATGTGATGCAAACATAAGCTGAGATCCTACATTTCCTTCTCTAGACAGAGCAGAGCTCATGGAATATACCTTCCCATCTCCACCACCCCCACCCCACCCCCTTTTCTCCACTGATCTCTGCAATTCTGCTCTGTGAGGTCCTTCAAAGTGGTATTGGGAAATGAGGGAGTCCATGAATGGAAGATGCACTTGGAATTCAAGCCATTGTCAAAATTTTAAATGAAGAGTGTGGATGGAGTAAAGAGAAGAAGGTGAAGATGAAGGATATAGCAAACTGTTGTGGAAGGAAAGTGCTGGAGGAAGATTGACCTGCAGCTCTTAGCCTTGGGAAAAGTTTTGTATGCTTAGAAACGTGAGCAGCCAGCCAGGTACACAGGGCCAGTCTTGTACATTTGGCAAGGCATGTGAGGAGGTGAAAAATGGGGCCCTTGATATCTTATTAAAGCAAAACACTGCTGATCAGATGCCAGAGAAGATGCACTGCCTGATCTAGAAAGTCACAAGGGGCTCTTTGTGTAAGAAAATGAAATATGAAGTGGTAGAAATAACGTCAACAGGCCTTTACAGATCAAGACATCAAAGGCTGCTTCTGGGGGTTGGCACCCTGGACCCACACACCATCTTCCTGTTTGAGCTCTAGGTCACTCTGTGTAGCCTGCAAAGCTTTTTTCTCACTCAGAAACTTAAATCAACAGGATCAACAGTATGTGGATTAAAACAACAACAACAACAACAACAACAACAACAACAACAACAACAACACCACCACACTGGGTTGCTTTTTTGCCCAATAGGTTACAGAATCTATTGTGTTAATCTGGGGAAATAATCAAGATTGATCCAATACCCCTTTTACACATTTAATCTTTGTCTGCACTGTAGGCCCTAAGAGCTCAATAAAGAATTAGATGGTAATTTATTAGTTGTCCTTTCCCCCCATATCTCCTTAAACGTAGTTATCTATTGTTCTGTTCTTATCAGATGCCTCATGTTTCCCTGTACTAGATAAACCTTGTGATGAAAAAACTGTTTTAATAAACAATGCATAATTAATACCACTTTAAGCAAAACATTATTAAAGCTGTGAGAGCTTGAGAAAACATGCCTGGCAAGCAAATTGCTTTTAATTCAAAAGGAGAAAAAAACGTCATCTCTCTAGAGTTATCAAAATACATCTCCAATATTTATCTTTGCAGTATTCCCATTATTTCACAGCAAATTCACTTACTATGCTGGGGAGAGGAAAAAAACTGATATAGCATACCTCAAGACACAGTTCACAGTATCTGCAAAGAGAATTTTGCTTTGAAAACAGTTTCCCAAATCATATATTTCCCTTTCTAAGGGGAAAAATGCACCAAAGGAGGGCAATGTAAATAACTAACTGTGCTAATAATCAACCAGCAATTCTAAAACAGTTCCCACCACCACCACCACACAAATGGGACTGAGCTGGCACAGTCTGGTATGTGTGCTCCTCCTCCAACATGGCGACGAAGGTAGTTACCAAGTAATTTCGTTTACCCTCATCAAAGTTTTACGTGGTTTTAAGCGGTTTTATCCTCCTTTGTTTTTATCCGAGAGTTTTAATGATCTGCTGGCTGTGCTGGCTGTCTTTTAATATCGCTCCACTTGTGTTATTTTGTTTTATCTGGGTTGTTCCGACCCCCCCGGATTCGCCGCCACGGCTGCCGCCGCCTCCCTAACTGGGAGAGATAAGTGAAAAGTTTTCCTGGGCATAAATCCTCTGCCCTGTCAACCAGCTATTTCCTTTTAGCTTACTGCATATTGCGAAGTGAAGTTTGCCCGACTGCTGGAACCGGGCTGTTCCAAAATCCTAGGAACAAGGAAGAGGGAAGGAAGAGGCTTGAACTGGCTGCCTTACTGTGAGTAATTTTACAGCACCACTCTCCTGGAAGTGGTAGTATTCCTGTGAGGAAGACTAAAGGATTTAAGGAGCTCCCCAGCACAGTGCTCACGACGGTTCCCCTGCAAAATTGATTTATGGGCCATGGAAAACGCCCAAGAGACCCTGACGAGGCATTATCCTCTCCGAGGCCTAAGCAATCAAGGAAGGGTTTACCTAAAGGTGGGAGAGGCCCCGAGGAATGTATCTACTCAATAGCAATTCAAAATCGTTTCGATCCTCTAACGGCCCTTGAAACAACATCAAAAGATGAGGCCCCTGAGACGCTACAAATTGGAAAAGCCAATGGTAACACAAATGGGGATGGTCCCTATCCGAAGGAGGTGTTGGTGGCCGAATCTGCGGACTGCACAGGTTGTGAGCAACTCCATCTAATAATTAGAACTCTAAACTGTATATTTAAGAGAATTGATGGCCTATCCTCTCAGCTGCACAGCCTTCAGCAAAAACTGGATGACCAGCCGGTTCAGACAGCCCAAGATGGGGCAGTAGATGCTCCATTGTGCCGGCAGAAAGCGCCACCAAACACTGATCGTATGAAGAACTGCAAATATAATCTCAACCCCTCACTGAATCGCCAATCCCTGACTCTACAGCCAAGGAAGATTTCCCTAACCTTCCGGGAAAGGGACCCAAGTTGGGCAACGCTACATGGGACTAAAGAGCACCTCAGATGGCTTCTAAAACTTGAGACATCACAAATAGATCTTTGTGCTGTGCTTCCCTTAATCCAACAGAACAGATATCAGAGAATGATGCTGGCTTTCCACTCTGCAAAAATCCCTCTCTTATTATTAAGCAAAAGTGTTTTTGAATAGTCTTGGCATTTTTCCAACGAGAGTCTTCATGGATTCCATAATTAGACCCCTCCTATCGGAGGGATTAATCAGGAGACAGTACAACCCTCCCATCCTGAACCACAAAAGAGGGCTGAGCTGTACACCCCATGTCTGGGCCAGTCCCAAAATGCCTCCACTCCTACAACTAAACACTACGATTGTGCCAATAACTCTCTGACACCCCAGGAGGAAAGAGAGCTTATCGCCTCCTTTGGTGAGTTACCTGCGATGGAACAACAAGAAATTATAAATAGGCTAGTCTGGTATGTGTGCATTAGTAGTGCATTCCTATGAATATCTACTCAGGAGTATGTCCCACTGAGGCCAGTGGGCTATACTCCAAACTCTAGTGGTGCAGCAATAAAACTTCTGGCAAATTTGCAAAACTAAGCAGGGTTTCAAATTGGATGGTGGACCACATGTTGAGATGCCTGCATTGCAGGGGGTTGGACTAGATAACTGCCAGGTCCCTTGAAACTTCAGTCACTGCAGGTATTCATATCAGCAGAAGGGAACAGCCTAGGAAACAACGGAGGCGTTTGCACTGCACCAAATCCCACTATGGTTGCTCACAGATGTATTTCCCTCAGGTAATTTATTTGCAGAGGCATAAAGCTGGCCAAGGGACGCGGGTGGCACTGTGGTCTAAACCACTGAGCCTCTTGGGCTTGCCGATCAGAAGGTCGGTGGTTTGAATCCCTGCGACGGGGTGAGCTCCCGTTCCTTGGTCCCTGCTCCTGCCAACCTAACAGTTCGAAAGCACGCCAAAAAGTGCAAGTAGATAAATAGGTACCGCTCCGGCGAGAGAGTAACGGCATTTCCGTGCACTGCTCTGGTTTCGGTGCTCCGTTGCACTAGAAGCGGCTTAGTTATGCTGGCCACATGACCCGAAAAACTGTCTGTGAGACAAACGCCGGCTCCCTTGGCCTGTAAAGCGAGATGAGCGCAGCAACCCCAGAGACGTCTGCGACTGGACTTAACTGTCTAGGGTCCTTTACCTTTTTTAAAGCTGACCACTGTGCATACTTTGGTCTTATGCTTTTCAAATAAAAGCTTTCATGGAACAGATAATGCCTGTAGGACTCTGTAAGTTATCCCAGAGCTGAGGATAACATGTGCTATTTCTGTGCAATCCATTGCTCAGTTTCAAGCCAGATATACAACCCTATCAATTCAAAAGGTTACCACTCATCTTTTCTTATCTGATTATCTTGAATCCAAATTACTGCACACCTCTTTTTTTACAAATATCCTGAATCCAAAAGGCTACCACGCATCTCTTCTTTCAAGATGATCCTGAATCTAAATTTTAATCTGGATAGCAATATTTAAGCCAATAAAACCCTCTGGAATGGATCAGAAATCTGTATTTTGCAGAAAAAAACATATTTGTGGTGTTTGTGTTAAGCAAATAAAAACATATACATACATGCTTACAAATGTATACTTATAACCTAGAGAGGAGGAGACTGAAAGGCCTGTCAGAAAGCAGATTTTACTAACCTGTTTGGGGCTCACAACAGGTGCTAAATGTGCCTGGAAAGTGCTTCTTCGGTCTGTAATTGGGTTTCCATGATAAATTGGAGGCAGCTCCTCATCTGCAAATTTAAGAATTTAGGTTTTGTGCAAAGGTGGGCTACTGTACCATCACTCCAATTAATTCAGAATGCCCCTGCTAAACTAGTCTCTCCCTCCGTCTCCTATGATCACAAGCTTCACTCCTCTTTTTTAAATCCTTTACACTGATTTCTTTGCTTGCCTTCCATCAACTTTTAAAGCTTCCCTTCTCTACAGCTTGCTACAAGTTTACTATGGGTTAAAAACTGCAAATAAACGCTGTCTAAACTGGGAAGAAAATCAGGGAATAGCTGTGCGTGAGGAGAGTGGAGCACATGAACCAAAGGCTCACTTCATACTCAAGTACACAACACATGCAACTCTTACCAATATTTATAAAGCGCAATATATAGTGGGGGGAATCTCCATGCCTGACTCTTCTAATCATATAGCATAATCTCACCTAGGATCACACTCCTGTCTCTTCTGCACCATGCCATTTGCTAAGCCATTCACTGTACCAACAATAACTTCCCTATTGATCCCTTCACAATTGTGGTAAGGGCGTCCACACATAGAAAGCAGTGTGAGAGCTATGGCATTTTCTGATCCCACCTCTGATGTCCATGTGCTGAGTGAGGTGGATATCTGAGGAGGGAAGGTTCAGGAAAGAATGACCAGGGTTCCAGTTCCCACAGAGATCTGCGCATGTAGTCTTCCCTAGCTCAGACGCCCATGTCTAACATGCAGAAGTTGGAGGCAAGCCTTAGGGAATCAGTCCCTTTGTAAATGTTCACCCCCTTCACAAAGGCATCAGTTCCTCTTTTTATTTTGCCAGACCCACTTTTTAATCAAAAGATCAGACAATACAGTGCAGATACCTAACACAAAGTCACAGGAGGACAAAGTGATTTGCAGCAGTGCTTTCACATGGCTTGGGCTCCACTTCACGAGCGCCGTTTCATATATACATATATTTAATCGACACAAAAGTAAGAGTGGAAACATAACTAAACAGCAATAGCTACTCTACCTTCTTGGCTTTCTGACAGATCAAAATTCAGAGTTACAGCTGCACATTCCCGGAGGAGTTGATACTCCAGTGAAAAATTCTCTTCATACTCCAGATCAGTTTCTTCTGTAATTTTTTTAACATCTGGTCCTACTGGTATAAAAGCAATACCTGCTTTAAAAGGCTTTCTTGACAGTTCAAACTATTTTAAGTGATTGGTAGCATCTGTGGGGAAGTTAGTGGTACAATTACATTTGCAACTGGCACTTCTTAACAAACACATATAACACATACTTTGAAAAATAAATGAAAAGGATGCATTGGTCATTCAGAGGGCAGAGCAAATTATTAATTATAACTGTCTGAACCACATGTAAAGTACAGTGGTACCTCGGGTTAAGTACTTAATTCGTTCCGGAGGTCCATTCTTAACCTGAAACTGTTCTTAACCTGAAGCACCACTTTAGCTAATGGGGCCTCCCGCTGCCATCGCGCCGCCACCGTGCGATTTCTGTTCTAATCCTGAAGCAAAGTTCTTAACCCGAGGTACTATTTGTGGGTTAGCGGAGTCTGTAACCTGAAGCGTATGTAACCCGAGGTACCACTGTATTATAAAATATTTTGGACTCACTACTAGGAATACCTACATGTGCAATTGTCCCATAACAACCTACAGACAGGTTGCATTATTCTTCTGACATCCAAGTGCTTCCCATAGCAGAAAAAAGAAAATGCATGAAGTGACACTCACACATCATATTTTTCAGGGTTTAAAAGAAACACCAGGAGTAAATTTTGCATGTGCAGATTTAAAGAAGAAACATAGCATAGCAAGTATTACACAGATCTTGCCATCTAACTTCTGTGCATTTTGAACTTGCAAAAATTACCTCCAGATCACAAACAGGTGTGCAAACACAGTTCATATGTCTAAATTTCCCATACCCGCTATGTGACTCTCACATATTCAAAAGCCTTGAAAAACGTAGTAAGCGTATCACTTCTAATAAACTCAAGCAAAGTTTAAGATGATTTGTAGGAAATTTCAGCAATAATCTAGATGGGGTAAAGCAAGGCAAATTATTTGGCATAGATTACTGTAACGCCCTGTGATGGGATGATGAGCTGCTTGTGCGTAAAATCGTATCCCCTCAGAGTTTGTTCAAGTCCACAAACCTCTGTCTGTGACGGAGCCCCTCAGACATGGCTCCTCTAGTCACTAGCAGATTCCGACAGTGGTTGCTTTCGGAATCGCTTCCAACATAAAAGCTCCTTAACGGAAACACGTCTTCTGGACTCTCTGCGTGTCAGTTTCCGGCGAGGAGTGGGTGTCCCTACAGGAGGTCCTGAAACCTCCCCACTGTTTTCGCTGGAAGTGTCTCTGAGCCATCCCTCCAGCTCACTTTCCCTCAGCTCAGCTCCTCTCCCCTACTGGTTCCCTCTTCAGCTGCTGAGTCTCTCCCAACCTGTGTGAGCCCTTTCACCTCCCTTCCTTCCGATGGCAGTTCCCTGACATCCACCCCCCCGCCAGGGCCCCCTCCCCCCCCACTCGCCCCCTCCTCTACGGGCGGTGAGGAGGCAACACCCCGGAATGAACTTCCTTCATCTTCCGATGTCTCGAACACTTCTCTCCACCTGTTGCGGTTCCTGGTCTCGAAGTACTCCTCCTCCTCAGAGTCCATCTCCCCTTCCCCTTCCGAGTCCGGGAAGCCTTCCAACTCCTCCTCCTCATCAGTGGTCCCAAAGTATTCCCTCCGGAACCTCTCCACAGGCTGAGGTTTCCTTGGGAACCTTTGATGGAACGTTTCTATCAATACCTCGTCATTGATATCTTCGGCCATTACCCAAGTGTTTTCTGACTCCGGTTCTCCTTCCCACGCTACCAAATACTCCACCTGATTCCCCTTCCACCTGGCGTCGAGGATTTCTGCCACATGGCTGCTGCATTCTCTTTCTTCTATGACCGGTCCCAGTGGCCATCCCTTCTCGTCCCCCTTCGTACGGTGACAGTAACGACCTGTGAAATACTGGGTGCAGTTTCATGTGGTTGGGTAACCGGAGCCTGAAAGCCACTGGGTTGACCTGTTGAATGACCTCAAAGGGACCCAACCTCCTGGGTCTTAATTTCTTACAACCTCCTTTGAACGGCAACCCTTGGGTTGACAGCCACACCCTATCTCCCACCCTTATGGTTTCACCTTCCCTTCGGTTCTTGTCTGCTTGCCTCTTGTATTCTTCCTTCGCCCTTTCTAAGTTGAGTTGGAGCTGACAATGGATTGCTTCCATTTCTTCTACAAAATGCTCGGCTGCCGGGACGCTCCATCTCTCCCCATCTCCCCCTGGGAAAGCCCTGGGATGACACCCATAATTAGCCAAGAAGGGCTCATCCCTGTGGACACATTCTCGGCATTGTTGTAGGCAAATTCCGCCAGCGCCAACTTTTCTACCCAGTCATTCTCTCTGTCATTGACATAACACCTCAGGTATTGCTGGAGGACACCGTTTGCTCTTTCCGCCTGCCCGTTGGTTTCAGGGTGCCGGGCAGTCGAAAAATTGACCTCCACCTGCAGTAAGCTCATGAGCTTCCTCCAGAACCTGGAAGTAAATTGTTTTCCTCGGTCTGAGACCACCCTCAATGGCACCCCGTGCAACCTAAAAATGTGTTCTACAAATAACTTCGCTGTCTCTTCCGCCGTGACTGCATGCGAGCAAGCTACAAAGTGGCACATCTTTGTTAGTAGGTCCACCACCACCATGATGGCTGTTTTCCCTTTGGACTTCGGCAGATCAGTCATAAAATCTATCGACACTGCCTCCCAAGGTCGTTCTGGGGTTGGTAAGGGTTCTAATAGCCCCGCCGGCGCCCGCCTTTCCCCTTTGGCTCGCTGGCATTGCTCGCACCCTCTTACATACTCACGTACATCTTCCCTCACCTTGGGCCACCAAAATTCCCTGGTGACCAACCACATGGTTTTGTGTTGTCCAAAATGCCCCGCCGTAGGGCTGTCGTGCAACTGCTTGAGTACCCTCCCCCTTAAGTCTCCTTCAGGGATATACAGTGCCCCTTTGTAATACAAAGCTCCATTTCTTTCCTCGAAACCCCCTGGTTCCTCTCCCTCACCCCTAAGACCTCTGAGCTTATTCTGGGCGTATTCATCATTCTCTGTTTCCTCTACCAGTTCTCTTTGTCCCACCAATGCCGCCCCACACACCCAGCGGTCCTCTGGAATGACATGTCTCTCTTCGGGTGCTCCCTCCCCCTCCAAATATTCAGGTTTGCGTGAGAGAGCGTCCGCCTAATGTTCTCTGGGCCTGGCACGTAACAAATCTCAAAGTTAAATTTGGAGAACTCCTGGGCCCATCTCACTTGCCGTTGGTTGAGCACTCGTGCCGTCCTCCAATACTCTAGGTTCTTGTGGTCAGTGCACACTTGCACCTTATGTTGTGCGCCAATTAGCAGGTGCCTCCATCTCCGGAACGCCTCATGAATGGCTAGTAGTTCTCGGTCATACACCGTGTAGTTCCTCTCGGATTTGTTCAGCTTTCGCGAAAAAAGGCACACGGTCTCCACTCTGACTCCTCCTTCCCTGGCTGCAGAAGCACCGCCCCAATCGCTCTGTCTGATGCGTCAGTTTCCACTCTCATCGGTTTTTGTAAATCCACATGCAGGAGTTGTTGTTCCGAGGCGAAGGCCCTTTTTAGTTCCTCAAATGCTCGCTCCGCCTCCTCAGTCCAAACGAACTTCTTCTTACTGCTGAGACAGTCCGTAATGGGCGCCGTCAGGTGGGCAAAGTTTCGGATGAACTTACGATAGAAGTTCCCAAATCCTAGGAACCTCTGCACATCCTTCCTTGTTTTGGGTGTTTTCCATTCCAGCACCGCCTGGACCTTGCCGGGATCCATGGCCAATCCCTTGTCTGACAGGCGATACCCCAGGAATTCCACCTCCTTGGTATGAAACTGACACTTCTCCAGTTTCACCCACAGCTGGTTGGCTTGCAGCCTGCTCAACACTTCTCTGACGTCTCTCACATGCTGCTCCTCATTCTCAGAATACACCAACACGTCGTCTAAGAAGGCCACACAATTCTTGTAAAGCAAAGGCCCCAGGACGTGGTTCATAAACGATTGAAAGCATGCGGAGCCTGCTTGGAGGCCGAAGGGCATAACCAAATATTCAAATGCCCCTAAAGGGGTGAACATGGTGGTTTTCCATTCATCACCCTTCCTTATTCGTATCAGGTTGTACGCCCCCCTTAGGTCCAGCTTTGTGAAAATCTTTCCCTTCCGCACCCTTGTCAAAATGTCGTCAATCCTGGGCATAGGGAAGGCCACTGGTTCTGACACTGCATTTAAGGCCCTGAAGTCACACACCAGCCTCGGCTTGTTCGTGTTTTTGAAATCCACAACAAACACTGGGCTTCCCCCCCACCGCCCTGGACTCTCTGATGAACCCTCTCTTCAGGTTCTTGTCAATGAACTCTCTTAGCTCCTGCATCTCTCTGTCTGACATGGCGTACAGCTTGCCTACAGGGAGCTGTGCCCCAGGGAGTAAATTGATTTGACAGTCAAAGGGTCTATGCGGGGGTAGTTGGTCAGCTTCCCTTTCGCTGAAGACGTCGCGGAGATCTGCATATTGTCGTGGTACCTTCACGTTCTCCGTTACTTCAGTCCCTGCTAGGGTGGCTTGGGCCCCTGCCAAACCCTTTCCCTCTTTGCAGTGTTCTAAGCAATGTGCTGAACCAAAAGAAACCACTCTCTGATGCCAGCCCACCAGCGGATCATGTAACGCTAGCCAGCTCATCCCCAATATAATGGGAGCTCCTCCCAAGGTGGCCACATTAAACGCTATCAGTTCGGTGTGCCTTGCTACCTTCATTATCATTGGGACGGTCTGCAAGCTGACTTCTCCTCCCAACAGCTCCCTGCCATCGATCGTGGTCACCTGCAGGGGTTGCTTAAAGGGATCGTCTGTATCTGGTGTTCAGCTGCAAACTCTTTGCTCATGAAATTGCAGGAGCTGCCTGAGTCCAACAGCGCCTTTATCTTTAGAGGGTGTCCGTTTGGCAGCTCTAGCGCCACTTCTATCACTAGGGCGGGTTTAGGAGGTTCTGGCGTGGGCACTCTCACTGCTCTTTGGCCTGGCTGCTGTGCCCCGACAGTGGCAGCCAGGCGTTGGCTTTACTTGCTCCGGTATTTCTTCCTCTCTTCCCTCCACAGCTCCTACCATCCCTTGCCATTCCTTCCTCTGGGGGCAGACTCTGGCAAAGTGACCTGGCTGTTGGCAGAGATAGCATTTCCGGGCGCCTTTTCCCTCCTTCTTTCCCCCCTCACTGGGCTTTGAAACTGCGCGCGCGCGCTGTTCCGATTTCCATCGGCTCTGCCGGCGGGAAAGTTGGCTCTGGAATGTCTGGAATGCGGAACTCCTTCCAACGTTCCCCTTTCCCTTCCCGCCTCTCCAATGCTCTCGCCTCCTGGCGCGCTCCTATGGTCAGCGCTGATTTGGTCAGCTGGTCCATAGACTCCGCCCTGGGCGCCCGGGAAAGTTCGTCTTTCACAGCCGAAGAAAGCCCTTCTTCAAAGAGCATTTGAATGGGTTCCGCCGATAAGTCCCACCCCAATCTGTGAACCAGCATGGTGAACTCAGTCCAGTACTCACGGACAGATCGGCTCCCCTGTTTGCAAGCCATTAACTGTCTGCGCACCACTCCCTGTTCAATATCGCTGGAAAACATCAGATCCATGGCGCGAAAGAACTTCATCGTGTCCTTTAGGACGTCACTATTCGCTGCCATCAGGGGTCTAACCCAGTCTCTCGCCCCCTTTTCAAGATGCTCAATCACGAAAGCCACTCGTGATTCCTCGTCAGGAATTCATCAAACTGCAGATTGAGGGCATATTGCATCTCTGTCCGAAAGCCATGATAGTCTTTGGGCTCCCCCCCAAACTTCTGCACCAATCCTGGTACCTTTCTGGCGAGCTGGGTGGCTTTCCCCTTTTGTCTGCATCCTGAGCCCTCCTCTCCTCAAGCCTCGCCGTCTGCAGCGCTAGCTGGACCTCCAACACCCGGTACCTTTCTTCCAGGCTTGGACCCGCTCCAGCTCCTGCTTCTCCGGTTCCGGCTGGGTTGCTCATGATGCCTTCTCCTGCACAAGCTGCTTTCAAAGACTGTCGGAATGCTGTGATGGGATGATGAGCTGCTTGTGCGTAAAATCGTATCCCCTCAGAGTTTGTTCAAGTCCACAAACCTCTGTCTGTGTGGAGCCCCTCAGACATGGCTCCTCTAGTCACTAGCAGATTCCGACAGTGGTTGCTTTCGGAATCGCTTCCAACATAAAAGCTCCTTAACGGAAACACGTCTTCTGGACTCTCTGCGTGTCAGTTTCCGGCGAGGAGTGGGTGTCCCTACAGGAGGTCCTGAAACCTCCCCACTGTTTTCGCTGGAAGTGTCTCTGAGCCATCCCTCCAGCTCACTTTCCCTCAGCTCAGCTCCTCTCCCCCTACTGGTTCCCTCTTCAGCTGCTGAGTCTCTCCCAACCTGTGTGAGCCCTTTCACCTCCCTTCCTTCCGATGGCAGTTCCCTGACACGCCCCTTATTCTGCTGAATGTCCACTATATCTCTCAGGATGCTCCAATCATTTTCACCCACATGCTGATTCCCTAGTACATGACACCAAAATGTTATACCACTAGAGGGCAGAGAGAACTACCAAATGCAGGCATGGCTCAATGCACATCTGGATTCAAGAATGCTTTGCAGAGGATAGCAGAAAAATATGTGGGCTGCAAATCCTGCAGTTTTCAAAGCCACACCAATAGTTGCCCCCCCCCAAAAAAAGTACAGCAGATCACATTAAAGATCCCACCCTAAGTGTTGTAATCTACCTATTAATTTCCCCAGTAAACATGACACCCTTCAGGAAGAAACCAAACATGAACTATCATACTGAAATGTCTCTTATTTATTTGTTGTATCAAGATGATAAAATTGCAATTTGGAGGAATAACAGAAATGCCAGACTATATGCCTGTATATTCCAACTGTGTTGCTATTCTGTTGACAGAGAAGCAAGACTTTTGTATGGTGGCTCCTACCCTTTGGAATTCCTTCCTGTTACAAATCTGTCAGGTTCCATCTCAATTATTTTTTTGGTGACTATGGAAGACCTTCCTTTCACAACAAGCCTGTTAAGTAGAGATTTTTATTGCCTGTCTGTATCAGCACTGGGCTTGAAAATTGTGTCTATATTGTTTAACCGCTTTGCAATGTCTTGTTGGAAGCAATTGATACATGAAATAAATAAAAACAATAAATAAATATTCCAGAACCTTAAGCCACATACAACGTTAATTAGTACTATTTCCATTGCATAAATGTTTTTGTATTCCTGGTTTCAGTTCTGCTATCAGATATTTTTAAACGCTTACTAAACTGCAGCTGGTATTCCTGCTTTAATAGCACTCTCACCGTTTCTAAATTTAGGAGGAATGCTGAAGCCTCTGAGAAGTGGCTAAAAGTGCCTTTTTAATAATAACCTGCTGATCTATTGGAACTAGATGTAATACTTTGCTTGAAATTGGGTTTTATTGGGGGGGGAGAGATATAGAAAGCAGAATTGATCGTTTTCTCAAGCAACTGAAAGCGTCTTAGCCTGCCTCTGGCTTTATTTATGCTGCCTCACATGATCCAGCTGCACGGGGGCCTTACAGTGAACGAAGGCAAGACTGTGTAGACTGCCACAGCCCTTCCCATATCTGATCATAAGCCCTGCATGTACTTCTGGTTATTGGGTCACATGGTGCCCAACAGGCTTTAACACAGCCTTCTCACTTCCCACTTGTGGTTTTTCTACATAGTAATGATCAAAAGTAATCATCTAGGGTTATATGCAGTGCCATGTGAGCAGAGTTATGTGTGTGCAACAGGACTTCTTCTTCCTTTCCCCACGTGTTCCCAAAACCTGCTCCGGAGGTTGCTCAGACCCGTTTAGCAGCTTACCTGAATCAGAAGACTGTGATTTTTCTATCAAAAATTCACGTATCTTCTCCACCCATAGATAAAGGATGCTTTCACCAAGATTCTGTCTGAAAAGCATGATACAAAATATACAAATCTACTCTAAAATTACTTTTTTAATGGATAGCATCATAGAAATCTTTATGTTTCAGATGTGGTTTAGGAGCCTTCTTGTGTAAAAATATCCTGTGATACACCACTTTCATTCCAGGGACACAGATTGGCTTGTTCATTAGGTTTTGGGAGAGAACAGTCAGAAAGTACAAACCTATACATGCTTCCTCAGAAGTAAGTGCCACGTGATGTTACACCATAACGCATGGCTTTTGCCTAGCTTTGTAATAACAGTTGTCTCACTAAAACAGAATGTACTATTTTGTATAAGATCCATAAATCTTCACTTCCAGCAAAAGGTTCTGCTTCATACTGCTTTTTCAATATTACTGCCATCTGCTGGAATTATGTATAAAACATTTCAGGACAGTATTTGGATTTTTAAAAATATAACCATGACATTTATTATTATTACATTTGTTTGTTTGTTATTCATTCATTCATTCCCCGCCTTTTACTCTGACAGGACTCAAGGAGGCTTACAAATAAAACCAAGAATAGCTAAAAACATAGAAAAAAATGATTAAGCATTAACAGAATTCAAGCACATATATAATCTGAAAACATACAAATAACTGCAATAAAAGCAGCATGGCAGCAGCTATGCTTCCTCCTCATCAGGGCACTCAAAAGTTGTGGCCCTTTCAATACGATTTACAGATACAGCCGCACCCACTCTCCGCTGGTTTGTGAAAACATGGTTTTCACAGAAAGCAGATACTATGCTAGATTCCAGCTTCCCATGCTTCTTTCTATGATTCGTATTCCTACAAACAGTACAACTTACACATAGAGTTCTTCCAGATAATTTGCAAGTTCCGCATATTCCTGTCCAGAAAGCCAAGGAGCACTAGAATAAAAAAAGGGAACGTACTAGTTTAATATTTGCATCATTTCAAAACCATTTTCTACTTCAAGATACTAAAAACACCTCATCGTGATTATGATTTTATATGCTTTGGCAAAATCAAATCATGTTGCAATTATACCTTCTTCTTCATACTGGGACAGTACCCATATCACAAAATATGATAATAAAAAACTAGGAAGAGACACATTTTCACTTGCTTTCTCTCTTATGTTGCTATAATTTAGAGTTTGCTGAGTTCCTTTAAACCAGGACGATTAGCTGATTTTGGCCAGAGGGCTACATTCCCTGTTGGTCAAATCTCCAAAGCTGAAGTGTGTATGGTCACCACACACTCACTTGCTCCACACAAGCCTGTGTATCACACACACAGATTGGTTACGTATTATGAAACTAAGAGTTTGGAACAAAAGGCACAGAAGCTTTTTTCAAAAGTATTAACTTATCACTTACTTAATTTGATAAATAGGTGGTGCTGTTGTCGGATATTCAGGAGGAAGGATCACCTGAAAAGTTTTAAAAGTAGATTAGCCAGAAATTTTCATTCCAAATCTAGCTGGGGACGGGGTGGAGGAGAAATGCAGGACAGTTCCAATACATTGTTAAGGTATTAAATAACTGGAAACACTAGTACATAAATTCTTAGATGACAGTCCTGCACACAAAGTGAGCCTTACTTATGCATAAACATGTACAGAATCAGTATCTTAGGTACCTTATGGCTCTCCCATAATATACAGATTTTACTTCTCCCATTTTTTCGGCATTATACGTGAGACAGATGCAAACATTAAAGGACAGAACCCACAGAACTATCTTGCCAACATTAAAACATACTTGGAGAAATAAAAATCCTAACCTACAAAGAAAGTTTTGCTTTTTTAAAAGTTACAGAACTCGGCAACAACTAATAAAGCTGGATGTGTCTCCCTATATCTGACTGCATCATTTATAAATCAATTGTGTGTTAAAGAATAGTCCTAGTTATTCTTAAGTAGGGCACCAACAGTTTCAAGATAGGGTGGGGTCACATTCCTCACCACATTCCCCAATGCTGAATTGCCATGCTAGCTCTGACCTCTAAAGACTGCACAACCCAGAATTCCTTCATTCTTCATTTTATTTGTATGCTGCTTTTCCACCAAAAGAATCAAGTTCAAAGCAGCGTACAACAACAACAAAACAATACCTCTCAAAATCAACCATTTCAGAATGTAATAAAACATTACAGTACATTTACAACATTACAACTCCTGACAATAGCAAAAGTAGGCTCAAAGATGCCCATCTGAGATATCCAGTTGCAAACTCAAAGCCCAATTATGTTACCGGAAAACCTACCTGCAGACAGAGTCTCCACTTTGGCTTTTCCAGGCAATCACTAATCTGAATGCAGAATACTTTTTCATCTTCATCAATGGTGCACCATTCATCACCATATATAGCAGACAAGGCTTCAATTTCTTCTGTCTAACAGAAAATTATGCAGTAATATTTTATTTTATTTATATACTGCTGAACTACAATAATTTCTAAGTAGTGTGCAATAAACTTGATGCAATGTAAATCAGTTAAAATTACAAAATCAGAATTTGGTTGTTGGAATAAACAAAGTTTTCAGTAGTCAGCACGAGCCGGCTCCCCAACACAGTGGCTGCTTAGGAGCAAGGTGTAACAGAATCGGAACATATGAAGAGCCTGCTGGATCAGGCCAGAGACCCATCTCATCCAGCACCGTTGCCTCGCAGTGCCCAAATCTAGGTGGACTTTAGGAGGCAATCAGAGAAATGCACGAAGGAAGGATTTATAAGCAGCAGCTAATAATGATGGTCGCATTAAGCCTCTGCATACCAGGAGGTGGGAAAGTTTCCTTAGGGGCATCCTGGCAGCATCTATCCGGCCACTACTGAATTCGGTGGAATTGGGTCAGATCCAACGGGATGACGAATATATTAATATGCTTCAAGGGGATGCTAGACTTCAATGCCCATCACTCGCCAACCATGCAAGTTGGGGTTGCAGGGCGATGGAGTCCAACCATATCTGGAGCCACATGTGCGCCCCACCTTAGCATGCAGGCAAAACCCCTTAGGCAAACGCCCCGTTTCCCTGACCTGCCCCCTTCTCCAGGAAGCCGAGCCCGACGCCCCGCCATCAGCCTCCCGCTCCGCAACGCGCTCACTTGTCTCTGGGCCGTTTCCGGGTCACTCGCCGCCATCACGGCGCGGGGAGGCGGAGCTCGCGCGTCCAATCAGCCCAGCGCCCGGGACGCAGAATCAATGCCCCGGAGAAAGAGGTTAGCGCATGTGCGTAAAAGCGAGGTGCAAAAAAACTCCAAAATTTTAGAGGACGCGTGTTGCGGCCTCTCTTAAGAGCCGAGAGTCGGAGGCGCTCGGGTTCTCGTGCGGAAGGCATGGTCACCCTTTAGGAAATAGGTATGGCTGAAAGGCCACGGGGAAATGCAATATGCAGCAGGAGAAACGCATGAAGACCAAAAAGATGCAAAAATAAGGTGTCTTTTTCAGCTTCCCAGTCGCTGTAAACAGCTGTTCTGTAATTCAGCAGAAAGTGTTTATAGATTTGGGGGTGCTGTAAAAGGGATTTGGCGTTCAGTAAATGTAAACACAGACTTGAACGCAGTCCCATTGGATCCAACAGAATCTGCTTTTTATTGGTGTTTATGGTAGTAGCTTGCATAGACGATTTTGAAAACCATTGGCCAGCTTGCAACGTTGACAGGACTGTGTGGAAACTCTCACTATGAATAAATTCATCAGAATGGGAGTGGTACACATGGCCACCGCAATTTGCATCATTATGAACTTGAAAGTACAGTTACGATATTGCTTCAGGCCCAGGGGCAAAGCAGATGTGGCAACAACCACAGAAAATGTCCTTACCTGCTTGAGCACCTGTGCACATATTCTAGGTGCACCCTGTTACATACATTTAAATGCTTTTACCACATTTGTTGGATTGTTCACATGTAGTCTCCATGCCAAGAACATGTTTACTAATGCTATACAGTATGTGAGTAGACAAGTACAAGTGATAAGTGCATTCAAATGTTCATTTCTGTATAGAACACTTCTATACTAAGCATCGTATCTATGGTTGCCATTAAATCTGCTGCGATACAGCATGTTGAACACTCCCAAGCAGAAATCTATGCCAAACTGAGCCAAGCAGTGGCCCAAAACATTACTGGAAGCAATTACAGGGGAGCCATAGAATATGGGTCAAAACAGACATGGTAGTGGACATAAATAAAGTGCTCACCCAAAAAATACACAAAGATGTCTACCTAGAAGTCATGTGTTCCAACCTACAAGCCATTTTTCCCAGTTGCTAAGTCCCATTCTCATTTCCACTATCTACAGAAGTTGGATATATCTAGACTTAAAGGCTTTTCTGCATTTTTCCTTTGTGTGCTTTTTTTTAATATAAATTTATATGGCTAATTTCATTGAAAATTCAGGTAATTAAAATAATGATTATCTTATGTTTTGACATTAACCTATGACTTTCTAAAAGAATGACACTGATAGGTCCCTCTAAGAAGAAATGAAAACTACACAATATATGCATATTTTTTGGGGGGGGAATCAAGAGCACTTGCCTTCTCACTTTTTGGTGTAATGCAACAGCAGATGACACATCTACAGGGGGGGGGGATAAAAGGCCATGCTAGTCAAGTTAATGATGAAATAGTCTGTATTTTTTGTGTTAACTTCTTCTAAAATCTGAATGTATTCCCATAATAGGCCTTACTGCATAATTTCTTTTGAATGTCTTATTGGCTTGATTTGAGGTAATTGTGTGAGACAGGTAGACCTGCAATCATAGGTTTGTTGCAAAGCAAACTGTGTTCAGTGTCTTAGGATTCATATTGCTGTAGTTATCTGAGCATGAGCAATGCAGTCTTTGGAGATGACTGTTTATTATCATGACGGCTATGTTTTACATGTTTTAACCCTCTTTTTAAGAGTCAGTTCAGATCTTCATGCTTTCTGTTCCCAACACTTCACCATCATGTCCAAATTAGAATGGTTTCATCTCCCCTATGATGAGGTACCCCACTTCTGTGCTGAGAGTACACACATCCTGCTGTAAGGAGAGATCATGTACAAGTTAGGAAACAGGAAACGTGAAGCAATCTTGTGCTTCCTATTCCAAATCTCCAAGATTCTAACAGCAAATTCTAACAGCAAATTCACACAGGAGACTGCAGCTGTATTAACATTTAGTAAACCTTGCAGATCCAAGGGAGAGTACCGTTTGTGAAAACTATTCCTCCACGTGGGTGGCTACAATTCTTACAGTGGTGGCAGCTCAATGAATTTCAGATCTCTCTCTGAAGGAACTTGTAATTCTCTGGAGGAGGAAGAGGTCTCAGCCACTCCTTGTGAGTATCCATGATAGCTAAACTCATTTTTGAATGGTAAGAGTTCCAGATAAGCATCAGCCCATCCTAAACACATTTTACACATGGCTCTTATGCCAGCTGGTGCATCTGATCTCATTTATATAAGCAGTGAGTCAAGTGGTTATTGAAAGTAAAAACATCTTATTTTTTTAAATTTAATTTGAATTAAGTTTAGCATCATAAGGAACATTTATTTAGGATTGTAATATTAAATATAGGACAGAAATGTCTGTGTTGCAAAAGCAACAAGATAGTTGGGCATGATTTTAAGAGACCATGCAGTTAATATTAAAGAGAAGAATGTTAAAGTATACAGCCTTGCTTAATCAGAATGATGTGATCTATCTGCCCCAATATTCTTTATCAAAAAGCACAAGAAATAATTTCCTGATCACGTATTGAACTTCTTAGGTATGGGAATGGAGTCTTGGTCCCGTTATCTTGTTTCTCTTGAAATAAATATCCATCCCTCATTACTTTATCTAATCTCATTAATCTATTATCACCATTGGTGATCATGAACTTTGACGGTGGTAAATTCCATAGACCAAGGCTGTGATTATGTCATTGCAGCAACTTTTATTTGAAAGCTCCTTGATGTTACAGCTTATGCTCTGCCAGCCATTTTTGTAGTTCTGTTGTTTTGTTTACAAACTTCTGTAAGATTATTTCATTGGCTAGACTCCAACCAAAATACAGCAGTTGTTCCATTCACTTTTCAAAATGATGTGTAATGTTCTGAGCTATCTCTTTAAGAAAAGAAATGAAGTGTTCACATCCTTCGAAAATTCAGTCCTATACATATTTACATTAAATTAAGCCTTTTAAACTCTATCGGTGTTGCTTCCAAGGAAATGTGGATAGGCTGCATGCTTCACTAACACAGGCTTTCAATGGCCTTGATAAGTAGTTTTGTTTTAATACTGCCCCCTTCTCTGTACAGTGGTGCCTCGCAAGACGAAATTAATCCGTTCCGCGAGAGTCTTCGTCTAGCGGTTTTTTCGTCTTGCGAAGCAAGCCCATTGACGGATTAGCGCTATTAGCGCTATTAGCGGTTTAGCGGCTATTAAAGGCTTAAAGGCTTAGGGATTAGCTGCTAAAAGGCTGTTAAAGGCTATTAAAGGCTTAGCAGATTAGATAAAGGGGAAGCGAAAAAAATCTCAAGACTGCATAAGGTATTTTCGTCTTTGAAGCAAGCCCATAGGGGAATTCGTCCTGCGAAGCAACTTCAAAACGGAAAACCCTTTCGTCTAGCGGTTTTTCCGTCTTGCGAGGCATTCGTCTTGCGGGGCACCACTGTACCTCCTACTCAAGAAAGTGATAGCCAGAACTCTACATATGCAGCACCAGTACCATAAAAAGATACATTTTGTATAGTTTTTGTAACATTCAATTTCCTGGTACTTTTTATGTGATGCTATTTCACAATGTTATCACTATATTTTAATAAGAAGAACCAAACACCACTAATAAAAACCGCCCACCTCATTACATCTTCCTTTGCATCTTTCTGGCTTCTAGTTCCTTCGGGTTAAACATGTCTAGTCAAGGAACAACCTACTCTTGACAAATTTTCTCACGGCACTGTAGCTCCTGGCCTACTTTTGCAGTACATTATCTAATGGGAAATGGAAATTACTTTGTTTCAACACACTGGCACATTATTATAGTCTGTAACTATTAGCAACACTTTACTACAGATCTGTCTGCAGTTTTGGCAGCTATTGCAAAATTATTAAAATTATAAAAAAAATCACAGCTATTGCAAAATTATTCTCAAGTGCTGAAGGCACAAGTTAACACACTATGAGCTACTGCAGAAAACTGGATATAGGAATTAGGAGCACATGTATATAACCAGACTGGGATTTATTTCATTCCATGCCACAGGGTCTTCTTCTGACGCAAAGCAAAATACTAGGTAAGAAAATAATTAACATTTAGTGTATATTTTTAAAAGCTTCATGTCAGCAGTTAAAACCTGTTTTCCACTGTTCCATTTATTTTTCTAGCATTGCTATAGCTTATCATTCAGTTCATTGTCCTTGTTTAAAAAAAGTGAGCTTTTTCTAAAAGTTTATTGAGAAGCCTGTTTTAATGAGATGCCTCAGCTCATTTATAAAGCTCATATGAAAATCAGATTATGCTATCTATATGAAGATTTTCTCTACATATTCTCTCCAAAACATCTTGCAGACATTAGTAGAAAAGAAATAATAATCTTTATTTATTAATATTGCACAGTAAGGCTTGGGACTGGTCTTGTAAAAGCTTGTCACTGTGGGAAGAGTTTTTCTTCAGTAAATATACATGTGGAAAGTGATTTGGTGCATCAAATCGTTCATGCCAAAATAAAACCTGTTTGCCTTTAAGGTGCCACAAAACACTTCGTTTTTGCTTAGCTCTGTAATTCTGCAGGCACTCTTTACACAACTTACTCTTTACCCCAGACCTCAATTTAAGAGTGAGTCTTGCAGTCCAGTTCTATCTCATTGGGTTCAGGGATACCTAACTCGGCATAGCATTGGGCTGCTATCGAGATGCAGTTAGGCTGTAATCCTCTGAGCACTTATTTGCCAGAAGTCCTATTGTACACAATAAGCAATTACAGTTGTGCATTCTGGTCCAGCTATTCAAATCCTTGCAGAACCAAGCCCTGCCATGGGCATAGTCAGGATTTATGTTGGGGTGTGTGCGTGTGTGTGTGTGTGTGTGTGCGCGCGCGCGCAGGACACCCACCTGTCATCATCCTCTGTCTGGCTCTGGCTTGCAGATTCAGGCTGAAATGTCTCAACAACAGTTGTTTCAAATTACTTTCTGTTCACCCTAAGTGCTCAGAAAAATCTGTCCACATCTTCACTAGGATGTGCCACAACATCATTGAAGTGACCCCAGAGAGTACTGTATTTCAATTTCAAATATTCTGATTATTTCTACTTTTAGTAAGGTATTTTATTTACTTGATTTAAGGGGGCAGGCCGGGGCAGCTGCTCCCCTGCCTCCCTGCCTAAACCCAAGCCCTTCAAGGTGAGAATGAGGAACCTGTGACCCAGATGTTGCCAGGTAAAACTTCCCTAAATGCTCTGCACCGGCCGCGCTGCCTGAGGCAGGTGGGACTTTGGAGCCTAGTTGCAAAGACGTGTTGCTCTTGTTCACAAGGTGGAAGGAGCACCCGCGGTTCCCTTACTTCCTCGGGGCGGTGGGGCAACAAAACCTGCGGCGTCTAAGGGGTGCCGGTGTCTCAGCGCCGGCCGAGTGCCTCGCGCGCCTCCGCCGCTGGGTGGAGCTTTGCCTCGCCGCTCTCGCCGCTGCCTCCCGGGAGCCTCTTATCTTGGCAGGAGGAGGAGGAGGAGCGCGGCCGGGAGGGCCACGCGGTCACGTGCGCGGGAGTGGGAACTACAAGAGAAGCCGAGGGGAGGGGGCGCGCGGAGCGGACCGCGGCTGGTCGGAAAAGGTTGCGCAGCTGCCGGCCTGGCGCCGCCGCCCGAAGCGGTGAGAGAAAGAGGGGCGGTGGAGAGTGCGCGCACACACGAGGGGAGGGGGGGTGTTGGAGGCGTAGAAAGCGCAAGCCCAAAGAGACCCCCCCTCCTCCTTTCCCCCCTCGCCTCCTTTCCGCGCGCGCCTGCTGAATTGCTAGGTGGGGCTGCGTGGGAAGCTGAGGAGCTTCCCCCTCACTCCGTGTTTGGGGATGGGAGTTTGCGCCTTCTTCCCAGAACCTGTGAGTGCGCTTTCTGCCTCGCTCGGGGCGTGCTGCCCTGCTTGAACCCCGCTCCCCAGCAGCACCCACCCCCTTGGCTGGCAGCTGCAGCGCACTTCGGAGTGGCGGGGACCGGGGGTTGCAAGTGGAGAGCGCGCTCCTGCCAAGTGCAAGCGGCGGGGCCGCTCCCTTGGCTGCGCTCTCGGGATGTGCAATAATAGCAGCGCGGGGCGCAGGAGGTCCGGGCAGGCTTTGCGCAGAAGTGCGGGTCCTGCTATATAGCAATTGCTCGCGTCTCGTAGGGCGGGGGGCGTTCCTCCACCCTACCAAAAACCGTCACGTGTGACAAGATGTTTTAATTTTGCGGGCTAAGTTCGCTGCCTTACGAACTCGAAAGTTCAGAGGGGCCAACAAGCCTTTATCTCTGTTTGGATTGGACCGCTGAAAAAGTGGCAGCATAGCATGAGGGATTTTAGTACCTGAAGCCTGTCGCATCTTAGGAGGAGCTTTACTTGCTGGGCTCGGTTTTTTTGTCGGAGAAACAGACATGGCTTGGGGGGGGGGGCACACGAGGTTGCAAACCCATCAGAAATTGGTTTCTTGCTTTTTGCTAAGGTTGGTCATTCATGGTGCGAAGAAGTGCCTTTGGTACACGTGTTACTCATCATAGATATGCATACACTAGTATCTTAAGGTTCTGTGTGTATGTTCAGTCCTAGAATATGCAGTTTTATTCATATCTCTCCTTAAGGTAGTTTATCCTGCATTGCATGGGGTTGAAATAGATGACCCTTGGAATTCCTTCCAACTGCACAATTCTGTGATTTTATTATTTTATGATAACTATAATAATCAAACCTCTGAGCATATGGAAGGAAGTACAGTGGTACCTCGGGTTAAGTACTTAATTCGTTCCGAAGGTCCGTTCTTAACCTGAAACTGCTCTTAACCTGAAGCACCACTTTAGCTAATGGGGCCTCCTGCTGCCGCTGCGCTGTCGGAGCACAATTTCTGTTCTCATCCTGAAGCAAAGTTCTTAACCCGAGGTACTATTTCTGGGTTAGCGGAGTCTGTAACCTGAAGCGTATGTAACCCAAGATACCACTGTAGTTGTAACATGAAGTTATCACAGAAACTATTATGATGGATGTGCAGTTGAACATGAGAATTAACCAATGTGTATTTAAAATTAAAATGGAAGCCCATTTATACAGTGACTGAACACACATATCCGCACAGGACTTTTTGGCTCTTGTGTTTTTTGTGTGTATGGTTAAATGTAAGATAGGGAGTGAGAAGACTTTCAAACAGATGGAGTATTCTAACCAGTGTCTTATCTTCTTTTTAACTTAAATTGGCATTGTAACTTGTTTTGATTTTCTCTGGAGCAAGTATAATGTAGTTTGTTTTTAAATGTTTTATTAAAATATTTCTTGGGTAGCAAGGGTACATATAGTTTGTCAGTTTTCAGATAATAGGGTCCTTTCTACAAATCAGTTAGATTCAGTGATGTAGTTGATAGCTGTGGTCTTACTAATCGTCGTACTGCCTTCATATTGACTTTCTAAACAAAGTTGGTCACTGCAAGGAAACTGTTAAAGCATTTAAAGTTGACAATATTCAAGTCAAATCTTTAGGATTCTGCTAAAATAGCTAAACTCTAAATTTGGACCACATTCTAGCTTCCTGCAATGCATTGACTTTTTTGTTAGGTTATGATTCCTAGGATATTCAAAATAACCTACACAGAACATTTGTGCTACTGAGTGTAGATGTGTACAACAAGCTAAAGTTTTGATCTTTTAAGTCATAGTTTAAATAAGACCAATAACATGCAGGTTTACTCTCTTGACATAGCCAGAATTAAATACCCATATTAATTAAATATCCCTACCTTATATCTATGTTAATTGTCATATAGTTATGAGAATGATGTCCTCAGTTCTGGAGAGGATTTTATTACTATTCATTACAAGAATTTATCAATTTTCCATTACTTTAACAGAAATGCAAACTTTATTGTTTGCACCACAAAACCCATCTTATTTAGCTTACAGAAACTGCATTCACAACCTTTCACTATCTGTAAATCTTAATTTCCTTAGGTATGCTGTTTCCCAAAATGGGAATGGACATAGAATTTTAGAAAACTTAAAATGCAGATGAAAAATTAGTACAACTCACTATAACAAAGTCTAACTTATCTGGCCTTAAGAATTTAGCCAGTGGCAGACTTTAGGCTTTCAAATTTCAGCGGTGCAACACTAAAATTTGGCAAACCCCGCCCCCCGCGCTCTGTTGTATAGCATAGTTTTGGCACCCCCTGCAGTGAGTAACCCAGTGCAACCACACCAGTCGTGCTGCTCTAAAACCACCTCTTATTCAGTGGGTGCAATAAATAAATCATGCAACAGGGATTTCAGGGCACTGTTATTAGCAAGATCAGCGTTTTGTGTTATCGTGCCCATCACTGAGGAGTGAGGCCATTGTACAGAGTGCATTCTGTTCCTTGATCCTTATGGAGACTGTGCAACATTGCGTGGAGCAGGAAAGATGACGAAACATCCCATACTGGCATTATGCAGATCCAGCAGCACTCTTTCAACATATCCAACAGTTAGAGCTCTTGACAGTTCTGTGTTTGCCAGTGTTTCTGCTCCTTTTTACAGAGGTGGGGGGAAAGCAGCAGCCTCTAGTCACTCTTCTCCTACTTTTCAGACAATAATGCTACACTGTTCTTTCAATCACACTTATTTGTATCCAGCAAATGCAAATACCGTACCAAATGGAGAGCTGTGAGCTTACAGCAGAAAAATGACAATTGGCATATTAGACTTGGTACAAGCGAGTCACATTAAATTCACCAGGGCTTATTTTGGGGATGCATTTGAAGTTTTCCAGTTTAAGGGTCTGATACTGTTTCACTAATTCCTGTAGTCTAAGCTTGCACAGTTCTTCAGTTAGTGTTGTTTCCATCTGGTCCATACAGATAAAACAGCAATTGGCATAGACGACTGTTTGAACTGTGCAAGTTGCATAGTTAATATCCTTCTTGCAGGCAGCACAAAGAGTTGGGTCAATGAGAAAACATGCCTGTATTTCCACAGCATGCTTTCCATTATCTCAACCATTTATTATAGTGCTGAATTGGGAGTATGGAGGCACATAAAATTTGGGAGTGTGATAAAAAAGGCATCATTTAATTCAAGATCACGCACCAAAAACTGCATAGAGGGGAAATTAAATAAATCATGTTCAGTCTGGTGTGTTTCCACTTTAGCATTTTCATTAGTAGTAGGAGTAGTAGTAGTAGTAGTAGTAATACATACATACAGTATTCTACTCTTCCACATTTTCATACATTAAGGAGAACAGTGTACACTGTTGCAGGAAGGGTGGTATTTAAATGTAGTAGTAAATAAACCAAATAGTAACAGCAGCAGATTAAATTTTTTAAGGCAGACAGAGCTAATAAACCATATAGTCTAATATATGTATATTACCGTACCATATATATATATATGTATGTATATAACATTAAACACTTAATTGATGAACAAATGGGATGAAATCTGCAGCAGCAAATCCAGCTTCATTGCTTGCTAAACCAATGGGGAATAATGTGTAGCTTACAAGTGAGTCACATGCAGCCCCCCTCCCATGATACTTAGATCCGGCCACATGATATTAGTAAAAGTCAGTGTCTCAGCTAAAACAAGCATGCTAAAATCAAAGCATTAGTCCTAGTTGAAAAGGAAAGGATAGCATGACAGTGGCAATGTGTCTTTTTCTAAAATAAAGAAACCCAGACTAAACCTCATACTATTTCCTTTTTTCAGTCCTTGAGGATACAAGGATTCACATGCCATGGGATATTTTTATCATTTGATTAAAAACAAAACTTTGAACCTTTTTCTAGGAGTGCGGTGACTGCAGCACCAGCATGATCTTGATTATGCAGAAACCCTGAACTATCAAGATTTAAAGATAAAGTACTCAATGCCATCTACTAGAACAATGTATAGGAGCTCTCTCACTGATCTGAAAGATCACAATGCAAACACATTCAAACATTGACATGTCTCCCAAAGAGCTTACCAAATGATAGCTAGGTCCATTGTATTATATAATTTGCATACTTTAATGCAAGGGTAGCCAACATGGTGCCCTGCAAATGTTATTAGACTGCAGCTTCCATAATTCCTAGCTACAGTTGTAGCTCGGGTTACAAACACTTCGGGTTACAGAAGTAGTAACTCAGGTTAAGAACTTTACCTCAGGATGAGAACAGAAATCGTGCGGCAGCAGCGGGAGGCCCCATTAGCTAAAGTGGTACCCCAAGTTAAGAACGGTTTCAGGTTAAGAACGGACCTCCGGAACAAATTAAGTTCATAACCAGAGGTACCACTGTACTGCCCATGTGGGCAGGGGCTGAGGGGAGTTCTAGTCCAACGGTCTGTAGAGAGCACCAAGTTGGCTACCCCTGCTTTAGTGGTTCCCTTCCCCTAGTCCAGACTTTCTCAATCTTGGGTTCCCAGATGTTGTTGGACTGCCACTCCCATCATCCCTGACTGTTGCCCCTGCTTGCTATGGATGATGGAAGTGGTAGTCCAACATCATCTGGGAAACCAGGGTTGAGAAAGGCTGCCCTAGTGTTTATAGGTACAATCCTGGTGGTCCAAGTACGCTTTGATTTGCTGCTATACTCCCATGTGCTGATCTGCTTTTGCTGTATGAGTCAAAGACTGAATAACTGGCAACTAATCACCTGCCCTGGGGACGCGGGTGGCGCTGTGGGTAAAACCTCAGCGCCTAGGACTTGCCGATCGCATGGTCGGCGGTTCGAATCTCCGCCGCGGGGTGTGCTCCCGTCGTTCGGTCCCAGCGCCTGCCAACCTAGCAGTTCAAAAGCACCCTTAAAGTGCAAGTAGATAAATAAGGACCGCTTACCAGCGGGAAGGTAAACGGCATTCCGTGTGCTGCACTGGCTCGCCAGATGCAGTTTGTCACGCTGGCCACATGACCTGGAAGTGTCTGTGGACAGCGCTGGCTCCCGGCCTATAGGGTGAGATGAGCGCACAACCCTAGAGTCTGTCAAGACTGGCCCGTTCGGGCAGGGGTACCTTTACCTTTACCTTTTAATCACCTGCCAGAAGTCACAATGATTGCCCAAACCTTCCTTCATAAGGAATTGCATAAGAAGGCAAAATTGGAGTCACTATGTGCCCTGTTCTATGATAGTTCTCAGCATGGGTGAAGCCAGGATTTATGTTTGGGGGGGGGGCAGAACTGAGCTATCTGTGATGTGATTGGTCAGTTAGTTAAGTATTTTTATTTACAGCTTGCCCCTCTGGTTACACCCATGGTTGCAAGTGATTAGAGTGGTGGAATACTGGAAATCTTTAAAACTCATTATAATGCTGCAATTGATTAGTGAGGTTGCAGTTAAGCAAGAGAGGTGGGGTGGGAAGAATGGACCAAACATGGAAGGACTGTAGCTCAGTGGACAGAGTACACGATTTCTATGCAAAATTCTGAAGCTGACTCTTTGACTTCTTCACGTAGGGCTGGGATACTCCTGTCTGAAATCTTGGTGAGCCACTAGCTCACTATTCTCTAGAAGGATCTAGATATAAGGCAACTACCTATGTTCCTAATTCTCCTATAACATCCCCTTAATATATCTTCATCACAGATCCTGATGTGCAATATTTGCTCAACTGTGAACAATATCTTCTGCATACTGCTTTGCTTAAATGAGAGGCTTCTACAGAGTAGAAAAGGTTACTAAACTGCCTGTTTCTAGAAGATATGCTGTTACCTTGTGAGTCCTTGAGTGTGAGGAGGTGGGGAGGGTTGCAGAGTAATAATATAATAGCCTGGAACACTTAAGCATGTTTCAAGAGCAGCACTTCCAGTTCTTCATGCACTAGCAAGCCTCCATAAACCTAAATAATACACTTCTGAGTATTTGGACCATTCTGTTGAACCAATGGAATTCTTGCAAATAAATACATTGCCAGTCTAGTTCACCTGAGGACACTACAGAAATGTGAAATTCGTAAGTTTTCTGTTTGAAACCTTTAAGTTGCATTCTACTACAACTGAGAATTTTGATTAATGCCCAAACAAACCTGCTTAATTTAAATGGTAATCATCTAGGTAATGCTGAGTCATGGAATGAAGAGAAGGCAGGTGCAAACTTGTCTGTTAGATCTGCAGCAAGGATCTTAACTATGCCATGTATATGTTGGAAGCGGCAGAATCCAGATGACACTTTTAATGGCACTGGAAACATTTCTGACCAACTTACACTGGTCACAAATAGACCCTTGAAATGAACCTAGATGATGAGATATACCCCAATCTTACAAAGTCCTGACTATTTTGCAGAGATTCAGTTATGTTTATATATTGCAACTTTGATTGTCCAAAATGTGGGGTTGTGTCACCAGCAACATTCTTTGTAATGGCTAGTCAGACAGTTATTGATATACAGGGATTGTGCATAGACCACCTACATGCCCTCCAGATCATCTGAAAGCTCCTCTGACCCTAAACCCATTTCTGAAATTTGAGGGGTACTAGAATAGCTTCTGGAGAGCACAAAACTGTACACATATGGTCAAAATATGGGCTGCACACGGAGCTGCTTGCATATGTATCCATACAGGACTTTTTAAATACCTGAGCTAGTGTACCCTATTAAAAATATTTCTAAACAAGTGCAGATTCATTGCTTTTGGTTGATACTGCACTCAGACATATGGTCTTCATGCAACCCCTTCCAGCTGATCAGCCAATTTATTTTGGCTACATCAGGATCACTGAGGAGGGGATGCTTTGCCGTCCTCCCACCCATGACCTCAATGCAGCCCAAATCACTGTCCCCATGCTGCTCTTAGCCATTTAGGAACAGCAATCTAGGCTGCATTGGGATTGTTATAACTATTAATGGTAAAGCAGGTGTGAACTGCCCTGGAACCTTCAGATGATGGGTGGTATACAATTATGTTGTTGTTGTTAGTGATGGCCACCAACTTGGATGGCTTTAAAAGAATATTAGACAAATGAATAGAAGATAAGGCTTTAATCAGCTGCTAGCGATGATGACAATGTTCTGCTTCTACTCTCAGAGGCAGTATGGCTCTGAATACCAGTTTCTGGGAATCACAAGTCAGGGGAATGTTGTTGTGATCTGGTCTTGCTTATGGGCTTTCCATAGGCATCTAGTCAGCCACTGTGAGAACAGGATGCTGGATTGGATGTGCTTCTAGCCTGATCCAGCAGGTCATTCTAATGTTCTTAATTAAGCAAAGGCAATTCTATTTGTTAATTAACATAGCAGAATCTGTTTAAAATATGCACCGTAATTGAACTGTGGAATTGACATGCATTAATACATCTTGTGGTAATGAACTTGGTTGGCTATAAAAAGGGAATTATGAAATAGAAGATGAGACTATGTGCTACCTCTAGTACTGGAGATGGTGTGCTTTTTGGTTGCTGGGAAGCACAAGAGGGGAGAGTTCTATTGCGCTCAAATTAGCCTCTGTAGGATCAAGGTGTTGGACTGCCATGATAGGCCTCTGTTCCGATTTCAGCAGTGCTTTCCTTATGTTCATGCTGTTTCTGTGTGCTGGGTTCTAATGTATTTTTAATTGCTAATTGTTATTTTTTGTGTGAATGTTGTCACTGAGTACTCCTTTGTTTAGTGAAAAGGGGGTGGGATATCAATTATACAAAAAAATAAAATAATTATCTGTATTTTAGTAGAGATGAACACTGAGGCAGAACAGCAGCTTCTCCACAATGCTAGAAATGGACACAGTGAAGACATCAGGCAGCTGCTGGGAACTATGGACAAAGGAGAGGCCATCTTTAACATCAACTGCAAAGGTTAGTATAGGCAGCCTTTTGAGTAACACCTGGGACATTTATAAGTGTTGACACCATGGCTTCATTGGAACAAAATGTATACATTACTGCAGAATATTGGTCTTCTGGTAGTCCTTGGGAGAATGTAAAATATACTGGAATATTTCAGGCCAGATGTCATATCAAAATACGGTGTGTAGCTTCTTGGATCCATTGCGGGAAAAGATACATTTTTGAGAAGGTAGCAGAAAGGCCTTGTGTCATCTGGCACCACTGCTTTGTAAAAGTGCCAACTATGTTTTGAATAAATGCCTTGATGGATTATGATCTACTCCCTCAGACAAAAGCTAAGCTAAAGCCATTAGCGAAACTCACGGCAACTCGGCCTTCCTTTTTAATGTCACCTTTCCTCCAAAGAGTGCTATATGTTCGTTATCATAGCAGCAATCCTCTTGAGATTAAGGTTAAGCTGAAAGATAGCGAATGGCCAAAGGTTTCCCAGCTGAGTGGGGAGCCCGTGTTTTCCTGGTCCTTGTCTGAAACTCAAGTCTAACTGCTACAATGCTTTTACTTCTCACTGAGGATGATACAAATTCAATTTATATCAAACACATGTGAGAGCATCTTAAATTGGTGCAGTGCAGAATCATGTAGGATCTTTTTCAGTTTTCTTGGATGATATAACTTTGCTTGCATGAAGGGATGCTGTAGTTTAGATTTGTCGTGTTTTGTATTGTATCTTTAGGCAGAAGCAAATCTAACTTGGGATGGACACCTCTTCATCTTGCATGTTACTTTGGGCACACCAGTGTTGTCAAGGATTTGCTGAAGGTATAAACTTGTAATCTTCTAATGAATTAATATTTTCTCTGCAACAGAAATCAGCATTTCTCCTCCAAAGCAATTAGCAGTTAACACTGAAATGTTTAACTTGTAGGTCAAAAGGTTTAAATAGTTAGATGCTGAAAACTTATGCAGAAGTTTATTATGTACCCATTACACTCTGCAGGTGTTTCCTGTGGTACATAGTGGGTATGAATTGGGCAGAATCTTTATCAAACCTTCCAGCTTCAACACTTCATCACACCCAACATCCCCTTGCAGGATGGCCATGTCCACTATGTGCACTAATCAGGAACCCTTGACATATTCTTCAAATAGTATAATTGAGCTACTTTAAGTGTGTGTGCGTGCATGTGTATATGCATACATGCACACACACACACACACATGAAGCAGAACATGTTGATACTCTTAGCAACTACAGTGGACTAGAAGGGATCATGCTTCAAACTGATTAAAATGTTCAAGCTGTGTCACTTATCTGTGAAGGTATAAAGGACTCTTGATGCAAGTAAGAGTGCTCCTTCAGCTAAAGGTTTTCAGCATTAATCCTAGTACTTAAAATAAATGGCATTGGTGGTTTCTGAGTCTGAAAGATAAGAAACCAAGTTGAATCTGTTAGCCCATAGGCCTTTAGGTCACCAGCAGGAGTTCGGAATGAAATCTAGGCCTCCTGGCTCTAATTTTGAATTCTGTATGTCTATGTAATTGTTAAACCACATAATCCATTTAGTTCTGCTGCATGTGTAGCTTGATCTGACCTCTTTGTAACCCTTTTGAGAAAGAAAATGAGCTGAATCCAATTTGAACAAACTGGATTAAAGGTGGCGATGAAGTAGACTGGCACACAAGAATTGCTACCTTCCCAAACACAGAGAGCTTAGAGCTCAGATCAAGACCAATATAGCTTGCACTTGAGCACAGAGCATAGCAAGTGGACATGGGTAAGGCAGGCTGGCCAAACCACCTTTTGGAAAATTTTAAATTAAAATGAGTTTGGCATGGAGAAAGTCTTTACTACACTGGCTAAACTTTCTGGTAGAAATTTTGGAGTACAGTCATTCTAATACAGCCTGTCACTGTCCCAAGTAAAACAGATTTTATGTGGAAGTATGCACCATTGAAAGCAAGAATAGAGTTTGTGTGAATGGTCAGAAACCAATTTTCTTGGATGCCAAGCGCTACTAAACAATCTTTCTTTATAGGCTGGTGCTGAAGTAAATGTATTAAATGACATGGGAGATACCCCACTGCATCGTGCAGCCTTCACTGGGCGGAAGGTAAAATTAACAACTTCAGCCTCTTCTCAGAGGCATACCATTGCTCCTTGTGACTGTTCTCCCTGTCACAGACACCTTGTAATTTCCCCGTTAGAAATGTTTGTTCTGTTTAATTATACGTGGCATTCACTTCCCAAGACCAAAAGTACAAAGCAGAAAGTAAACTGGCTAAAAGGAGGGAGAGGCCTCTGTAGATAATGCAACAAAACTTTGTCTTTCAGGAGGTAGTTATGCTGCTTTTGGAATACGAAGCCGATACTTCCATTGTTAACGGGAATGGGCAAACTGCAAAAGATGTTACACATGATAAAGAAATAAGAGAGATGCTGGAAGGTATCCATTCTGTAAGATATATGAACTTTAGAGAATTGGCATTCTGGTAAAGATGCTTTGCCGCTGCATCATTCAGTATGAACAGTGGTGATGTCTTCATCCTTCTTAGAGACTATTTTGCCAAGGTGACAGAGCACTTCTTTTCCCTAATGATAAACACTGTCGTGGCTGCTTGAAACTGTGTCTGCATTGAACACATCCTGTATCGCACGATTAGACCCTGCTGCAAAGCTTTTACAACACTAGAAATGTGTTGATGATGTGAAGAAAACTGCTTGGTAGTTGCTGGTTCACATGATAAACCTCTGCACTGACATTGCATTGACACATAGATATGCAAATTTTGCCAAGGACCTGTGCCTTGAAGCTATTAAGTACCTAGCAGCATCCCTGTTAGTGTTCATAATTAGCACACCGGAAATCTGTGGTTTTCCCAAGAGCCTGATGTAAAAGGAGACAATGGCCTTGTGTATCATAACCCACATAACTTAAGCTTTTTTGCATGTGTGAACTTCTAATTTAGTTGCGGCGGTAATACGTTATTGAGCCTTTGATGGGTTTTCTTTCCTCCATAAGTGATACAGACTTTGACCATTTCAATAGGTGGGCTGTTGTATGGGTGTATTCAATAAATGTTGAGTCTTTCACAGTTGTTCTTTAAGGCAGTAAATTGCCATTTATTGCAGAAAAGTATATACACACACAAACACAATCAAATCTGATTTTAGTGGGGCTTCCAAGTACAATGTCCTTTATCCCAAATTACTTTTTTTAAAAAAATCTCATAAGATATATGATTTGTGTGTCCTATGAAACCAGTTCTATTTTTTTGTAAAGAATGTTCTAAGCCACATGTTGCCGATTATGTTTAGGGTGGCTTCCTTGAATTGGATACTCTTTTTACATAAAAGACCCCTTGTGCATTGTTTCATATGCCTATTTGTCTGAGGTGATACAAGGAGTTCCTTCAAATTAGAAGACCTCAAAACACTTTCCAACTTATGGTGTATATCCTAAGGTTTGTGGCAGAGACCAATGTTAATTTAGGGGGCACTATTCCCTGAGACACACAGCAGACAATCTAACATGGGTTGAAACTTTTATTTGAATTGTCTGAGGACATTAGAAATAAGGAGTTGTATCCACTAAGTTCTACTAGGTATGAACCCACTGAAATTAATAGACCTAAGCTAGCCAAGTTTATTTTCATGGTCCTGCTCTGAGTAGGACTAATGCTGGATGCAGCCCAGAGTCAGCATTCTTTTTAATACTGGCATCAATTGCACGTTTCCTTCTTCTGTCCTAGGATAGGAGGAATGTGTACTTGAGTCACTTCTAACATTGACTTCAGAAGCTTGAATAGCATTTTAATAAGGTGCCTGCAGTATCATGCAATGCGCCTTTCCCACGTAGATTTGTCAGCTATAACCAGTTTGTTGAAACTTAAGTGGAGGGTTTAGTATTTGCCAATGTAAATGTCAGTTCTACCTAAAGTTCCCACGTGATCAATTGCTTCTGATAGGCTACTTTTCTACAGTCAGGGAAGAAAGCTAGGTTACAACTTGCCTACACTAGAATAGTTTGTGAGAACTAGAGACACTCGTGCTTAGAAAAGGATAAAACTTTCACAGGTTTGAGAAAGAGAGGGAGACAACATGCTGTGTGAGAGTGAAAGATTGGCACATAGTTCAGACTTACGGAGTTTCCTGTCACAATATATGATGATAATGACCTCTTTACTTGAACAAATTTATGGAGAAGAAGAGGTCTATCAGTGGCTATTTATAATGACAGTCAAGCTGAACCTTCATGTTACTCTGATTTACAAGTACCAGGAGACAAGCAACAGGGAAGGTAAGATGCCTTCACCTTCTAGTTGCACAGTTTCTGGAACGATTTGGCTAGCAGCTATTGGAAACAGGGCACTGCACTAGGTGGGACCTTTGTCTGATCTCCCAGGGCTGCCCTTACCTGGGCTCAATGAGTCGCTTGCCTTATCCATATCTTCTGCTATTGCTGCCAAATTCTGTAGTGGTTCTAACAACTCATTCCCTTTTTAAAAAGATGCATTCCCAGCACAGATGATATTAGATATAGTACTGTCTCTACTTCACAGGGCTAGAAGCACTGCTTGCTGGGAGTTGTAGTATGGCAGAAGCAGGAAAAGGGAAGGAAAGAACTGTTTGGGCATAGAAGAGGTGAGCAAAGGGTCTTATGTAAAAAGAGTGTGTTACTGGGGAAAGCTGCTGTTAAAAGTATAAAATCCACCAGTATTTTGTTTTAGGACACACTCTCATTAGTTTGTGGCATTTAGCATTATGACGTAATTTGGGATAGAAGTGCTTTGGGATGGCTGACTGGGGAAAGCTCCACTAAAATTCTGTCAAGCTTTATGTTCTGTATTTCTTTTCGGTTTTTATTTTTGGTGGAGGGGCTACATAGTCAAAGCCCTGTAGTTGTTTTAAGACTCTCTAATCTTTAATACACACACATAAGCCTTGGAATGATTAGAAATTGTATTACCGTACTTATGTAGATAGCAAACCTGCTTAGATATGATTCAGATAAAGTCTATATTTTGTGAAGAGACATAATAAAGATTATATTATGATAAAATTGACTTTCGCTATCCAATATTGTATCTAGAGTTAACCCTTACTTAGCAGGATACTGAGTGCAGGAGTTGCTCAGTTTTGCATTGCTTGCTCTTCTAGAATTTCAGTTTGCCCTTAATTTCAAAGAAATAAACCTTGTTGGTTAGCATTTGCCATTGAATTCCTCTGTAAGCAGAGATGAATGCTAATAGCACTATTGCCAAATAGCTGCACTCTTATGACTGCACGCCGTGGGGGTGGATATCATTTGCATGAACTGAGCGTGTACAAACCTGTTCCTGTGGATATGATCTGGGTATGGAAGCAGGTTCGGTTAAAGCTGCCTATCCAGATAATCAAAGATGCAGTGTGTTCCCTGCATGAGACTCTCCAAAGCCTGCTTACTAGGACCTTTTAACTGGAAAATACTGGGGACTGGACTTTTGGCTTTATATATGCAAAACATAGGGACGCAGGTGGCGCCGTGGGTTAAACCACAGAGCCTAGGACTTGCCGATCAGAAGGTCGGCGGTTCGAATCCCTGTGAAGGGGTGAGCTCCCGTTGTTTGGTCCCAGCTCCTGCCAACCTAGCAGTTCGAAAGCACGTCAAAGTGCAAGTAGATAAATAGGTACCACTCCGGCGGGAAGGTAAACGGCGTTTCCGTGTGCTGCTCTGGTTCGCCAGAAGTCGGCCATGACTGGACCTAATGGTCAGGGGTCCCTTTACCTTATGCAAAACATCAGCTCTACTGCTGAGCTGGTCTTGGCCTATATTGTTCTGGAAATTAACAGGCTTGAAGTTTAGGGAATATAAATCTGTGACCTCTCAGGAGGGAAGGACCCACAAATGTTAATTGCTTTTTCATTGGGAATCTAGCAATGAAAGAAACTTTCCTATGGGAGGATGTTGTTTTAATTAATTATTTGTACTTAGCTGTAGAAAGGACTGAAGAAAGAAAACTCGAAGAACTCCTCCTGGGAGCTGCACGAGAAGGAGAAACTGAAAAACTCACAGCACTGGTACATACTGTGTTACCATTCTCTTGATATTTTTAAGCCATACTATACAAGTAATGCCTACATACAGGGTTTTTAAATCAAAATAGATAATAGTCATGGTGGAAATAGATCTCAGGCAGTGGAATGGCCAGGAGCTCTGGTAGTGCTTTCTGTCTATAATTCTGCTCGGCTGTCTGTGGTGTGTTAGAAAACGTAACTGCAAAAAATTAAAAGTATGATTAAATAATGTTTTTTTTTAATAATTGTCTCTAGTTAAACAGGTCAAATTCTCCTGACATCAACTGCACTGATCAGGTGGGAAATACACCATTACATTGCGCAGCATACCGTGGCCATAAGCACTGTGCTTTGAAGCTCCTAAAATCTGGAGCAGACTCCAAAATAAAGAACAAAAATGGTATGTAAAAGTTTCATTTTATTAGCTCCAGATTTTCCCTTTCACACGAAAAGCAAAGTGAATGGGTTAACTAAAAATAAAACATTATTTTCATCTAACTGGGTCTAGAGTATTGTATTTTAGCGCTGTCAATTGGCTTTGTATTAGAGAATTTTAATCCGGGTTTGTGTTGCCAGTAAATAAGTGCCAGATGCCGATGAAAATAAATACCCAATAATCCTATTTTAGCTCTTACAAAGCCCATATGCTTAACCAGTACCGTCTGATGCATTCTTGAAAGGACTTCTGTTGCTAACGTCATTCTCACATTAAAAAAATTGAGCATGGCTATGTTTAGTAGAATAATTTTTGAATCAATCCTTTGTGATACCTTGAGTAAAATGCCTGTTGAACAATACCTCAAACCAAGAGAGCATCCTTTGCTTTTCCTCTCAGCTGTGAAACATAAGGTATATTCTCAGAGTTGCCAACTGTATTGATTCTGATCCAGCTACGATGAAGTAAATCCGTCTGCTCTTTTGAACAGGTCAGACACCCCTTGCTTTAGCCCAAGGTGCAGAAATGAAACACATACTTGGAGGGGGCATTGGGAAGGTGGGTACAGCAGATTGTGTGTTTAATCTGTACCATTAACGTGGGTCGACTTGTGTTTAATTTCTCAATTCTTTTGCAGGTGAGCAACAAACCTCCGAAACGATATGAAGGACTACTGTGGAAGGTGCCTATCTTTTTTCCTTTTTTGCCTTCTCCTTATGTTTTAATTGGCCAGAGGTTTTTTTTTTTATTTCAAGCCATAGCAATAACACAAACTGATAGACGGTTCATTCACTGTACTAACTCTCAAGACAGAAGCAGAATTCATACCATAAATGCCCTTATCTTGAACTGCTTTGCTGAGGCAATGGCTCTTGGGAGCGGGCCAGAGGCCAACGTGTCTCCTTTCTCCAGGGCTGGATTTACGCTGACCTTTTTAGTGTTATCAGAACAATATTAGCTATATTGTTCTAAAACAGGCACCCCCAACCTTCAGCCCTCCAGATGTTTTGGACTACAATTCCCACCATCCCTGACCACTGGTCCTGTTAGCTAGGGATCATGGGAGTCGTAGGCCAAAACATCTGGAGGGCCACAGGTTGGAGATGCCTGTTCTAAAATGTCACAGGGGATACAGCTAAATAATGTTCATTACCTTAACGTTGTTCATCCCTAACAGCAGCTCCCTTTCCTACCTGGTTCCTGGTTGCTCTGCAGTGCCCTCTGGTGTCACATTTTAATAAAGCATTATTAACATTCTTAGCAAAATGTAATGTGACCCTTACGTCTTCAAAATCCTTCCTTGCCTCTTTCATAATAATAATAATAATAATAATAATAATAATAATAATAATACAGTGGTACCTCGGGTTACATACGCTTCAGGTTACATACGCTTCAGGTTACAGACTCCGCTAACCCAGAAATACTTTCTCAGGTTAAGAACTTTGCTTCAGGATGAGAACAGAAATTGTGCAGCAGCAGAAGGTCCCATTAGCTAAAGTGGTGCTTCAGGTTAAGAACAGTTTCAGGTTAAGAACGGACCTCCGGAACGAATTAAGTACTTAACTCGAGGTACCACTGTACCTTTATTGTCATTGTACAACCTTAACATTATAAACCATGAGAGTAGATCCGCCCCAGGTTATATCTTCCATTTGAGCTCTTCCATTTCTAATATGACCCATCTGTTCTGTATTGTTGCTGTTGTCTTAAAGGCTAGTGGGTGACAAAATGTCTTAACTTCCCTGACATGTATGAAATATAGGCTGCTTGAATCTTTTCTTCATATCTGGTCAATATTACTTCAAGAATTGAACCAATTACAGTTTATTGCATTATAATGAGCTGTGCAGCTAGATGCTTGACTCAGAAGTCACAGGCTTTGGGGATATACTTGAAAAGAAGGCTATTGTCCCATCCTCACTTTAACTAAATGTCCACGGGGTAGGCTAGTAGTAACTGTACTTGCAGCCTTTTATACCTCTCAGGTGAAAATGGTCATCCTTCCCAGGCTCTAGCTGAAGTTTTCAAGCAAGCATTACTTCTGTTTACTATCAGTCAAGTATCACAGAACAAATAGCAGAGTAGTCATCTTCAAAACTTCTGGCCTCCTGAGATAATTAAAACCATTAAGGATGTATTGTTCAGCATTAAAGCTGCTTAGTAATGCTTATTATTGTTTGTCATGCAGCAACACATGGCAAATTCAGCTATTGCTGAGGTGATAGACTCCATTTTTGTTTTGTTTTTAAGAGTTCAAGATTTTTTGGGTGGAAGCCATATTGGGTAGTACTGGAACATGGAGTCCTCTCCTGGTACCAAAAACAGTAAGTGTGAAATTGAGCATCTCTCTAAAGCCTTTTGAATGTATAATATTGATACCATCTGCTTTTGAAACATGATTTTGAAATTGTTGAAAAGTTGAACTTTCTTTACCTATACATAAGTTGAAATTTATTTCTTAAGATTATAATTTTATCATTCCATGTATTTGAAGAATGTGGTTTTTATTTATATTATGATGGATTGACTTGTATTACAAGGAAGACTACCTTTGCATTTGTTTTCAGCTCTCTGAACACTCTTCATGTGTAAATATAATGGGCAGTATTTTATTATTGGTCTTAAGTCCACTGAGTTCAGTGGGTTTATTCCAGGTGCGACTCAGTCAAATACCACCCAATCACATTCTACTATAAAGAAATTCTGCATCACTCCAAAAGCCTTTTGGTGGCTGTAATACTGATGATGATAATGATTAATTATTTGTTCTGCCTTCTTTTGAAGGACTGATATTGGGAACAGTAATCGCCGCCAAGGATGCAAGCACTTAACACAAGCCATTTGCACAGTAAGCAAACTGGGGAACTCAGAAATATCTGTTATGATTGTGGACAGAATGGGCTAGTGTGTTAGGCTTAGGTATGGAATATCTAGGTTCAAATACCCAAGCAACAGAGCAAGCATTTTTAGCCAAGGTTGTTCTGTTTTTATTTTTGGTGTTATGGTATTGTTGTTGTTGTTTAGTCGTTTAGTCGTGTCCGACTCCTCACGACCCCATGGACCAGAGCACGCCAGGCACTTCTGTCTTCCACTGTCTCCCGCAGTTTGGTCAAACTCATGCTGGTAGCTTCGAGAACACTATCCAACCATCTCGTCCTCTGTCGTCCCCTTCTCCTTGTGCCCTCCATCTTTCCCAACATCAGGGTCTTTTCCAGGGAGTAGTCTCTTCTCATGAGGTGGCCAAAGTATTGGAGCCTCAGCTTCACGATCTGTCCTTTCAGTGAGCACTCAGGGCTGATTTCCTTAAGAATGGATAGGTTTGATCTTCTTGCAGTCCATGGGACTCTCAAGAGTCTCCTCCAGCACCATAATTCAAAAGCATAAATTCTTCGGCGAGCAGCCTTCTTTATGGTCCAGCTTTCACTTCCATACATCACTACTGGGAAAACCATAGCTTTTACTATACGGACCTTTATTGGCAAGGTGATGTCTCTACTTTTTAAGATGCTGCCTAGGTTTGTCATTGCTTTTCTCCCAAGAAGCAGGCGTCTTTTTTGTGGCTGCTGTCACCATCTGCAGTGATCATGGAGCCGTTATGGTATTATCTGGTTCTTATTTGTGAGCCACTTTATAAGGAGTGTTGAGGCATAGATATTTTAAACAGCTGAGGAGAATTACGTATCCTCTACTTATGGCACATATTTCCTCCCATTCCTTAGAAAAATCTACTAGAATTCTACATGTTCGGGCTTTGTGTTCCAGGGCATTCCTTTTTTTAGGGTATCATTTTTAAAATCAACCTAGCTTCTAAAAAGGCTAACAGTCAGGTAACAAGCAGTACAACTTATAGTTTTGCAACATGCCCTATCCACAGTAATAAACTTATAAAAATAAATTACTGCGTAAAATGCACACATCAGCTTAAACTTATTGTGAGTAGGGGTAAAGAACGATGACCTCCAAGTGGGACTCACAATTCATAGCCAAATATATTTCTGAATACAGTCACACAATGCCAAGGCTGTGATTAAAAAGCAGAATTACAACAAAGGGGTTGCAAACGCTGCAGGAAAATGAGGACTCTGCTCTGTGATTTGTACAGTATGCAAAACTAAGCAAGTTGGCATATATGCTGTTTTGCATTCTTCTTTTGTTAGTTACAGGGCGGGGGAAAGAACAACAGAGAACATAGAATGCTCTGCCCTTTGGTTACTGGAAGTACTGCTGGACCTCACCTTGACTCCACAAACCCTGACATTTGCCCATAACATGTTCAAACCTATCCTTAACAGTCATGATTAATAAAAACTTTCAACGGGGTTTTCAACAGGGAACTGACTGCTTTTAATGAAAGGGCTGACACTGTGCTGTTTTCATTGTAATCATCTATATGTTTTTAATGTATCTTCTATTGATGTTTAACTGTTTCCTTAATGATTGGGGGTTGTTGTTTTTTTATTTCTCTGTTTTTAGCTGTTCTTGTTTATTTGTAAGCCACCTTGAGTCCCTGTCAGGGAAAAATGCGGGTTAGAATTAAAGACATAATAATAGTAATCTGATTTTTATTTTAAAATGAGATTCTCAGAATGCTGATTTTTTTTTTTTTTTGCACCAATTTTTTTCTGAAAGAATGAAGTGGGCATGGATTTAACGAGGTACAAATGCACCAACTGAATTATCTCTGACAAAACTCATTTTGCTTGATAGTTCGCTATTCATTCCCCCCCCCCCCCCGTTACTTTAAGTGAACAAGATCCAGACAAACTAGGGATGTTGGATTTGACCTGTAAAATTTTCAATAACTTAGTCACTTTTGCAGATGGAACTTGTATAGGAAGCACTGTGCAGTTGCTGACCTTCTGTTTCTGACCTGCTGTCTCTGCTTCCAATTGAAGGTAAAAAGTACAGACAGCAACCTCTTCTCAATCAAATGCTTTGATAATACGGTTCACAGTTTTAAAGTTCCCAAGACCAATCAACAGTCAAGAGAGGTAAGTATTTCTTTAACCAATACTTGGTAACTTGCGGATTCTAGCCAAGAACAAAACCACTGCTTGCCTAAAATGTAGTTGGATAGGAATCTTTTCGGGCTGAATTTATTGAGTTCTTGTAATGCCACACTAAATTATCTTATTGCCATGATGAATGGTGCTGTGTAGTTGTAGCTTTGTCTACTTCTTGTGCTTCACAGGGAAAGCAAGGCAATAACTAAACTGCATTCTTCGCTACCTGAAAATTTCCCTTCCTTCGCTGCAGCTTCCTTAGCTAATCAGACTATGGAAGGCTGACATTAAAGGCACCCCATGTCCACAGTGCTCCATGCAGGGTCAAACCCAACTTTTCATGAAATGCCTATGAGAAATGACAGGGACAAATAATCTTTATGATCTTATATATATTAATTCATATACTATTTGTGCCCCGTAAGCTTAAATTAAGAAATACCTTATGAGATGCTTGCCTGTTGGTCTTTAAAAAAGATTCCCCCCCTCAAGATCAGTCCTTTAAAAAAAAAGTCTTATCATACCATTTCCTTCCTTCATTGCTATCTAACTTTTGCCACTCCATCTTTGTCACCTCTGTTGGTACACTCTCAAGATAAGAGCTGTGGCGATTTGTGTGGACTATACCCTATTAAAAGTTAAAAAGTAGCAAATACTGCTTTCTGCTCACGCCCCCCCCCTTTTGTCCCCTTTCCTTTTTTCTCTCAGAACTGGGTACAGGCAATAGAAGACCATTCAGCATACAGCACACACTATTGTACTCAGGAACAACTGAGCGACGAAGAAGAGGAGGATGACACAATATCAGTTGCTGAGTTACAAGCTTCCCTCAAAGTAAGAAAAAGCTTCTGTATCTCATGCTACGTAGAGGTCTTCTTGACTCTCTGAATTTCTGGATAACTTTTGCCCTAGGGCCTTTCCTCTGGAATATACCAACACGAGGTGCCCTGGTCTGTGCAACTAAGGTTTAAAGGTGTACATAATAGAACTTAAAAGGTCTGTAAGGGAAGCTCTCTCCTTTTGCTTTCTCCCTCCCTCACACACACTAGGCTTTATCTTTAAGCCACTCTCTTGCATTTTGAGCTGCCATTTTCCTTTGTTCTGTATGAGAACAACAACGGGTTGAATTCCCTTGCTTTTGCAGCCAGATTTGGGGATGAGGCCCAGATCTGGGGATTCCAGCGTATGCACTTCCAGTGTTTTGAATTCCTGGAACAAGTTCTTCAGCTTCCCACTCCCGTCACTGCTATCAAGCTCAGAGAGATGCAGACCTTGTTGATATAGGGCTTCTTTTGATTTCTGCTACAAGTGCTGCTACTATTTCCTCATTCTTCATTTATTAACATTATTCCTATTGTAGCCCAGCATTCAGCTAAATAGTCTTGGCATGAGTTGTACAAAAGAGCATGCAGTTCATGATAACCGTTAAGTTAAAAACCACCTCCTGAAGAAGTGAGACGTTTACAGATAATGCCACACATTTTAATTTCCTTTGGATTTGGGGGGGCGGGCACCAGAGACTTGTGGTATATCGGTAATACTTTAAGTTAGAAATATACAAACAGACACTACATGACAAACAAATACTCCTAAAACAGCAGTAAAACAGCTCATCTTGCATCCGACTCCTAAGGTGCTTCACTTTACAATTCACATCTGTTAGTACTGTATATCCAACAAAGTAGTTTTGTTAGTTCAAGGATTTCTGGCTGCATATTGGAACTTCTCCTCCCTCTTCTTTAAAACTGTTTCACATATACATGTATGTCCCAGGTCTGAAGGTCTTCATGGCACTACTTAAAATAGTGTGTAGAATATATCAGCTTCTTCTACTGTGGTTTTTTAAGAACTAGCTATTGGGCAGATATAGTTCTTCTGAACAATTTCCTGTCTGCCTTTGAGTTGTCTAATAAGAAAGTAATTAACTTTTCCTTGGATACCCAACAAGAAAAAAGTCACTTTAAGTTACATTCATTTAAGTCATTAACTGGATGTAATTCACTTCTAAAGCAACTTTAATTCAGTCTGTGTAGCCATGTGACACTCGAAACAGGATGCTGTCCAGAGTAGCACCTTCTCATTTACTGGAGGGGGGGGAGGGGGGGAGAGGCTTTTACTACTTCAAGCCAGAAGAGGGAGCTCATCTGTTTTGTTTAAATATTTCTGAAGACCTGTGTAGGTATTTTTTAAAAACAACAACAACAGTATTTAAAGATTATTTGAAAACCTCTGATTATAGGAAACAGTTCTAGCATAAGAAAAAAAGTTCAGTAATTGATTTTCATTATAGTAATAAGGTAAATAAGTAAGTCTAACCAAATGCACAGTTGCAGTGCTAGTAATTTTTTTATCCTAAGAATAATTTAATTTGATTATGCATATCTCAACTCTTATCTTGCATAAAAATATACACTTCCTGTGGGAAGGGGGATTATTGGTTTGTTGTTGTTGTTGTTGTTGTTGTTGTTGTTATTTTTACTATGCATTTTGTGGTTTATATATTGTAATTTTATGTTGTGAACCGTCCTGAGATCTACAGATGAAAGGTGGTATACTAATAGTAAAGGTAAAGGTAAAGGGACCCCTGACCATTAGGTCCAGTCATGGACGACTCTGGGGTTGCGGCGCTCATCTTGCTTTACTGGCCGAGGGAGCCGGCATACAGCTTCCGGGTCATGTGGCCAGCATGACTAAGCCGCTTCTGGCGAACCAGAGCAGCACACGGAAACGCTGTTTACCTTCCCGCCGGAGCGGTACCCATTTACCATATCTACTTGCATATTGGTGTGCTTTCGAACTGCTAGGTTGGCAGGAGCTGGGACAGAGCAACGGGAGCTCACCCCATTGCGGGGATTCCAACCGCCGAACTTCTGATCGGCAAGCCCTAGGCTCTGTGGTTTAGACCACAGTGCCACCCGTGTCCCATATACTAACAGTACTAATTTGGAAAAGCAATTGACGATTTTTGAAAACTGGATGGCCAATTAGGGTTGTAATTACCGTATTTTTCGCCCTATAGGACGCACTTTTTCCCCTCCAAAAATGAAGGGGAAATGTGTGTGCATCCTATGAGGCGAATGCAGGCTTTCGCTGAAGCCTGGAGAGCGAGAGGGGTCGGTGCGCACCGACCCCGCTCGCTCTCCAGGCTTCAGGAGAGCCGCAGCGCCAGCCCCACAAGGTCGGGGGACAGCGGGGAGGCGGAGCGCCGCCATCCCGCTGTCTCCCGATGTGGTTTGGAGGCTGACGGCGTGCTTCTCCCCGCCGCCAGCCCCGCAAGCTCCGGGGACAGCTGGGAGGCGCAGCGTGTCTTCCCGCTGTCCCTGGACCTGGTCTGCAGGCGGCCGGCCGGGAGAAGAGCGCTTCTCCCCGCTGCCAGCCCCGCATGCTGCGGGGACAGCTGGGAGGCGCAGCGCGTCTTCCCGCTGTCCCCGGACCTGGTCTGCAGGCGGGCGGCGGGGAGAAGAGCGCTTCTCCCCGCTGCCTGCCCCGCAAGCGCCTGGGGGGGAAATAAAAAAAATTTTCTTTATTTCCCCCCAAAAAAACTTGGTGCGTCCTATGGGCCGGTGCGTCCTATGGGGCGAAAAATATGGTAGATTAAATTTCTCCAGTATTTTAAAACTTCTTAATGAACTTCATGAGTTTGGTCATCCCTAAATACTGACAAAACTTTGCTTGAAACTGGATGGAAGGTCTTGGTTTAGTAGCACCAACAAAAACACTCGAGGAAAGAAATGAATGATATGAGTCCCCAGTGGTGCAATGATTCAATGTTTCTGGCTGTTAACCACTACACATGCCAAACTAATACCTCTTTGGCTTCTTACAGCTTTTGCCTCTCTTTATGCAAAACATGTTCATGTCTTTGCTTGTTTTACTACATTCTCCTGTTCTAGTATCTTACATTAATTTTATGCTACTTTATTTCCTGTAATCATCCTCTACTATCCATACTTCATCCCAATTTCCTTTCTTTATACTGTACAGATCTTCCAAGGGGCATACCTGGGAACATAACTACAGCATGTGCAGAACTCTAAATAGGGCCAGTACATGTTGTACTGTTGCAGATAGTTTCTGGAGAAACCTTACAGGGCATTGCTCATTTCAGGGCAACTAGTGAATAATTCTGCTTAGTCTAACTTGCTTTATCAGTGCCTTAAAAATTTATGCTGTGAAATTTGAGCATCAGCTGTGTCACCTTGAAAACAATTGTACTTCTGGAAGCTAGAGGACGTACCTTCAGCCATAGAGGGCTTTAGTTCGGAAATTGATGTCGTGTTTGTTCTTTTTCTGTCCCAGTATGATGGTGCTTCCAATGGAATAAACTATAGCTCAGAATCAGCAATAGCCATTATTAAACACTGAGTGTGGGTGAGCAATGTGGCAAACACAGGATTCATTTATTGGCTTATTAACAGGGTGATCCTATGTATGTCTACTTAAAATTAGGTCTGAGATTAATGGGACATATATCTGGATTGCAGCCTAACTGAAGCTAACCGTGCAAAGGACAGTATACATACTGGTGGGAAACCTGTACTTTTCAGTATGTTGTTTCCATACTCCCACCAGCTCCCACCAGACTCAGGCAGCATGGCAAATGGTCAAAGATGGTGAGAATTGTAGTCCAGCCACACTTGGTTCCTTCCCCCTAACTTGAGATAGACAAATAGGTATAATACTTACTTTGATCATCCTATAATAATGTTATGTGGGTGCCTTGATTCCCCTGAATTCCTCAGTGCCAGATTCCCCTAAATATCTGATAGGTGTTAGAATTTCATCAAGCCTCCTGAATCCCTGGATCCAGCAGGGATTCAGTTGCCAGAATTGCCAGGCCAGCCTGATAATGGCTGCTAAGTGTCACCGATGGAAGCAAAAGCCCTGAAAAAGCTCAATATGGAGGTCAAATGGCCGAAATATTGGGAAATTTTAGAACAAGATGGTGATAGATTGAAACTGCAGAGTTTTGAAAAACTAAAAAATAAAGTGCGAGACTGGCTTCATTATTATCAGATAATGGAGGCATACAATTTGGACAAGAAAATCGGCTTCCAGGTGGAAAAATCAAAATTAGAAACAGAATTGTTAGAACCCAAAACTAAGATTTTGTCAAAGATGTATAACTTGCTGTTGAAATGGAATACTCAGGATGAAATGGTGAAATCTGCTATGATTAAATGGGCACAAGACGTTGGACATAATATTATGTTTGCTGACTGGGAACAGTTGTGGACCACAGGTATGAAATTTACGGCATGTAATGCCTTAAGAGAAAATATTATGAAAATGATATACAGGTGGTACATAACCCCAGTCAAGCTTGCAAAAATCTATCATGTGCCTGATAATAAATGTTGGAAATGTAAAGAAACTGAAGGTACATTTTTTCACCTTTGGTGGACGTGCCCAAAGATTAAGGCTTTCTGGGAGATGATATATAATGAATTAAAAAAGGTATTTAAATATACCTTCTTGAAGAAACCAGAGGCCTTTCTCCTGGGCATAGTCGGCCAATCGGTGTTAAAAAGGGACAGAACTTTCTTTATGTATGCTACAACAGCAGCAAGAATACTCATCGCAAAGTATTGGAAGACACAAGAGCTACCCACACTGGAGGAATGGCAGATGAAAATGATGGACTGCATGGAATTGGCGGAAATGACTGGCAGAATCTGTGACCAGGGAGAAGAGTTGGTGGAAGAAGATTGGAAGAAATTTAAAGATTATTTACAGAAACATTGCAAAATTAATGAATGTTAGAGTGATGTTGGATTGAAGTTAAGTGGCTTCTAGCTGTACAGGTTTTAAAGCTATAAATATATCAAGATTAAGGATTAGGATCAAAAAGGTTAAGAGAAATGGAAAAATTGGTTCTAAATAGGTAAAAATCTAATGTCATAATATATTAAGATTTAGGATTGGAATTAAAAAGGAGGGAAAGAAATTGCTGGGCTTACAAACTGAATTGGAATACAAAAGAGGGAGGTATGAGGAAGTCCGGGAAACAAGTAAATGTAAAAGAAGTTATGAAAAGACGGAACTATTTTTAACTGTTTTTTTCTTTTTTCTCTTTTTTCTTTTGTTACTTTTTTCTATTTTGTATTTTGTATGGTGTATTTTTCTCTGTTTTTGTTAAAAAATTTCTTGTTTATTAATGTGATTTTATTATTTCTGAAACTTTAATAAATATTAATTAAAAAAAAAAAAAGATAATGGCCGCTAAGTATGAGTTGTTAACTTAACCAAGATGGTAAATAAACCATATATTATAAAGACACCACAATCTCTGCTGTGCCTGGACCCATGGAATCTACTCTGCTGCAGAGATTGAGGTGGCATGTAACAATATATCCAGAAGGGTGTGCAAGCCTCTGAATTATAGTAAACTGCATATGCTATTACATTTGGGTAAATTGCTTATGCCACTGTGTTTGCCCATTAAGAAGTCCTTTCACCTATTTTATCTCTTTATGGCCAAGGTAAAACTCGTAAATAGCAAAGAAAGTTAGGAGAGTTGCTTCTGAAATTCATGGGTAGCCATTTTGTTCATATATTTTTTTAATGAGCTGCTATGGCTCTTGGATGTCCTTTATATTGTGACACTTTAGAAATAAAACCATACATTAAAAAAATGCTGGATTAACACTTGTAGATAACCTTTTTTGTAAAAATTCACATGTAAATAATATGAGCAGCTGCTCTCTTTTTGAAATAGAGGGCCGAAGTAGATGAGAATTGGAAATCTATAATCAGATCTTCGTCCCTTTGTTTTTGAAACTAGCAACTGCAATGAAGGTACACCTGAATTAGGACTGTGGAATGGTGAGGGGACACTTGACATTTCCCCAGTGTAAATCCCCGCCAAAGCTGATATTTGTCTCCTTAGGGAAAAGTCATGGTTCCTCCATGGCTGCTTTCTTTTCTGCTTCTCTTTCTCCTTTTCTTTGCTTAAAAAGGTACCTTTAGATTAGAGATCTGTGGTGGCATCTCTCATATGTCACCTAGTTTGGCACAAAGTTTTATAATGATGTAGGTCATGTTTAACCGGAAAGAAACTCTTTAAGATTCGTTATTCTGAAAGTGTGCAGTTTTTCGTAGCATACCAAATATCTGTTTCCTCTCCACAGGTTGCACAGTCATGGCAACAAAGACTCGATAAAGAGATTTCTGGATTCCTCACCGTAATTCGGTCATGTGACACTTCTCAAGGTGACTTGTTTTCGTTCATAATAAGGAACGCTCTTGTTGCTTTGAAACACTTTCCAAGCTGATCCGCAAGAACAGCCTTAACTAGTTTCTCAGTAAATATGGGACCACCCCTGTTCTGTCTGACCAGATGTCTCAATCAGGCCTTAGTAATGGGTGCAAAGTTAGCTGATCTCATACTCAGCATAATTTTTGCTCTTTTGTGTCCTGATGTTTGCAAGTAATTTAACTCACACATTTTGATACGGTTTAATATCTATTTTTCAAAAGGTTAACTTCCACTTTCTGTGTGTCCCTCAATATGCACAGAGATGGGGCAGTTTGGTTTAGATACAAGCAGCGACCATTTTGCATGCGTTTGATTGGTGTGTGACCACCAGTGTGCAAGCCGTTTTTGGCCCCGAAAGTGAGCCGGGCAGAAGGGAGCAGGCAGACTTGCACTTTGCCAATGAGCACAATGAGTTGGAATGCAACCCCCTCGCAAATGGGGAGTTGCCTGTACTATGTGAGATTAGAGCATTTGTTTTAAGAAAGTAAACCTGACAAGTATTGTAGTACTCATGTTTCATAAAATTGTGCGCATTTAAGCTGCAAAACCTTCCGCATCAAGGCAGTATCTAATGCATTTTTAGAAATGAAGAATACACTGGGGACAGCAGCCTTCTCAACCTTATCATTCTGGAGTCCTCTTGCCAAAACACCTGAACTTTCTGCAATGCTGTTAGAATAGCACTTCCTCTTACAAAATTCTTATACAGGCCTCTAGTGTTCAGATGTTTCTAACTTCTGTTGCTCTCAGAGTGTCAACATTTTGTGCAATATTTGTAAATGAAGAACAGGTTATAACCATTAAGGGAGGATACAAGATTTTAGAAGTTGTGGTAGCTGACTCAGAAACACAAATTTGGGGTTATGTAGTAATGTACCATCCAATTGCTATGAAGGAAAGGTTACTGTTCAGATATTCCCACGGGCTTGTCCAATAGCAGTCGTACTGTGGCCTCTCAAAAGCACTGTCTTGGTTTGTCCTCCTGTCTTGTGATCATAAATTTCACAGTAAATTGTACTTCCTCCTAGCTAAGACCTATGGGTTTTATTACAGCAGAAAGTAATTAAATGTTCTTTAATTAGACATTCCTTTTTCTCAAGTCAAAAATATCAAGTGTATCCTATGTAAGAATGGCTGATGGATGAAGGTTCTGGGTCATGCTTCTGTGAGACTGTTTTAATAATAAACTTTGTAGGTTACACAAGCTAAAACAGCAACAAAAGGTGGGGTGGAATAAAACAGTAACACATACATTACCTGCCCTTCTTCTAAAGGAATGCCTACTTCATTTCTCAAGAAAGCTGAAGGGGTTTCTGAAACATCAAGAGAAACTTGTGAAGCGCTGAGCAATTGTCTCAAACTCTTCACTAAACAAGAAGGGGTAAGTATTTCTATGTGGCATACTCTCTGTGAATCAAAACAATGACAAGTATCTATAGAAGAACAACATAAGAACATCATTTGGATGGGATCTTTTCTGTCCTTTGCAGCCTTGAGTTCTGATTGCTGAGCAATATTCCCTCTGGTTTGGACACTTAAGAACTTCAAATATTTAATGCAATGTCACATAAGTTCATAGCCTGAGAAAACATCTGAAGTGTTCTCACAAATAACAAATGCAGTTTTAGCAGAGAGACATTGATAACAGAACTCTAGAACACTGGTCAAGTTGATAAAAAGAAAGAAAGATTAGAAGTGGAAGAAATATTGGGTGGAATGTGCAGTCTGCTTCCAGGAAGAAGCAAAAACAAAATATTGTGGCTCCTTAAGGTTATAGTGTAAGCTTTCATAGATGAGTCATCTTCCTCAAATGCATGAAGGTTGGCAGGTATATGTATATGTGGGGGAGGGGAGGTGGTAGAATTGTAAGCACTGGGGTCAAAAGCCAATGAAATGCCAAAAAAAAACCTCAAAAGACAACTGAAGTAAAGCTTAAATGTATGCAAGATCAGCACAGTCACTATTCACAATGGCAGAACTGTAGGCCCACAACTTATGCACATTTAACTTGTGCACATTTAACTTGGCAATTTATTTATTTGCTTGAAATAAAAAGGGGTGGGAAGGGGGCAGGTTCTGGGAATACCGACTTTGGCAATCCCATCCACCATTGAACCCAATGGGTTCATGCCAGAATGTAATCCCCACATTGTGTACTTTGTAATTGGAGATCACAATCAACCTACATTAGCTCTGTTAACATGTTGGGGAATAGGAAACCCTTGACTGTATTTAAGCCCAGATAGAATATATTGAAGATTGATTCAGAAGTTTCATGATGGAATTTTCTATTTAATGTTGCTTTGTTCAGGTGGGCGGGGGGGGGGGACTAACTTTCAGATCAGCAGTAGAGTACTCTGGGAGACTGAAGTGTTCTCTCACTGATTTTTTTTTTTAAATGTCATTATTTCTGTTAGATCTGTATTCATATAGACCTGCTTGTCTTGTGTAGAATGCAGAAGGCATTGCTGGCAAGTAGGTGGCAACATATACTAAATTGGAAGATGAACAGGTGACTGGATCCTTGATGTGGCTAATGTTAGGTCCTGTAGTGGTATTACCAGAGGAAATGGGGACAGAATTGACATTGGTTTAGACTGTGTTTATAATCTGCAGGATAGCTTTGTTCTCACTTCAGCTAGAATTCAGTTGTCAAAAATCCTGTCTGTTTTAGACCAGAATTAAGGTTCTTCCTAAGATGGTTCAAGTTCCACGAAGCCAGCAGTTTAAAAACTAATGCAGACATGACTCATTATTGGTAAAGATGCTGTGCAATGTCACAAATTGTGCATACTTTCAACTTAGCTCCACGTACCCCCACTTTTCCTTAAGTCTTTCCAGCCCAAATACAGATGAGGATGAAGTACCTGGGACCAGCAAATATGTTCCATGTTGTGCTGGTCCTTAATGTGTTGCTAGAGGAATCCTCCTTTGACTTTCCATGTGCCTGTTGTTGCTTATGTCCGAAACCAGCAGGATGGGTTCTTTTAGTACAGTACTCTTTACCATCCTTATGCTGGCTTGTCACTGAGTTTTTTGTGATGCACCTACAGAAGGGGCCAGCAAGGTTTACTGGCTATGGGCTGGATCACTCCCACAGAGATTGTCTGTGGGCTGGACTGGCGCAGTGCAACGCCGGAAATCGCGTCTGCGCATGTCCGCAGTGCTTGAAATTGCTTCTGCGCGTGCCCAGACACCGAAAACTGTGCCTGCGCAGAAGCAATTTCTGGTATCTGCGCAGACGCAATTTCTGGCGCCGCTCAGCGAGTTCCCACACCGTGCTGTGCCGGTTTAGCCCAGTGCGCGGGGGACTCACCGAGCGGGTAGCTCGGTTCAAGGGTGGCTTGTGGGTCAGTAAAATGGTCTTTGTGGGCCGCATCCGGTCCATGGGCCACATGTTGCCGACCCCTGCACTACAGTAAGACTGAATAACATGAGAGGTCCGAGTTTCTTATTCTGGATTTGAAACTCCAGCATGAATGAAAGAAAAATATTCACTATCCTATGACTTTAACAGTGGATACGTTGCAAAATGTTTGAGGATATTTCGGAACCTGAAATGCTTGTTGGGGATAAAACAGGTTGAGTGGTGGTGTGCTGCAACAGAACAGAAGTGAGATTTAACCCCTTAGGTTGAATCACATGACAAGGACTTAAATTACTAATGTGCTTACATAAATCCACTGCTTATTATAAATTAATTAAGCTCATGGGAGGACAAATAAAGCTACAGTGTAGCCATTTGTTTTCAAGGTAAATTGTTTTCAAGGATAATTGGGTGCATTATAGAATGTTGAGCTGTATTATATACGGTATTGTAAACTTGCAAAAGCTCACCGTTAATCTGTATAAAGTTATGGCTGAATTTGAAAAGTTTTTATGGTGGTAGATGTGAGTTCAGCTTTGTTTTTCCTTTAGCAAGTTGTATTGCAAATGAGGAAGCTTGAGCTGACCGTGACTCGCAGCACCAGTTACATGACAATGCAGCCCATACAGTGAAGCCATTGTAGGCTCTGCAAAAATAGTCTTGAATAGTGAAAATCTGAGCATATGTCTTCTCCTGTTACACTTGAGATAGGAAAAAGTGTTGGAAGAGGGAAGGATTTGGCAAGTTGAAACTTCACAAATAATGGCTAAAAATGCACCTGTGATTACTTAATGCATCTAAGTAATTATTCATTTGGACTGTGTTCTTATGTAATGTGTATTACTTAAAGTGAACATTTAGATAGCGGTGTATGGGATTTTTGCCAGGAAGGTGAGGGATAAAACTGAAATGCAATGAAGTACTGGTTTAGAAACAGACTTAAGCAGCACTCCAAAGCTAGGCATCCCTCAACGAGACTGATATTCAGAGGTTCCCACTGAATAGTCACAGCATATATTAAATTAATACTGAGCCGTATAAAAAAAAATTAAGGAGAAGGGCCATAGCTTAGTGGAAGAGCATCTGCTTTGTATGCAAAAGGTGCCAGGTTCAAATTCCAGTCTCTCCAGATAGGGCTGGGAGTTTTCCCCGTTTGAAACCTGCGAGAGCTGCTACCTTCTCAGTGCTGAGTGCTGAGCTAGGCTGACCAATGGTCTGATTTGGTATAATGCAGCTTCCTGTTACTAACCACTGTTTAACTTTTGCTGCAAGTTGCAAGATGATTTTACCCATACTAAATATATACATGTTTGTGTGCCTCTTTTCCCTATTGACTGGGGCATGGGAGGAAAGTTTCTTATTCTGGATTTGGAACTCCAAAGTTCTGAAATGCCCCCCAGGAAAAGAATGTGTAACAAAAACTTCCCTTTCTCTAGAAATTAAGGTGGAGTCAATTTTTGAAGAATGGGGGAATGCAGGGTGGTGGTGGGGGTGGTGGTTGTTGAAAACGGAGTATTATTCTGTGTGGGATATGAGCAGTAAGCCTTGCAGAATGATGGCATAAGTCTGTAGTGAGGGTGGAGGCTTCATTTGCTGTTTGTTAAGCTGAAATGAATTTTTTTCCTGCTTGAAAATATTTACAGTGTTCCCTCGGGTTACATACACTTCAGGTTACAGACTCCACTAACCCAGAAATAGTACCTCGGGTTAAGAACTTTGCTTCAGGATGAGAACAGAAATCGTGCAGCGGCGGCGTGGCGGCGGCAGGAGGCCCCATTAGCTAAAGTGGTGCTTCAGGTTAAGAACAGTTTCAGGTTAAGAACGAACCTCTGGAATGAATTAAGTTCTTAACCTGAGGTACCACTGTATTGTAGATCCCCAGAGTGATCTTGGGATAGTTATCTGAATCAGGCCTGCAGCATGGGGAGAGGCAATCTTGCTCCAATGGAAACTTCTCCCTACCACTGCTATGCAAAACTGCAAGACCACAATAGGGGGCCAAAGGGATAAGCCCATTGACCCCACTCCAGAGAAAGCCCCCTCATGTTGGCATATGTGCAGTAAAAATCACACTCAAAAGCAAACAACCTGATTAATGCCATAGTTCAGACCTTATAGCATTGCATATATTAAAGTGCAACACTAAATATAGCTGTTGTGGTCAGGGTCAGAATAAAAACTGTATGGTGCTGGGTTATAAAATGTGTAGGGTCCCTTTGTACCTAACCCAGTTTCTGCCATCCATCCCCATTAACAAATGTACTGATATCAGATGGGCACCTGTCCCTGATTCTTTCTTTTTATTAAAATAGCTTCAGAGGACATTTTGGGGGGGAAAGAATGTACGTCTAGCTTATGAGGTTCATTGCTGAGTGCTCCATGTGACTCCACTTGTGAAATAAATTTATTAATGTGTTGGTGATGGTTGTTTCTTTAAATAGCACCATTTTGTATTCTGTTTCGCAAAATGAATGGAAAATTAAAATTCTGAACGAAATGTGAGATACTCATTTACATTTTTCCCCTGAGAATGTGGTTCAGATTACAGGGATATTTAACATCCAGCTAGGTCACTCAGGCTGAAGTCTTAAACTCATTTAATAGGAACCGTTGAACAAAATGGGACTTATTTCCAAGTAAATACGTTTAAGATTGTGCTTAGAGGGGAGGGCTGCTAGGCTTCATAGCACTGTTTGCAGGCCAAGCCTAGGCTCATTTAGTTGTTCTTCAGTGGTGTAGCCGTCACATAATGTCTTGTTGGGTGGTGATTCTGGGGTTAATCTTCATCATTTAGGCATTGTTTGATTCCCATTCCAACATAATCATCCAGGGGTCCTTTACCTTTATCTGCTAGACTGTATGGGAAGTATCTATGCCAGTACAATGTATTTTGGGGGGTGGGGTGAGGGGGTAGCAGGAGTGTTTTGTGTGTGGTCCAATAATCCATGTGGGATTAAAATGTTGTCTCACCTGTATGGAATTCTCAAAAAGTGTGTATGTTTTGTTTGTCTTTCTTTCTTTCTTTTTGCTGCAGCAGTAGCCATACCACACACAAAAAAAATTGGAATTGTGGTTTTCCACACTGCTTTCTGAAGACCTTATTTCTTTTCATTTTTTTCTTTTTAAAAACCTCAGCATATATAACTGCTTTTTGGGGGGGGAGCAGCTACGTTTATCAGTTTAATTGACAGGCAGGACTTAAAGTGGTCCAGCATTTTCTGGCCTTAAAAGGTAAAAGAATGAGAAGTTTCACTGTTGGATTTTTGTCTGTCCCAGAACTGTGAGGAATAGGAGTTCTACAAAAATGGCTGACTTCAAGTTGGTATAACAAATAATTAAGCATCCCCCTCCACCCCGCTGCCTTTTGAATTGCGTGTTGTGGTTAAAGGTGGGGCAAGACACACTTGTCTGTCCTGTCTGTCCTGAACTTCAGAAGACTCAAACCTGTTCATATTTACCCGTGCTGGAAGAAGTATGTCCTCCTGCGTTCAAAGGGACTTAAAATTTCGAATAGACATGGTTAGGATTGCACTTTTAAATCCTCCTTAATTCAGTGGGGCTTAATCTCAGGTAAACGGGATTAGAACCGCAGTAGTATTATTCCTTGGCAAGCCCTCTTCTTGACAAAAGTTGCACTTAGGCTTCAATCGTAATGCGTGTCTTTGTGGAAGAGAGAGATATTTTCGCAGCAGGCAGGATGCCTCCGTGTGGCTTGCTGCACACATGCTCCCTTCCCACTCTTTAGGACCCAGCAGGAACTGGAGTCAGTACTTGGGTTAACGGGTTTGCAGCTCCGGCGAAGGCTTGGCTCCCCTTTCCCTTGCATCGTCCTGAAGTGAGCGCGGGGCGGGCGGAGGAGCGGCTTCCGTTTCTCCTCCACCATCCCTCTCCGACTCCGCGTCTCTCTTGGCCAACTCCAGGAGGCGCGGGGACCGCGTGGGGGCGCGCCAATTTGGCCCTCCAGAAGGCGACGAGCAGCGCTTCTGAGTCAAGGGCTTCTTTTGCTTGCTGCTTGCAGCAGCCGGTGCAGGGAAAGCGCCGGCGTCCTAATTAAGCTGGTGCTGCGCCTGCTTGCTTGTATCGCCGCTATCCTTGGCTGTAGTTGTTGTTGTTGTTGTTGGGCCGGGACGTCTCTTGAAAGCCTTCCCTGCTCGGGAGCTGCGAGCCTGCAAACTGCCCCCGGGGGTGGGGGGAACCCGCTCTCGCGATAAGCCCTGCAGAGGCGTTGGTGCAGTTGCAATAGCGGCGCCGATTTGGAGAGCGGACTAGAAAAACGAGAAGGTGACTGAGGCGGCAGCAGCAGCAGCAGCAGCCGAGACCTTGCAGGGCTGCGCGCGAGGTCAACAATGCCCTGGTGACAGAGGCGAGAGGAGAGGACTCCGGCTGGGCAGCTTGCAACGCAAGACGACCTTTGCCAGCAGCTCCTAGGATTCACCGTGTGTGTGTGTGTCAAGGTGTGGAGCACAACAAACGAGCTGGAACGGTAGGTTTCTCCGGGCATGCAGGTCTTGTTGTGTGTGTGTTTTTCTTTGGCGTTACGTATCGGTGGGGAAATACTCCGGAGGAAGAGATGGAAGGTGCAAGGACAGGAGGGACTGATCTGGGATTCTGACAGCATGCTGCCAGGCTTTGCCGCTCTACTAGGCTCAAAATCTCTTCCATCATCCCCTGACCCTGGTAGCTTGTGCTAGAAAGCTGAAAAGTTTGTAGTTTCTGGTGCTTTGTTTTCTGATGCTGCAAGTTTAATGGCTTCCTTCTGACATTGGAATGCTGTGTCAATGAGCCTTTAAAAATGCCTATGTGTTAAAACGTAAGTCAGTTCTCAGAACTGAGTTCAGGACATTTTTTTAGTAGTGGGGGCTCCTTAAAAATAAATAAATTGAAGCTTAAGTAGAAGATGTAAGAAAATTATAGTTTGTGGTATTACTTCACTGACAGCATTGCTTTTATAGTTTCATAGAAGTTGGTATTGTTGTATTTCAGTCTTTGCAAACTCCAAAGAGATGTTCAATATTGACATTGAGGCGTTTTCAGCCATATCACTATAGTAGCACATAGTAGATACAGGTAAGCTTCCTGTCAGGTGTGTGTTCTGTAGAACAAAGGATATGCTTTGGCTTTAAAATGCAGTACATACAGATATTAATCTTAATTTGAAGGTATGAAATGAGGACACTGAAACTAAAACTAACTAATTTACTTGAAGTCTGAGACGTAAGTGAAATTCAGTAGTAACCTAACAAACTGCTATGCCCTTGGAAGTTAAGCCCTATTGGTTTTCTGGGTTCTTACAAATAAATGTATTTAAAATTGAAGTTAAATTTTTCATAACTTAATTCTGTTTATTCCTTTGTGGGAAGCATCTTACTTCTTAAAAGAGTGATGTTTGGCTGGCTTTATTATTTGCTGCAGTGCTTCTACTTAATCCACAGTTTTCTGGAAACTATCGCGCCATCTGCAATGTACATTTAAAGTACTGTAGCATTGTACCACTTTAAACAGTCATGGCTTCCCCCAAAGAATTCTGGGAGGTGTAGTTTGTTAAGGGTTCAAATAGCTGTTAGGACACCCCTTAGAGCTACAGAGAGCTACAGTGGTACCTCGGGTCACATACGCTTCAGGTTACATACGCTTCAGGTTACACACTCCGCTAACCCAGAAATAGTGATTCAGGTTAAGAGCTTTGCTTCAGGATAAGAACAGAAATCATGCTCCGGCGGCACGGCAGCAGCAGGAGGCCCCATTAGCTAAAGTGGTGCTTCAGGTTAAGAACAGTTTCAGGTTAAGAACGGACCTCTGGAACAAATTAAGTACTTAACCCAAGGTACCACTGTACAGTTCTGATTTCCCTTGGGATGGATAACCTACTTTGCACATTGTAACTCTGTGAGGAGAATAGGGGGGGCTACCTACTGAAGTTTTGTTTGTTTGTTTGTTTGTTTTTTTGGAAGGTTGGTCTAGTGGTGGTTGCATTCATGATAGTTAAATAGAACCTCCAGGTTCTGAGACGGTCTACCTTTTTGTATATCTCTGTGTTGGGTAAACAGCAGGTGAGGGATGTCACCTTTAGGCTAGTGGCAGGTTGCAAAATCAGACTGTGGGAAAATGCTTGCTTGATTAAATGGGCCTTTATGTCTCTTCTTATGTTGTAGGGGACTGCTGTCCTACACCTACTTTTACTCATGCTGAGTTTCCTACATGGGTATCGCTTCGGTGTAGGAAATTATGACATACACAGCATGGGTGAATGGGGGTGAAAAGTAGCGCTGATGTGCAGTGGACCCTATGGGAACTATGGGTATTTGGCCCGCCATTCAGTGGGTGCTACTAGATCTGAGTGGCAGCTTAACTAAACCCATTAACCCCTTCCCCTCCACTGTAACCAAGCTTAAGAAGGTGTAGCTATATTTGTTCCCATTCATCTCTTGCTACCATCCCAACTACAATTTTTAATTGTAAGGTCCTTGTGGGCTGGGACAACTCATTCTCGCTTTCCGTTTCCCCCCTCTTTCTCATATTTTATTTCTTTTTCTTATGCAACACTGGAAAACACAGGGTAGCAAAGTTCTGTGCAAAGATGAACTTCCTTCAAACTTTAAACATTACAACAATGCCGCCTACGATTATGTTAGCCCATCCCTCATTCTTCTAGAACGAAAGGCTGTTATTTATTGCCTACTTGAAGGTCCCATAAGAGACTTCAAGCACTTATAAAGGGAAATCTCAAGTGCAACTGCAAATATCTAGCTTACCTCATCTGAACTGCTGCAGACCATTAAAAAAAAAATATTTCGAAGGAAAACAGGGTGATGGATTAATCCCTAGAATGTTGATCTTTCCCAATTTATTGTGGCCCTTAGGGGATTTATTTCCAACTCCAAATAGTATGAGTATTGTGTGTTGTGCAGATGTCTCTTCATAACACTTGGCACACTCCCTGGAAAGATGTGGAAGTGTATAAGCCTTGCTTATGTGTTACAGGGCTGGCCCTACTCCAAATGGCTCCCAGGGCGAGGAATATTTCAGTTCCCACCCATTTGCTGGGTTTTTGAAACCCTTTTTGTGCATTGTGTTTGCAGCCCTTTCCATGGTTGTGATGCACAAGTTGCATACTGTGTATGATTTGTTCTTGTTAGACAAGATGGTGCATTTGTGCATATGGATCCTATCGCAATCATGCCCACACTGTTCACTGAATGAGACTGTTGAAAGGCTTCCCACAAATAAAAAGCATCTGTTAGTACAGCCCTGGCCATGCAGCTCAATGTCCCCAGCTTTGCAAGTGAATATGTAGTTTTCAGCTGTTGAGAGGATCATTCAGTGAATAGCCTGGAGCCCAGGTGATTGTGTGCTCTGGCTGGCAGCAGCTCTCCAGTCTTTCAAGTTAATGTGTTTTCTAATCCTGCTACTTGAGATCTTTTAACTGGATCTTTAAAAAGACCTGCTGCCAAGAGCATACTCACAATCGTTACATCCAAATTCATGAGATCCAGAATGTTGCTGTTCCTGCCTCCTTCAGTCCAGATGGCAATAAGATCAAGTGCAGAATGCAAATTATAATGTAAGGCAGTGTAATTTGCTCCAGTGTGTTACTATTTGACATAGAAATTTGAACCAAGATTTTGTAACTCTTCCAGGGTACATGGTAATTCTTAATTAAATCTTGTTCTGAATTTTATTATATATATATATATATTCCCCCTGGGTCAGTTCTTTTCCCTTACCATTTTTGACCAAAGTGTGCACTACAAACAGGAAAAACATACTTTCTCTGCACACTGAGTTGTGGACCCAGGCATATGACCATGTGGCATATTCCCCCTTTCTCTCTGCGATGACTTCTCTTTCCTTCTACACCCCTCCAAAATATGTTCCAGAGAATTAGGGAACCTCTTTGGAACAGCCATAGGAGGTGGTACTGGGAGCTGTCATTTGGTACAACCCATATTTTATGTGCACCAGTACCAGTTTTGTGAGACATATTGGTACTGGTGGTTTAAGTTACTTCAGCATAAACAATAATACTTTTAGCTGCCTTTAAAGACACAATGTTAAATAGAAAACTATAATTTTAAGGGTTAATTCACTTAAATGACTCTGTAATGTCTATGAGCAGTCTTTCAGTCATGGAAGTTTATTTGGGTGGAGGACAATATTAAATTGCACATTGCCTCCCCAGTTTCAGTCTCGTGTTCAAAGCTGTAGATGCTTCTTTAACTTCACATACTAAGTTTCATCAGTATTGCACATATATCTCTAGTTCGCTGCTGTAGATATGAAACATGTGAAGTACCATATACAGAAATATAGGGCTTCAAATAAATCAGACTTGGCCTGTATGATGGGCACAATCCTGCCATTCTGCTCATACAGCTGTTCTTACAATATACCGTATTTTTCGCTCTATAGGACACACTTTTTCCCCTTCAAAAATGAAGGGGAAATGTGTGTGCATCCTATGGAGCGAAGACGCCATAGCCCCGCGACCCTCTCCCGGCTGGAGAGGTGACGCGCGGCTATGGCAGGAGCCTCTTTAGCCGCGTGCCACCTCTCCAGCCGGGAGAGCGCGCGCGCGGCTAAAGAAGCCATAGCCCCGCGACCCTCTCCCAGCTGGAGAGGTGACACGCGACTCTGGCAGGCGCCTTACCGCTGCTCCCCGACCTGCTCTTTGGGGCTGGTGGTGGGCTTTCCCCCACCAGCCCCAAAGAGCAGGTCAAAAGGAACCTGAAGCCTGGAGAGCGAGAGGGGTGGGTGCGCACCGACCCCTCTCGCTCTCCAGGCTTCCAAGGTACGCACCTTAAACGGCACCTTGTTTTAGAGCGGGAAAACAAGAGGGGGAAAATTCTCCCCCTCTGCGCAGCGCCTCCTGCCGCTTCGCTGAAGGGACGCTGGGCAGAGAGGGGGAGAAATTTTTTTTTCTTGTTCTCCCCCCTCTAAAACAACGTGCATCCTATTGTCCGGTGCGTCCTATGGTGCGAAAAATACGGTATTAGGGACAGAAAGAGGGATATGGAGGGTGGCAACATGGAAACGGGCCTTTTCTGAGGTGACACCTCATTTGTGGAATGGTCTCAATGATGCTTGCCTGGTGCTTTCATTACATATATTTAGGCGCCAGATGAAAGCTTTTCTCTTTAACCAGGCGTTTTGCTGATTAACATTCTGTGACCTTTTAAATGTGTCTGTGGAAGAGGGTGTTATTGGTTTATTTTGCTTTGGTTTTACTATGTATTTTGTGTTTTCATTTTGTATTTTTATGTTGTGAACTGCCCTGTGATCTTCAGATGAAGGTTTGTATACACATTTAATAAAAAGGGTTGTATACACATTTAATAAATGGATGAATGAATGAATGTACCGTCAATTTTCCTTTAATTCCACAATAGACTTCATACGGTGAGCCTGTCTTGTAGAACACTCAAGGAAAACATTGCTGCAAAGAATGGCCTGATTCATGAATATTCTAATTTGAATCTGCAGGGCCTTCTCTGTACTGGCACTCTGTTTATGGAACTCCCTCCTTCCTCTTGGAGGTGCATAGAGTGCCTTTGTTAGTGGAGTTTCACTGTTGTCTTTAACACCCATCTTTTCACCTGGGCCTTGGGGTAAATTAGGTTGGTGGGTGACACCAGCTATCGTTGACATACTGTGCTGCTGCAGAAAAACAATGCTTTTATTGTAATTGGTTTTGTCACTGTTGTAAAATTTATTTTTGTTTAATGTGAATATTGCAAACCTCCCTGGAATCCTGATGAAAGGCAGTATAGAAATATAGCATTGTAAATAAATCATTGTAAAGGAATTTGAAACAGAGCCACCACTATAGACCACAATGTATTAGAAGACTGATAATGCTGGAAGGCTTTCTGAGGGATCTTAGGCCAATCATTTTTGGGTTTAAAAGTCAGCTGTACCAATATGTTAAATAAAACTGGGAAACAAACTGCCTGTCAGTGGAGCTCAGTAAAAATGACATAATATACTTAAGAGTTGCCAATAGCTAAGGAGCTGCATTCAGGACTAACTGAACTTCATAGAATCATAGACTTAGAAGAGCCTGTTGTGTTACCCCCAAGCTCATACTAGCAGTTCCATGAATTATACAAAAGTTGCATTAACTGATTAATAGGAAACTTGCTTTGCCTTTCATAGCACCTTCAGTTTTAGTTGCCAATTTTTGCTTAGACAAATTCTTTTTGTAAGCTTTCCTATTCTGCGACACATTAAAATGGTGAGACAAAACTTCATGGCGAAGTTCCCTGGTCATCTTAATCCACTTCTCTGAGCTTGTTGACATGGTTTAGTTAGCAAACTGGAGCCTATTCTTGAAATAGCCTTGAGTTTCACGTTCTTGGGAGAGATGAGATTTTATTCATACATGTTTCTACTTATAGGTGAGGAATCTGAAACTGGAGCATGAGCAAGAGAAAAACAAGATCTTATCTGAAGCTCTAGAAACATTAGCTACTGAACACCATGAATTAGAGCAGTCACTGGTCAAAGGGTCACCACCTCTGAGCATCTTTAGTGAGGAACAGTTCTATGATGCTGTTTCAGGTAAGTGTGTGACATAGAAAACTAAAATGTTAGGGGTTTTTTTTTCCTTTAAAAGACCAGGGTCAAGGGTGTGTGTGTATTTGTGTGTTTATGTATAAACATATGCATATATACACACACCTTGACTTCTCAGAGTAATGAACAGAAGAAAAGGCCTATCCTGTCACAAGTAGTTTGCAGTATAAATTTTGACTCTGGCTAGGAAGAATATATTGAAAGGGGCAAAAGTAGCAAGATTTGGGTGCGAACAGCTGTAACTGGATTTGGAGTAATGAATTGTTTACTCTATAAGTAGTAGGTATGTAAATCTTGGTTTATATACAATAGAGCTCAATTTTTATAAGAGCCACGGTCACTCCTAGCCTGGCTGCTTTTTGCCATCTGTCTCTTGCCTCTCCATCTACAGACAAGGACAAGCTAATGAAAAAGGAATTTAGATCATGATTCAAAAACAAAAATGTGGTTGGTGCAGGCTCAGGAGAGGTAACGCTTTAAAAACCCATGTTCAGTGTCTAAAAACAGATTAAAATATAATACACGCAATTTCTAGCTTGCCTGACCAAAATGCATTAGATTAAATTGAATTGCACTGTTGTGAGGAGAAATGCACTGTAATAAACTAGGTGTTCAAATAGGTTTCTGCTACTGAAACCATTCAGCTGGCTAGGATTTCAGGGTCATCTTAGAATGGACAAGTAGTTGTCTTGACCATGTATAATGTGTCCTCTGCAGAAAATAAGAACCAGACCTCTTTGTTTGATTCCTATTTTTGGATAATGACTGAAGGAAAAAGCCTGTTCTCTGAGAATGAGGGGTGCAATGTGGGTTGGAATCTGCATGCTGATCAATTGAGTGGGAGGCATAAATGAAACTGAACACAGTTTCCCTTTTGTAAACTTTCTACCAAAGGTTTTGAGAGAGGTTTTGCCACCAGCAAAACCCCTCACCAAGGTCAAGAAATGCTGGAGAGAATGCGTGGTTTGGCTAGCTTGCTTAAGAACCTTCTGTGTGTTACTTCTCTACAGGCAGTGAGAAAATGTCGTTAAGCAAGAGGCTATGGTCTGCCTAGTAGCCATTTGTCTTGTTGATGATTGTTTCTCAGCATTAAATTGTCTTGTGAAAATTATTTATCAAAGGCCTTTCACGGAACCTGAAAGACAACACAGCTGCTCCTAATGTGTGCATGCATACCATAAGTGTCTTCTGATATGTAGAAATATAACACAGACAAATTTAGTGACTGTGCCAGAAGGTAAAATCTATCAGAACTTAAGGAAACCATTCTGGTGGAAGAACAGGGTTGTCTGGGATATAGGTTATTATTGTTATTTATACCTTGCCCATCTGGCTGGGTTGTTAGGATACATACAGATGTTAATATAAAAGTCTAAGCCAGAATTGGTGCACTTGTATTCTAATAGAACATCTAAAGCTCCTCTGGTAAAACTACATGTCTGATATGCTTTGTGCCTCCCTTGCGGGGGGGGGGGGCGGGCGAGTGAGGGGGTTGGACTCCATCTGAGTGCTGCTGTTTCAAGGGAATGTAATTTCTCATTTGTTTGTGAAGTTTGATAACATGATCAAATTTGAATACTGCACCAAGTTGTCGATTACTGAAATGCAATTATTCAGGGATATTACAGTTGCTTGAACCAAAGAAAATAACTGGACAGTTCCCCTTTTTGAAAGGGATTGAAAATTCACAAGAAAACAATCATATTGGGCAGATAAAGCAAAAAATAAATAATTTTTTTTAAAAAAAAGCTTGGCTCTAAGAGAGAGGAGAAATGTAGGCTATTTGTTTTCACTTGAAACTGTGTATTATGGGCCTTGTAAGCTGCAGTTTTAATTATTTGATGTAAGACCTTACAATTGGCAGGTCACCTGGAACCATACAAATCCCTTGTTTTACGGACTTACCTAAATTAATACGTTTGCCTTGTTATGCTGTCCTTCTGTAAGTGGATAGGAAGAGTCTGTTTACAATCTTATATCCACGATAGCAAACTCTTTTGAAAAGTAAAGCTCCCTGTCAACTTGGGATGTCTGTCAGGAGATCAGGAATTATGCAACCCTAAGGTCTCTTGTATTACCTGAATGGTTTCCTGTGCACCATAATTAACCTGTAAAGCTTCACTTGTTCCTTACAGAACAGCTTGCTCAGCAGCTAGTTGCCTTAAAAAAGAAGAAGACGGCATGTTTGGTATAATAGGACTTACCAAGTAGGCAGCTAGCTAGCCAATATCTGCACCACATAAGTATTAAAATGTAGTAAGAGAACTCTCCTGTACATTTTGGTATCTAACACTAGGAATAACTGACTGCAAAGGGAAGCTTATGAGCCAGTTTCATGATCTGAAGAATCTGCTTCCATCCTGAGTTCCATGTCTTGGACTGTTAATATCCATACATAAAAAACAGCCAATATATTCCAGCTCTTGAAATTTTGCATTGCCATCTATGCAAACATAGTGTTTGCTTTGATCAGATTTGTTTATAGCACAAACTGTAAACATTTATGCAAAAGGTCTGTGTCCTCAGTTCCTTTTCTGTGTTTGTAGCTGGGATAGAAAGTAAGTGACTAAACTGGGTTTTGCCAGACACTGGAAGAAAAAACACGTCCTCAGTCTCTGGGGAAAATATGTTCTGTGAAGCCTAGGATTGGTGGTGGTGGGTTCTAAGCTCTTCAGATAGCACCTCCTTCTCCTATGGCTGGTAAAAGTACAAATAATGTGTTTAAAATAGCAAATGCAAATCTGTGTGTGTGTGTGTGTGCGTGTGTGTGTGTGCGCGCGCGCACACACACACACACACACACACATATACAGTTGGTGAGATTTTGTACTCCACATTTAAAAATAGAGTTCCACTGGCCCTGAATAGCATTGCCTAGTTGGCTTTGCTACCCATTTGGGTGAAGGAAGGTCATGGAACTTGTAGTAATGTGTAGATGCAGCTGATAACGGAAATCCTGGGCATCTGCCAGATGGGTATGATTCAGAGAAATGCCGGTCCTTGTTGAGTATATTTCAAAGGATTGTTATGTGTGTAACCAATACGAATGCACATTGTGCTCATTTACCATGTTTACCATAGTTGGTAAGAAAAAATGTTTTCCTTTCCTCATTGGGTTGGACTTGCTGGTGAGTATATTTGCTTTAATGTGTCCAGCTGTGTTTCACTATGTTTTTATCCTTTATTGTTGGGGCATATTAGTTTGAAAAATCTTGATGTACACTAAAAAAACCCCTAAAAACTCAGGAGAATACCTGGTGTTAAATTTAACTAGTAGTGCAGGAATTTAACGACACACCTAAAGGAAAAGGCTGGATTCTCATATTAAAACTATGAAACAAAGAGTTGTGTAGGAACTCATATCTTAACCCTGATTCCAATAAGTATGGTTAAAGGATAGGCTAATATCGCACCTATAACGGGCCTAAGTTTAGGAGTTGGTAAGATGTTTTGCTGGTACCCTGTACTTGTCTGTCCCTGCTCACATTCCCATCTTTGTATAATCCTTGGCGCTGAACAATTTGCTCACCCATGTTCTTTCAGAGACTCAGTCTCTCCTTGTACTAAGTTTTCACTGGACAAATGCTGTCATCAGTACACCATAGGCTACTTAAGTTTCATTACGCTGTGCAAAGGAGGTGTCCATTAGCCTGCAAAAGGCTAGCCTGAAGTGTGTCTCATTTGGCGTTCATCTGTCTTACAGATTCAGAATCCGAAAAATCATTGAGTGGATTTGAAACTGTGACAACTTACTCATTAGAAGACAGTGTGGATTCTAGTGACACTATAACGTCTGACATGTCTGGAGAAAAGACCTGTAAAACTGGAGAGACTCTGTCAAATGGCATCAAAAAACACAGGTAGGATTTTTGTCTAGAGAGGCTGCAACCTATACTGCTGTGCTAGGAAAAAACAACCCCAAATGTGGTATCTATAAAAGATACTTGGGGATACTTCTGCCTTTCCCCTTGAACAGTGGTGGAACAGAAGTTCATTAATATGAGATCATCTTTTTTGTTGTTAACATTTTTTTAAAAAGTGAGGTACATTGATGTGACTACACCATGTTGCAAATGAAATACATGAATTCTTAACAATGCATGTTTCTGGCTCATTTAAATTTGTCTTACTGACATCAATACTGGTCTCTTGTTTCTTCATGTTTTTTTAATGTGGGTCTCTTACTGCTTTTTAAAAAAAGTTTCCAGTTACTTGATCGCCTTTGCATTATCATTCATTCAATGCTAGTATTGGCCAGATATTTCAATATGTTTTTGCAAACAAAAAACATCAAAAGCAAGAGGTCATATTGAAGACAAATGTCACACATCTTCTGCTTCATCTGTTCTTAACTTTTTTACATGTAAAAGGAGGACAATAGAACCCCTGTGACATGTAACAAATACTGCACCTTATTTCTCAGGTTTCAATGCAGAGAGAATTTAATATGTGCACATTTATTTTTTACCTCCACTGTTTCACTATCACTAGTTGCTTGGCATAAAGATGGTGACCTTATTTTATTTGCTGAAGACAAATTCAAGAGAGAGAGTTTGGTTTAAATACGTTTCACTCTCATATGTATCAACATTTCCATGCTTGCCTCTTGGCTCAATTTAATGCGTTCTGATCACCGCAAAATGGCACCATGGCTTGTGTGCAGAATGAAACCTGTCATGTCTTCACCCACAATCATTGTAGGACTGTAGAAATATTTCAGAATTTCTAGGCACAATGAAATTTAAACGAATAAGCAGTCAAAAATTCCACATACACCCCAGATTGACTCTGTTTAATAAATGATAGCCAACACTCCCCACTTCATCTCCCATGCCCCTTCTCACGTTAGATAAGATAGTCCTGTTAATGCAGTTTGCACAGTGTTCATTCCGTGGAGAAAGGAAGGATTAGGGTTCTTTATCAAATGATTTTTTGCTAGGCAGCAAAGATAAGCTCAAAGCAGCTCTAACTATAGGAAACAATCTGCAATTTGGCAGCTTTCCACAATGCTTGTTGTAAAACTCTATTGCCAAAATGGTAAACAAGAGGTGACAAGAGCCGCCAAGCTCTTATTTGTTCCTCAGTCCCCTGGCATTTCTCTTCTTTCCACTACAGATGTCTCTCATTAGGCTTTTTGGTCACTATTTTTTTTTTACATCTGTATAATTTTGCCCCCATACCCTTATTCAGCAATAATTATGTCTTTTGCTGTTTTTTTAATGGACTTTTTGGTAGTGTTTTAAAAATGTAGCTAGGGCGTATTCTTTTTTAACTTTCCAGCTCACATCTCTTTGTGAACTATATTGCAATATCTGACCTGTCATCTGGCGCTATTTAGGGAATTGGTGTCTGCAAATACTGTATATTGATGCAGATTCTCAGAGCTCTGTGGGAAAACCAATCTAAATTTTGCCTTGGAGCAAACTTCCTCAGGGGATGAAGCTGTTCAGTTGTCTTGGGATTCTTGTACTGTTTTCTTCTCTTGTCATACCGTGACTACTGTTGTAACATACATTTATGTGGGCAATGTTTTACCATGGTTTGTCTGAGTGTTTTATGTTTGCATTTATAACTAAATATATATATATATAAAGGGGGCGGAAATGCATGTGTAAATTTAAATGTAGCTTTGATACAACACCAAGGTGAACATACTTTTATGGTAAAAATTGTAAATAAATATCTGTCATGATTCTAGAACCGCAGTGATGTTTGTATTACATACAGAAAAGACATTCTGCCAAAGTTTGGAATTGGACATGTTTTGCATGCGGCATGTGACTTTTCTGCTAAGAACGTAGCAAACCAGTTAGTCTTGGGAACGAGTTGTCATTTCATCTGACATGTTCACTTTTGGGTTCTCATGCTTAGGCTTACATTATGCGCAGTTCTGAAACAAGGATGGGGGGAAAATAACTAAACACATGCACAGGCCTAGTAGTATCTTTTTGTCTGTGTGTTTGTCACTTGTTACTGTGCCATTTCATTTTTAAAACGGAACAAGAAACTGGCTGCTCAGTTTTCCTCAGTGGAAGTTCATTTTGAAGTGTAATAGATCGAAGGGGCAATTCTAGCCGTGTTACTCTGTCATAATCACATTGACACTGGCATAATCCCGGTTCAGCATTGGTGTCAGCAATGAGAAGGGGTAAGAAAAGTTGCTAATGACTCTAGGGTGCTGATTTCAAATAGCAAAAAGATTTAAACTTCCATAATGATATTTAAAAACAATATTTTAAAAGCCCCAAATATACAAAGGCTAACTGGGGGCTTATCAGTGAGCCAGACATGTAAATAATGTTCATTAGCCCAAGTACAGGCAGTGACCATTTTATGTGCATCGGATTGACACGTGATCACGCACACACTCATTGCTGCCAACCCGGAAGTGGTCCCAAAGTGGGGTGGAATGGGGGCAGGGTGGGCTAATGCAAACTCCACTTACACACACAGGTCAGGAATGGAACCACCTGTATGTAAATGTAGAAACAACTCCTGTTCTACCAAAAAAAAAAGCATGTTAACTGATTTCCTCAGCTGTTTGTGTCTATGTGCAATAAGTGGCATGCCGAAGGAAGTGCTACTAATTGGCTGCAGCTCTCACTCCCAACGAGGTCTTGTACTGTACTTCGTTTTTTGTGATTGCAACAGGAAGGAGGACCCCTTCTGGTTAAAGATTCTGTGCTTTGCTGGTACTACCAGGAGGTGACGTGTTGGCCTCTGCCAAAATAAAGGCCATATACTGCTCTCTCTCCCATCTGCCTTAATTTTTGTGCTTTTAGGGCTGTGTCTAGCGACACAAACTATACAGTCAAGTAACTTCAGAGTTTCAGAATTGAGATGCTACTTGCCCCTCGTCTTGGGACTTAAATGGATGCTGAAGTTCAGTCCATTTGTAGCACTTCAAATGCTGTTAGTTTCTTGAATGACACGAAGCTGGTTTATTGACTCTTGGTTGGATTGGGGGTAAGGGATTGTGAAGTGGGGAGAACGGGGAGGAAGGTGGTGAGGAACTATACATGGTTGGTCTTCATTCAGTGCTCCAAACATTGATGAAGATAAAATAGTTGTTGTACCATGCCTTCCACCTAGTCCAGAAGATTATCTTGGATGGTCTGGGGTGCGAGGGGAAGAGATACAATAGTCCAAACAGTTTGAGGGAAGTCTGGCCACAAGTTCAGTCTATGAAAATGTGTTTGGGGACCTCCATGATATGTAATGGGGTGTACCTTGTAGATGCTTAACTAGCTCCATATAGCCGCACCACAGAATCATTCAAATTTAAACATTAAAGAATACTGTCCTGTAATATTTAGCCTTGAATATGAGAAGTGACTAGAATAGGTGAAAGGAGAGCTAAAGCCAGCTTCATGTGCAAAGAATGTGTTTTGTTGCTTGTTTTTCTGTGTCCCTGGTCCTAAACTTAGGCATTTGCTATCAGTTGCTTGAGATACCGTATTTTTCACCCCATAGGGCGCACCGCCCCATAGGACGCACCTAGTTTTTTTTGGGGGGGGGAATAAAGAAAAAAAAAATATTTCCCCCCCAGGCACGGGGCTGGCACGGGGGAAGCCCGAGCTTCCCCTGACCCCAGCCCCCAGAACAGCCTGCTATCCGCAAGCCTAGGGAGCCGCGCCGGTCTCCCCAGGCTTGCAGAGAGCTGCGCGAAGCCCGGGCGCACTCTTCAGCGCGCCCCAGGCTTTGGAATGCAGGCACCGACCCCTCTCGCTCTCCAGGCACACCGACCCCTCTCGCGCACCGACCCCTCTCGCTCTCCAGGCACAGCGAAAGCCTGCATTTGCCCCATAGGACGGACACACATTTCCTCTTCATTTTTGGAGGGGGAAAAGTGCGTCCTATAGGGCGAAAAATACGGTAATTGGCATGCTCAAACTCTTGGAATTTTTCATTGTTGACAATACATAACTAACGTTGAAAGAGTACATGATCTGAAGCAGAAAAGAATATTTGCCATTTGATACAAACCATATGCAGCTTGTACTAATCATGTTATTTAAGGCGTGCAACCCATTGGTATAGCATAGTGAAACTGGATGTAAACTGTAAATATGGCTTTTATGAGACTTAGTAGATCAGACTGGAATTTTCATTCAAAGTTCCTGACTCTTGGGCATGTTCTCTTCTGTACATTCTATACATTAATAGTGAACTCAATTCTTGGAGTACTGATCCTTATCTAGCCAAAATAGCACCATCAGCGTGCAAGAGGGAAGTTTCAGCATGCCTGGGAGCAGATGGGAGGCAGGGAAAAGAAACCCCAATGTTTGCAGAATGGTTTTTTTGGGGGGGAGCCTTAAAAGGGGCAAATGCCAAGAACTGCCCAGTGAAAACTGAGAATATCAGTGACCACAGAACTCTGGCTGACAGTTGAAGGAAGGGAAATGGAAAACCAGGATGGTGGTGAAATTGGCGTATCTTGGGAAGTCCTGGGCATGTCTGGCTGGAACCCTGAACAGGAGCATTCCACACAACAACACTTTGTTGTAGGTCCTACATGAGTTCCGTAATAATGAGATGATGATGCTAGCGAAAAGTGCTTTCACATAGCATATCCTGCTGTCATCGCTAAAACAATACTGTAAGGTAGGTAACCATTGTACCCATATGGCAAGTGGAGGCTGAGAGTGTGGCTTGGCTAAAGCCATCTCTTGGGTTCCTGACTGACGCAATCCCATTACCTGGGGACTCGTAGATCAGTCTTTTTTAGGTCACTATGCGAGGATGTGCTCCAGATCCATTTTGGTCAAGTTCCATGGGCTCCGTCAACTTATCTACTGTTCTTTTGTTTTTTGTTTTTACTTACTGGAACATTACCTGGCCAGTTTTTGAAGGTTATGCCTTTATTTTTATTGCCATGAAAATGCAGGTCTTTTTACTGTTGTAAAATAAACCAAGCATTCGCTACAAAAACTGCTAGAAGCGTTACTCAGACATACACATGTACCCCTTCAGAATTGCAGCAGTAAAAGTGGTACAATGTTTTTTAAAATAAAAAAAACAAAAAAGCATTGCTCAAGTTAAACACTAGTGTCAGCTTGTCTTCTGCAAATAACCTGTGCAAGGAATGTGTTTATTGAGACACAACACACACTTCCTTAGTATAACGCTTCCCCTCTTTATTCACTGAAACACTATTGAAATTGGGAGGCCCATAGTTAGCTGCTTTGTTGAGTTAACAAATACCATGCCGTTTAGGGCATATAGCATAAGGAATGCAAAATGTAGTACAGTGAAATAAAGCAAAATATTTCATAGAATTAAAAATCTATTAAGCTGAGAAACCATGTTCCTCTTTCTCACCGTTGCAATCTGGTGGCAGCCATTACATCAAGCGGTAGCAGGGAAGGGCCTCTCGCTTCATCACTGCAACTGAGAGGCCAGTGACTGCCTCTCTTCGGATTTTTCTACCCAGCTGTTTGTTAAGAGAACTTGACACTAAGAACTTGAACCGAATCATCTTACTTCTTCATTCTTCCTGAACCATTTCTCCATTGTGTTGTCTTTTTAAATTATAACCCTGAGGGCGGTGACTCTATTGTTTTGTATTGCTCTGTATACTGGTCTGGGGCATTTTTTTGGCTGAAGGGATAAAGATTACTGTAAAATAAACAATATAAACCTTGCCCTCTATCCTGATGAGTAACTGAAGAAAGCAGTTCTAAAACTAGAAAACATTTTCCTGCCCTTTTGCACTAATTTGGATGAAATCAATTCTGACAATCTTTCCCCCCCGCCCCAACTGATCTTTTTCACTGGAGTAAGTAATAAATGTTGGTTGCTGATGATAGTTGCAAAGAAGTATAGGGAGGCATATTGTTAAGGAGCTTTAGAGTCATGCAAGTGTTTTCTTTTCTGAAATTGAAGACTTCTGTCTCACTTGTGAATTCTTTTTCAGATATCCTGGACTGGGCACTTGCCTTAATAACGGGGCCTTCCTGTCTCCCATCAAGTGGAGTCAAAATGTTATCTGGATGCAGGCCTGTCCTGTGAAGGGACCACTACTTCCTTCCCAGATATAGTACTCTTAGCTTAGCTGGGGTGGGGGTGTAAAAATTATTAATGGGGGTGGGGGTGGGCAGATAGAGAAGTCCCCTAAATATAACTTAAGCACATTACTGTTTCACAAGTGATATTTATGTCTATACTCTAAATGTCAGCTTGTTTTAACCTTCATGGCTTCCACCCAATGAGCCCTGAACTATTGTTCTATAAAGGGACATGGACTGCTTTGGGTTTCTTCACAGAGTTCTTTGGGGAAAGCCCTGATGGGTCAACTGGTTTTGAAATACATAGTGTAGATGTGGCTAATGCAGCATGTAACATGGGAAGCATTGAATGGTATTCCCAAATAATGTTACTATTAAATTTTGAATGGTGGCTGAGAGCATTTTATTCTATTTCTATGCAGTTGTGTCCCCCCACCCAAAGTTGTGCTTAATAGCCACCTTCGCTATTGGGGTGCAGTTGTTTCCTTTCCCCTTCAATTTTGTGCAATCTAGCATTAATCTTAATGGAAAGTTACAGAAAACCAACTTCTCTGTCAACTGTCCACTGCATTTGCTTTCTCTTTCTGTGGGCTTGCCTTCTCTTGTGCTACAAAATAATGAAACACTAATATTTGAACATGCATATCCTTAGTGGTGTACACAGGCAGAAACTGAGCTGTGTAGTTTGAGAACATAAAGACAGGGACAGACTGTTGCTCATTCATGATGCAGGAGAAAACGGTCAGTGTAAGACATTGCTGACCTCTTTCTTGACTGAGCAGCCTTCTCAGCAATAGGGCTAAGCTCGCAATACCGTAATTAGAGGGGGGGGGGATGCATTGTGAAAGTAAGCTAAAGACATAAACAAAATAAAACCCACTGGATCAGGACACAGATACCCATCTAGGCCAGCATGCTGTTCTCACAGTCTCCAACCACATGCCTATGGGAAGTCCACAAGCAGGGCCCAAGTCTTGTGGGAGTGAATTCTCCCAAGAGTGAATTCTAAGGCTTTGAGCTGAGTGACTCACCTGCTTAGTGGAGATGCCCTTGGAATTCCTAAAGGCTGTGGTACTGGGGAAAGCTCACTTGCTGCTGACATGTGCCATAGGAGTCAGAAAAATATCTGAAGGGGAGGTTCAAAGTAACCTTGCGGATTTCCCAGCTTTTGGCTTCTCCCTACCAAGTGTGGCCCAGGATGCCACAAAAACATGTCTCCTCTAAGGAGGGAAAATAAAAGAGGAAAGACTCTGGGGGTCCAGTGCACCAGGCTGGATCTGTTTAGTGGATCCTTGGAAAGAGTTTGTTGAGTAGAGAAGTACATTCAAAATAGGTAGTAAATCCAGGAAAACAACTTTACAATGACAGGAGTCTGCCATCTGACTTCCTGTTGGGCTCAGGGAGGTTGAAGCAACACTGTGAAATTTTCAGAGGGACTATTTTCAGAGACTTGGACAGGATTTTGTTCATGGCAGGCAGATATTTATTTTGAACAGTCTCCATATAGCATGAGGATTGAACTCACTACTCCCAGGATGACTGTTCTCAGGAAAGTGAAGAACAATTTTCTCCAATTGTGTTTCTTACTATAAGGGTAAAACACCCGGTTACAAAATGTCAAGTGTTTTTAGTGATATACAGATTATTCATTTTGGTGTTCTTTTGAGGAAAATCATAACACGAAGCAAGTGCACCTGTAGGGTTGTGTTTTGTGTTACTTTAAAAAACAAAGATCACATTTATTTAATACTGGAAGAAGGAACATATTTGGACTGGGATTCCCCAGGTCTCGTGACTAAAAAAAGAGCAAATTATGCTTGGAAAGACAGCATCTCTTTGGTGCACAAGTATATTAAAGGCCACCTAGCTTAAAATTGTTCCCTTAAAATATTCAATTTTTCATGCTGACTTGCATGCTAACAGTGCTTTATTGGGGCGGGGGTTGGGGGAATTCACTGAGTTTATGTTGGCCTGATGTAGAAATTAATAATGTATTTTGCACCATTAGAACTGGATAAATACAAGTTAGGTTTTCCTGCCATAAGGGCTTTTGGCAGGTTACCAGGTATTTTTGCTTACTTTAATCTCACAACCCTGTGAGATAGGTTAATAGCCCTTCTAGTGAGTTTGATTAAGATGTAGGATTAAAAGCTAACCACTTGCAATTAAGTTGGTGGTTGTGGTGGGTGGTGGGATTTAAAAAATATATATAATACAAGAGTAAAAACATTTGTATTTTCTGTTGTTGGCGGAATGAAGACACATCTGGTGCCAAAAGGTGCTGTAGTAGAGGCTTTGTACAAGGATAATCTTTCAGGGAGTTGGACAGTGGCATTGTAGAACAGTTACTTCCAGTGATAATGCATGTTCATTTTTCCTGTTCCATTATGGGCTCTTGTCAAACTGGTTTTGTAGGCTTTTTTGCTTCAAGCAATAATTCTCACGGTATTCTTACAGAGGCATGACTAGCACCTGCTGCAATACCCATCTACATTCTAGCGCGACTGTTGCGGGAACACATTGGATGACAACCATGAAAAGTCATTCTTTCTTGGCACTGTTAGAACTGGTTTTTGAGCTTAAAAAAAAAAAGACAGCTTAATATATATTTGGGGCAGGGACAGAGTAAGAGAGAGCCATCCAGATAATATCCCACCGTTCAGAAAAGTCTTCCTTAGGTGAGAATTTGTCTGGATCACAGACAGCTTCTAGTCTAATCTAGTCAACTTCATCACTCAACTGAATTGTATGAGACTAGGGGAAGCAGTTGCATAGTAAGTAAATGGAACAGGCTTCCCCCACCCAAAGGTAGGCTCCTTAACACACTTAATGCCTTTACCAAGTGTCCAGAATTAAGTGGGACGTCACCCACCCACCTCTCGTGCTCCAGAAATACGTTTACACAGCTGCACATCTTTTCTTAAAGTCCTGTTTTTAAAAAAATGCTTTTACAGATTGAGCTGTGGTTACTCATACAGAATACTGGGCTGTTTAACCTTAAGTACTGTAGTTCTTAATTACATGTATGACAATGCCTTACATAGACCCAAATTTAGTATAATTATTCATACTTTTATATTGAGGACAGATCCTCTCAACTACCTGTGTGACAAAACAGTCTGAATTGGTTACTCAACCGAAGTTGAATTATCTTTATTGCTACTATGCAGCACATTTGGGTGGTTTATATTCAGGTACATAACTGGTTTGTGATCAGTGATGTATCATGAGCCCTATTTGAATAGAAAAATTGAGGGCTGGGAGACCAGTTGGCTGTTGTAGTACAGGTTTCTGTTCTGTCAGTATTGTGTACACTCTTCATTCTGCAAATAAAGACATTCTGCAAACTAAAAGTATATTATTCAGGTCTAATGAACTTGGTCTCTTGCCCCCCCACCCCCCCATCTAGGACAAGCTTGCCTTCTCCAATGTTTTCCAGAAATGATTTCAGCATTTGGAGCATCTTAAGAAAGTGCATTGGAATGGTAGGTGAAGCATTGCTTTGAATAAAAAGCTTAATCATAGTCTTTATAGTAAATGTGTAGTAATAGATTATTGATCCCTCCCCCCCCCAACCTGACTTTTGAATAAGAGAATTAAGGACTGACTGATGTATGCATGCATTTCGGAAGTAAATGGGTGTGTGTCTTATATAAAATCAAATGTCACAAAAGTGTGGCAAGCTTTTATCAGCCGCAGCCAGCATGAGCAATGGTCAGGGATGATGCGAGTTCTTGTCCAAAACATCTGGAAGAAGTTAAGTTGGGGGAATCAATTCTGGTTTGTAGCCTGCAGGTAAAGCTTGTTAGGTTTTTTTATTTCTTATACAGTGCCTGTTAGGCACTTCATAAATTAATGCTGCAATTAATAATTAATATTGTAATTAATAATTAACAATAAAATAATTACAGCTTAATTAATACTGGCCCTTTTGCATTAATGCCTTCTAAGTGTTATTTCAGCTCACTGTAAAATAATCAGCCTTCTTTCAACTCTTTTCATGATTTGTGTTTTAGTAATATTCTCAAGCTTAGGGTGGTCCTTTCCCTTGCCCATTTTATCATCACAACCACCCTGTGATGTAGATTAGAGTGAGTGAGGGACTAGGAATTGTTTTGTGAGTTTCATGGCTTAGTGGAAACCAGGTTTGAAACCAGGTTTCCCTGGTACAACTTCAGTACTCTACTCGTTGCATGCTGTACGGGCTGCTGTTTAAAAGGGCGGCAGTGTTCCTGCCCCCCCCATTCCTTTCATATCACCCTCTACCTTCCCCAATATGTACCAGCTGTATTTTATGATAAGACATATACCAGTCTTAATGTTGGCAATGTACAGTAGTATATGTAAACATTTTTAATAAATGCTTTTAACACTCTGCTAGGAGCTGTCGAAGATCACTATGCCAGTAATTTTTAACGAGCCACTGAGTTTCCTACAGCGACTGACAGAATATATGGAGCATACATACTTAATTCATAAGGCCAGTTCACTTTTGGACCCGGTTGAAAGAATGCAGGTACTCTACTCAAAATAAATGCATCTGGTGTTCTCTGAATGTTGCGTACTGTTTCATGCAGGTAGATAAAGAGAGCTGCTTATTATTACAACATCTGAAACACTGTTGTGCACATTGGTGTGCATGAAATAAAAGTAATTTTGTCTCCAGCTATTGAATATCAGAGATGTTAGGTTGGCATTAAGCAGTACTGCTTAACTCTATTTTTAAAATGGTGGTTGTAATTGACTTTTTTCTCGTTACATTGTTTTCATGCTACTTAACTACTTGAATGCTTACCTCTTTATGAGAGTTAGTGCTTTAAAAAAACCCACACACAAAATAATTGGTAAGATTTCTGCTTTAAACAAACGTAAATATGAGTGCAAATTGCTTTTTCAACAGTGTGTAGCTGCCTTTGCTGTCTCAGCTGTTGCCTCTCAGTGGGAACGTACAGGAAAGCCATTCAACCCATTACTTGGAGAGACGTATGAACTGATCAGGTAACAAACTCACAGTGCAGTTTAACTGGCTGGCTCATTGAGAATTGAAAGTTAATGTCAGATATTTAAGATTTTGTTCATTGATTCTTTTTTAATGTACAAAGCTGATGTGGCAATGCCTCATTTTATCCCCTTTTGTAGAGAAACTGCAAATAACTCAACTGTCACTTTCTTTCCATGTTTAGAGAGGACCTTGGATTCAGACTCATCTCGGAGCAAGTTAGTCATCACCCACCAATCAGTGCTTTTTATGCTGAAGGACTGAGCAATGACTTTGTGTTTCATGGTTCTATTTATCCTAAACTAAAGTTCTGGGGAAAGAGTGTTGAAGCAGAACCCAAAGGGATAATAACTTTGAAACTTCTTGAGTAAGTTGATGTATTTGATACCTTTTGGCTGCCTTAGGCAAAAAGCAAGTGGCATGTAAACCACAGTGTTGTATAATGTATACTGGGAGTTCCCAAACTGTGGTCGTTCAGGTGGTCTGTGTTGTGTTGGTGAACTTGGGAGACAGCATACCCATCATGTTAAATGCTGATTTTTAACTGCATTTGCATTGTTTTTTTAAATTTCCTGTATATTGTATTTGATTGTATTACAATTTAAATGCTATAGATTACAATCAAATACAATATACAGGAAATAAAAAAACCAATGCAAATACAATTAGAAAATTATACGGCATCTTTACTAAAGCATTACAATTGCTAAGACAGATGGAAAAATCATCAAGTGCTCAGCCAAGCTGCTCACCAATTTTCAAGTGGTTTGTGGGGGGAAAAAACATTTGGGGAGCTACTGTTCTATCCTTAAATCTGAACACTCCCTCCCCATTTGTAGAGATGAAACCAATCAGGCATGGTACATAAGTAAAAGGAAGGAAGGCAAACTGCACAGGTCTGGCTGTCAGAGCTTTGAGAACCAGAGGATGGGTGTGCCCATCTGATAAGGGCAGAGATCTTTCCTTGTCAAAGTTCAGGTGGACTGATCTACATCTAAGTATAGTACAGTGGTACCTCGGGTTAAGTACTTAATTCGTTCCGGAGGTCTGTACTTAACCTGAAACTGTTCTTAACTTGAAGCACCACTTTAGCTAATGGGGCCTCCCGCTGCTGCCGTGCCGCTGGAGCACGATTTCTGTTCTCATCCTGAAGCAAAGTTCTTAACCTGAAGCAATATTTCTGGGTTAGCAGAGTCTGTAACCTGAAGCATATGTAACCCGAGGTACGACTGTATTTGACTGAGTTTAAGCAAGGTCAGCTGCTGAAGTCCCTGTCTTTGAAACCTGTGCAGAAGAGTTGGCTATTCTGGGATTGTCTTAAATGTGTTTGAGAGATTCCCAAGTAAATCTAGGATAGGAGACTTTCATGGTGCATGCCTGAAACCTAGATTCATCTGGCCAGATGGGGAGAGAGTTAAGGCAGGACTGACTGGCCAAGATTTGCTAAAGCCTACAAAATTGTGAGAGCGAAAAGTAATCATCAACTTACGCTTCCTTGCACCATGAAAGATTTTGACCTAAAGGCATGTTCTGATGACTTTTGTTTTGTGAATCTAAGAGCTTATTCTCTTTGCTCCCTTTCAGACATAATGAAGCATACACATGGACAAATCCTACATGCTGTGTGCATAACATTATTGTGGGCAAGCTTTGGATTGAGCAGTATGGGAATATGGAAATAACCAATCACAAGTAAGCTGGAAGTCTTAACTTGCTACTTAGCTTGAAAGTGTGGCATGCTCATACTGTATCAGATATAAAATGCACTCTTAATTCCGATGCATAAGAAAACATTAAAAGCATAATCAGTGTTGTCAGGCAACATGAATAGCACTGCTCTGCATCACTTAGATCCAAAATGTTCCTGGAGAGAGAGTGTGTCAGGGAATATTATGTTACTCTTGCAGTGGTCAGAGATCCAATGTATTTAATTTATATTAGGTCAGGGCTACTTTTTTCCTTTAACGCTTTCAAAGTATCTCCTTAGTAGTAAAGCTCATAAACCCAAGGCAGATATAGTACATATATTATGCTGAACGCTACAGGAGCTAGAGCTTGCATGCTTGAAGTACTTTAAATGGCTAAGCCGGTATTTGATGTGAAAGTGTAAATTATGAGAAGGCGTAGAGTTAAACTTAATTTTCTGCCCCCACAGAACTGGTGAAAAATGCATGTTAAACTTCAAGCCCTGTGGCCTTTTTGGGAAGGAGTTGCACAAAGTGGAAGGTTACATTCAGGATAAAAGGTAAGCAAGCCTCTCTGCTTATATTTCTAAAGCAGATAGCAGATCATTCATTTTTATTTTTTACAAAAATGCTGAAATGCTGTTGGCCTAAATTATGTTGCATAACGAGGGTTGAGAAGCCTCAGGCCCCAGGGGGCAGATCTGGCCCTCCAGGCTACCTCTCTTGTCCTCAGGCGTTTGTTCAGGTCACCCCCCTCACTGGCCCTGCTCCCATTTCCTTGAGTGCTTTGGGCTGGCTAGAATGTGGTCTTAACTGCGATAAAGCCCCTTGCTTGCCTGGATGGAGAGAGACTTGTGTATGAACCTCTGGCTTCTGCATGATTAGAACGCAGCCCACTGTACAAAGGCAAGAGTCACATTCTTTGTGTTTCCTTCTTTTGTCTCTGTCCCTGCTCACCAGTGGCATGCAATTTTGTGAGAGAAAAATGCTTCCTTTGGGTCTGAAAAATGTCCCCTACACCTGACTTAGATGCTCATTAGCTTCTGTGAGTTGAGCATTTACTGTCTTAACTTCTGTTTAGAGCCGTAGTCTTCATTCAGCCTTTTCAGACCAGGGACCCACCTTTAAAATGAAAACATACACTGAGGACCCATGTCTTAATTTTCTACCTTCTGTTTCTATGGTGGTAGACCTGCTGTTGCAACCCATCTTTGGTCATGCTGTGACCCAGTATTGAGTCCCAAGCAACCAATTGGAAGACCAGTGGTTTAAAGTGTGAACCTGAATATTATAATTAGTCAGTACTTCAGCTGTTCCTTAATTTGTTTGTTTTGTGGGGGGCTCTTTGACAGCAAAAAGAAACTTTGTGCACTCTATGGAAAATGGACTGAGTGTTTGTATAGCGTTGATCTTGCAACATTTGAAGCTTACAAAAAGAATGACAAGAAGAACACAGAAGAGAAGAAAAACAACAAGCAGGTATTGATATTAAAACGTAACTTGGTAACAGTGATGTGTGTTTAAAACTAACAGCAGTAAAAATGTCCTCAGCTAAAAATACCTGATGGTATTGTGCATGATTTGAAAGGATTTATGCAGCCATCCTGTTCCTCAGTGCTTTAAAAATCCTGAAAACGGTTTTTCTTCTCCTTTGGACTTTGCATGCCTAGTTCACAATGTGACCCAGTTTGGACAATCTTGCAGAAATCCATATACCATGGTTTATAAAATGAGGAAAGCACACTGGGCCCAAAGCACACTTCTTTCACTGCCCTCGCCTCTCACTCAGCTTTGGCACACATTGGCTTGTATTAAGCTAAGGGTTCCTGTTATGTCAAAGCAGAAGGAACTCTGGCTTACCCTTGGTTAACAAGCCAGGAAAATAAGCTAGGTTACATCCCAATGTACTGTTCTAGTTTACCAATATTAAGCTAGAGTTCCCTGCTTCATATGCAACAAAGAACTCTGGTTCCCTCACTGCGAGGTGAGGTTACAGGGGAACCAGGCAGAGGGCCTTCTTGGTAGTGGCGCCCATCCTGTGGAACACCCTCCCATCAATGTCAACGACATAAACAACTATCTGATTTTTAGAAGACATCTGAAGGCAGCCCTGTTTAGGGAAGTTTTTAATGTTCGAAGTTTTATTCTGTTTTTAGTCCTCTGTTGGGAGCCGTCCAGAATGGCTGAGGAAAACCAGCCAGATGGGCAGGGCATAAATAAAATTATTATTATTATTATTATTATTATTATTATTATATCAGAATCTTTACAGTAAACACCTTTAGGGGAGGTGTTTTCAGGTCTGACATATGTTCCTGGCATCATAACCTATGGTGGATTAAACTTTGATTAATGGTCCAAAGCAAGCCTATTTCTTGTTTTTATGGAGATGGCAGCATCTTGTAGTCCTGTAATTATAGAGGTATATAAAAAATGCTTTCAATAGACAAAAGCTCTTTAAACTTCATCACATTTGTGATGTTGTATCCTGTCCTTGGATTGATTTTTGCAGACAACATCAAATTGCGAGAGAGGCAGGCTGCCATGAAAAGTTTGTGGGATTCTCTCTCTTTTTGTAAGGGGTGTGTGTGTGTGGCTTTGTACACACAATTGCAAATTGTGGCACCTGCTCTTGGGTTGATCAGCCCCATGGAAGAAGCTCATACCTTTTTAAAGACCTTCAAATTATTCAAGCTGAAAATAATCTAATTTTTACTCACCAAAACACAGGGGTTGTTGCAACTAAAGTTGGGAGACATTTTAGCACATGTTTAATTTTGGTTGGCTCTTTCCCTTAGTTTGTGTGTGTGAGATACCAATTCTGGTACACGCTTAATTTTTATAATTTCAGAATGCTCCAGTAGTGATTCACATGAATTGCTACCTGTAACGCAGCTTACTTCGCTTATTATCAGGAGTATGGAAAGGCTCTAGAGATCTACTGCAGTCTTTGAGAGGCAGCCCTGTGAAGGGCCCAGGAGGACAGGAAGAGCAAACAAGAAAAACATACCATTCGTATATGAGTCTTGTGTTACTAGCAAACTCTGGTTATGCAGAAGATGGCTGCTGCTGTGGTGCAAAATGCTTAAATATATGGAGCCTTGCTTTGGCTTGTAGATACGTGGAATTTACAAGGAAGATGGAATTGGATAATAGCAGATTTATTAATGGCAAGGATTTGAAGCTGAGATACTTCCAAGTCCCTTCTAGAAAGTTCTGGCTTCACATGCTCAAAAGGAGAATTGAATAGCTTGGGCCACAATCAGTATCTCACACTAAGATCCAATAAAGCTGGCGCAAAAGACATAGAGCAGTAAAGAAGGTTTAAAAAACCAATTAAGGAACAGGAAAGGGAAGAGACATGCATGGTTGATGGGGAGAAAAAGAAAACAACAAAACAGAGCTTTGCCCCTGGCAATTTCTTCCTTTTAACAATCTATGGTTTTGTAAATTTGCATACACTCAAACATAAAAGATGTAGACAGTTATTTTGTTTCCCCCAGGCAGTCTGCACATTTATTTCCCCTGCCCCCAATTGCATATGAACTGGAATTTTTTAAAATAAAAAAACACACCAAGGAATTGACTTGATCAGATCAAAGGTTTGTCTCGGGGTGTGTGTGGGGAGCCTGCTGTCCTCCATACGTTGTTGGATTCGATTCCCATCAGTCAGAGCCAGAATGACCAGTGGTCCGAGATGATGGGAATTGTAGTCCAGCAACTTTTGGAGGGTCAGAGGTTACCCTCTTGTCCAGCTTTCTGTTGCTAACCGTCAGCAAAACGTTCGCAAGTGGGGCAGGTCAAGAGATAATTCAGTCGTATATCCATAGTACCTATACCATTAATATTTGCCCCTGTCATTTACATGATTGGTTGGTTATCACACCACTGGGACTATGGGTGTAGTTGGAAAGCACATGAAGCGTTAACTTATTTAAGCAGGTCTTGTTGATGCCTGGATGGTACGACCACCTGGGGAGCATTTTGGGAAATCATCACTATTTAACGGAGGACTAGGCATCAGTTTTGGGATGAAGGACCACATTACCTTGGGGGCTAGTGAGGGGCTGCATAATGGGGCAATGGACTGACCAAAGCAATAAGTTGATAGGATACATGTTTTCTCTCTCCTCTCAAGCTTGTGGTGTTGCGCCGTAGGAGGTGGCCCACAGATGGCTCACTTGTGCGTTAATGGGGCTGAAAAGTATCCACATGAACCTTTTGACAGCATTCATCTTAGTGTAGCATTCTGTATGCAGGCTGGTTTTGCTGCATTTTTCAAGATCCTAAAATAAAAACTGGGTTATTCCGAATCTAGCATGTGTTTCTAGAACACCTTTTCATTGAAGCATACGTTTTCTAATGCAGGCTTGTATATAAGGCCAGGTATCTTACTAGCCTGTGGAGAGGAAATGTGATTCTGCTAAGCTGCTTATTAGGCAGATCAGTAAGAAACAAAGCCTTCTCTCCATTCCTCCTTCACCAGCCAACTTGGTTTTGTGCTGGCTGCAGAGGGCAGAGCACACCGCCTTCTCCATCCAGCACAGAAAGAAAGTGGGCAAGCAGAGTAGGGGACACATCGCTCCATCCCTCATCTGCCATCTTACTCACCTGCTGACATGGAATTCCTTATTGCCTATGAATGTTCCAGGGTGGTCCAAACAAGTGACATGTCTGAGAATGATCCCTCCCTCCCTCCCTCCCTCTCCTGTGCAGAGTATTTGGGAATTATTAAATGTTAACTCCTATGTTGTCCAGAATGGTCTCCACTTTGACCATGTATCTGTAAATACCTTCGTTTGTTTTTTGAAAGGTTGGGGAGTATATATAAAATATAATACATATATTCCATCTGTGCCTAATCCTGCTGCCTCTTTTAACTACTAGAGCTAGTTTGCAGGTTCTTGTTTTTCATTTTACTTTCTTCTTATAGATGGGCAGTTCTGATGAACCAGATGAGATGCCCTTGCCAGATTGTGAAAGTGTGTGTGTTATACCTGGAAGTGTGTTGTTATGGAGGATAGCCCCAAGGCCTTCTAACTCAACACAGGTGAGGAACCTTGACCAAGACTCTGCATTTTGTCAGTGTGTTGCTCTGTCTCATGCACATGTGCTGCATGGATTTGCATTTCTTTGTATATGTAAGAATGAGGTCTATCTCATGTTGCCTGGGTTAAAGGGTGTGTAGGTGAAGGGAGGAGAGAATATGGATAACCTTACACCAGCTCGTGCCTCCATTTCAGGAAAAACAAAATTCAAGTTACAAGTAGGTGTCTGGCAGTTAAATTTGATCCTCTTGCTGTACCTTCCTCAACCTCTTAGCACCTCCATTACTGTGTGTAACATTTGTAAAAGACAGGATTATCCTTATTAGTGTAGAATTTTTTTGATAAAACACTTAAGGTTTAGTTAGCCTTTTCTCTTTCCATAGCAAACATGAGCAAGGCTACCTGCTTCCTACCTAGACACAAGGCGAGATCCAGTGCTCCTGTTTCACTAGCACAAGGGATGTGTATTAGTAGTATAGTTTTGTTCTTAAAACAAAATTTAGGATTTCTACTGTTAGTTTAATAATTTTTTGAGTATTAGGATCCTCCCTGAGAGCTTTTATGGCAGAATATAAACTTTAGACTCTTGCTTCCTCGACACATATACTGCAGCACATGTCAGAATATATATTGTATACTTGGATTTGTGGCATACTTGTCTGCCTCTTTTTTTGTTCTTTAGACCCAATTAGAATTCTATCTATTTAACATGGAGAGTTGGATATCAATTAGTTTCAAGTAATCCCTACCCCTATTATTTATATACCATTAAATTCTCAGTATTTAACACTAGTAAATGTTTGCAATCACATTGGAGCCAATACTCCCCATAATCATCTTGTGGTGATCTGAGTTCTGAAATATTCCCTTGCCTGTTGTTCCAATTGATGAGCTTGCTGCAAATAAAACAAACCTGTCCTTCATCGTGCAGCTTAACACTTTCTGTTATGTTGACATTGATCCTTTTCCATTGATCCCATTCCAGTTCTTGAAGTCTTCTAGTTCGTCCTGCACAAAATCCCAGCCGTTTTCTGTTTGAAAGGCTACTTAGATAATTTGATGATAACTGTTCATTCCATGAACATACTCCTTTCCCCAAGGTCACTGTAATGAAAACATTGAATAAAAGGCCCCAAGACTGATCCCTTGAGAAACTCAGTTGGATACTTCCTCTGAGAATGTATAAGCCTATTAACAGCTGGTACTTGCTCATAAAAATAAAAGAACATTCAAAAAGCTCTTTGTTGTTTTTCAGATGTACAACTTCACTACTTTTGCTATGGCTTTGAATGAATTGGATGAAGAAATGGAAAGTGTTATTCCTAAAACGGACTGCAGGCTAAGGCCAGATATAAGAGCTATGGAAAATGGTGACATAGGTAATTTAAAGGGCTAGCTGAATTTTTTTATTTTTTAAAAAAATCTATATCCAAATGCTTCATTTTATAGGACATACTTTTCATGTATAGGTTTGTTTTAGCAATCAAATTTTACAGAGTCCCTTGCAAAGGAATGCCTGTTAGTGATATAAATAGTAATCTGATGCTAACTTTTTGTTTTAAGAATATTTACATCTGACATTCCTCTGCTACAGCTAGCAAGGCAGCTCCTTCTCGTGCAATGGTTCTCAGTTTTGTCATTGATTTTATATAAATGAAAATTTATGCCTTCTGAATATGAGTTTCAGCTTGTCCTTTCTCAGTGTCAACTTTTATCAGGAGATGGTTTCTGATTTTGTAGCAATACCATCAAAATTACTCAGACTTTACTTTACACAAATGCAAACTCATGATATATTAACAAATTTCAGTTGATTTCCAATGTACATTTACAGAAGCAAAAAATATGTGAAAATGCTGCAACGTCAGGGTTGTATCCAACACTATCACTGCGCATAACACTATCGCTTTGCTTGAGAGCCAGTGTGGTGTAGTGGTTAAGAGCGGTGGAATCGTAATCTAGTGAACTGAGTTCGCGTCTCCGCTCCTCCACATGTAGCTGCTGGGCTAGTCACACTTCTTTGAAGTCTCTCAGCCCCACTCACCTCACAGAGTGTTTGTTGTGGGGGAAGAAGGGAAAGGAGAATGTTAGCCGCTTTGAGACTCCTTTGGGTAGTGATAAAGCGGGATATCAAATCCAAACTCTTCTTCTTCTTCCCATAACATGACTGCAAATCCCCTGTGGCAGCCTTTTGTACACCCTCAAAATCTGCTCCAGGGGGTTGGGGGGGGGATACACCTTCTGAAACAGAGTTGGAAGGCATGAGAGGTGCTATAGGTGGGGATAAGAGGAAGGTGAAGTCCTGTTGCATATAAGACTTTTGCTCATGCCCTTAGTTAATCTACCTTACTTGTCTGTTATCTTACATCATTTCTTGGTTACTCCCATTATATGGGAGTATGGGAAATAAACAGTGAAGCTGGTGTTTGAATGATCTACCAGTTCACACCACTGCACAAAAATCTCAAGATTCTAGTTGTGCCAACCAAAACGGCATTAAAATTCTACTCCAGTCACTGACATAGCACTATTCCAGCTATTGGGAGTATTCTTCCGTATGTTTCAGTTGGATCCAGCCTTTTCTCTGTCTGTCTCTTGGTAGATGTAGCAAGTGAAGAAAAGAAGAGGCTTGAAGAAAAACAAAGAGCTGCTCGTAAAAACAGGTCAAAGTCAGAGGAAGACTGGAAGACAAGGTCAGTAAACTGGGGGCTAAAGCACTTGATTTAATAGTTTACAAATGTTTTTTCTAACTCTCTTTTCAAATGTCTGCATACTTGGGAGTGCCTGGCAATACTACACATGTCCACTGCTTATGTGCTGCAGTACTTTGCCATTTCAAATTGCTCATAGTCTGAAAACTCACTGCACCATCATTTTCAAAAGAGGCCTTATATTTTACAACAGTGATTTAACTACTTACTTCTGCTCATTTCAGTCATTGCTCACTAGATTTTTTGCTCGTATTAAAGCTTTCAAAAGCGCTTAGGTTTAGCAGTCGCCCCTTGTATTTCAGAAGTGGAATTAGACTTATGAGTGAGGTAAACAAATTATTTCCAGTAGAGCCACATTGGAGTCTGTGAAAATCCCTAGCATTTTTAGGCCAGCAGTGGGGACTCAGAATTAATTTGTAGCTAGTCCTAGGGGAATTTAGAAAGAAGGGTACTTTTGACCTCCTGTGTCTCTCCAGCAGTGTTTGATTGAAAACAGTAATGGTAGGCAGACTTGGAAACTCTCCCGTTGAATACTCTGTTGTAACCCAAGCAAGTTAAATGATTCTGGGACAGGAGTGGGATTACAATTGCGAAGTAGTCTGATGGAATAGAATTTTGGTACAATTCTGTCTTGAAATTTAAAATTTGGAATTCATATCCAATAAATGCAACGAGTCTGCATTTTGAACTTGTGAAGTAGCTTCAAGCTCAGAGTGGGTTTGTGTTTTTTGTGCAATTTTTAAGACTCAGCACTAATCTATATGCTTTTCCACTTGAGTCTCCAATAGATGCATACCTCGAGCAGACACAGTACACATGTAATACTTCCACCCATATTCCATGAAAACATGAGGTCTGCATTCCCTCATTGTAAAAGACATGCATTGCCTATGAACATGCATGCATCTGTGTGAACATACATACATACATGGACAGCCTAGTGCTAAGGTTTTTTTTATAATCCTTGCAATTTAAGTTGGTTTTGAAATGTGTCTCAGGGAATGTTGAATGATAGGGCTGCAAAGCTACCTTGTGAAATGCAGCCTACACTCCCATTCTTAAAAAGGCATTTAAACCACAACTTCTGATTGTAAAAACATATTGAACTTGATTATTGTGTTTGTAAAGTACATGCAACATTATACCAACTTGAAGGAAGCAGGCACTCTTGTATACACAGTCCAAACAAGGTGATTTTGGTGCTAAATACAGAATACAGCAATATGTCAAATAGACTGTTTCTTTGCCATATTTAATACTCCTTGCGTGTTTCTTTCATAATGGTAGAAAATACTGAGTGTACAGCACATTAATTCACATACCTTTGTTGTGGGTATGTTCACAAATAACAATGGTTGTGAAGCCATTTCAGTCCCCCAAAATAGGACTTTAAAATACCTTTTATTATTATTATTTGCCAGTATGCAACACTTTCTAAAACTGGAGAAATGACTCCAAAGAAAAATTTTGAACTGTTGTTCTTTTTATTAGGTTTCATTTGAAATTTTGGCCACTTACACCTCACATTCTGGTCCTTTTACACAGATGTTATACTGATAGGACAGATAGTGTCAATATTAAAAAGTGATACAATTTTGTGCTTTATAATGGTAGAACACCAAAGTAATCATGTATTAAATATTCAGTTGCTCCAGTGGCTGTATTTAAAAAAAAAAAAAGTTCAGCCAGAAATCTCATAATTGGGAGATTTAAATACTGCTAAGTAGGGATGAAAACACATCAAAACACTTCAATACAAGTTCATCTAGTTGCATTGGAAACTCCAGGATGAAAAAAGTTTTCCTAAAAGAAGAAAGTGCTTTAGATATCAGGCAGGCTAAGAGGCTCAATAGCCCAAATTATGAAAACATTCAACTCTTGGTTCAAATTCATGTCCATATTTAAAATCAGTTTAATTGTTTTAGGTACCGTTGCTGTTTCTTCAGTATAATTACATTCAGCAGGATGTTTCAGTTGCTTTGCAAACAGGTCAATGAACCCAAATAACCCTGGACTATTGTCCAAAGAATGTGATGGGATGAATTGCTTCTGAAACAAAACAGCTGAAGTTACGAGTGACAAACGTTTCTGGCTTGTAAAAATAAATTGTGAAATTGCATGTTTAATGCAAGATAAGGGCAAGATTTTGCAATACGAGCTGCTTTAAAGCACATCAGTAGTCAGTGTGGGAAACAAGGCCTGCCACATGGCAAAGTACTAATTTTCTAAATGTGTCAAACTACCTCCCAGACCTTACCTTTCTCACAAAAGGCAACAACAGGGTCTTCCAGCCTCTGAATAGAGCAGTGCATCAATCATATCTGTTTCAGAAATGCAAACTTTCTACTGCATTGGTCAGTGCGTAGTAAAAATCAGAATTGGGACAAGCAAGTCTTTTTAAAAAAATCAGTGGGTAGCTAGGACAATGATACATTGTTGATTTTAATGGGACATGAATGCTTGACTGTGTTCTGGGCTACTTTTATTAACCCTGGTAAAGAGCCAAGTGCGTTGATGTGAACAGGGACAGAATGGATTTCCAGTGGAAGTGTTTTTCCCCGTTGCTGGGATTATTCCTTTTCCTTGCCCCACTCTACATTTTTAGCAGGGAGATTGTGAGGTTGTTTTTTAAAAATAAAAACAAAAACAATAAATGCCCTTTTAGAATTCCAGTCCTATGTTTTAACTGTGAACAGAGAATGTGAACAGAGTGAATGGTGGACCGTGACTCCTGTATATTATACTATTAACGCAGTGAACTCCTTGTAGAGACAGACGGATAACATGCTGTATTATGCTTTACTTTGAATTATGCATTTATTTCTACAGAAGTTGTATTTTTACATGGAATTGCTCAGTGCTCCTAAATGCCTACCATATGTTACAAACATTATGCAGAGAATTGCTAGAAATTGCACCCCGTGTGATAACTTGCCATAATGCTGGGTATCATAGTACTCTGGTGAAAACTATTGTGTGCAGTGCAGATTCTTCTGGGGGGCGTCTTGCTGTGGTTTGAAAATTCCCACCCAGGTTGGGGCTGACTCCGCACTGGAGTTGGAGCCCAATCTATGGAGGGCAGCAGACTGGGAAAGGCTCTGCTGCAACCACAGAAAGTCAGATGCCCTTGGTCCCTCCTGCAAGGTACTTCCAGTATGAGCTTTTCAGGGGGAAGGGGGAGCATGCACACTTCCTCATGCTGGTTTTGAGTCCCAGGAACGTAGTTTAAGGAAACAGAATGAGAAACTGACACTTTCCTCCAAGCTCAGCTGCCAGTTTGAATATTCATCATCAGGAACTTTTTCCCAGATACTTTTTGTCCTGTTGCTGCCAGACATGGTTTCTATTTAGAAATCAAGTACCGTATTTTTTGCTCTATAGGACGCACTTTTCCCCCTCCAAAAATGAAGGGGAAATGTTTGTGCGTCCTATGGAGCGAATGCAGGCTCCTTGGCTTCAGCAAAAGCAATGCGAAGCCTCCAAAGCGCAGAGGGAGCGCTCCCTCTGCTCCAGAGGCTTCGCGTTGCTTTCTCTGAAGCCTGGAGAGCGAGAGGGGTCGGTGCGCACTGAACCCTCTCGCTCTCCAGGCTTCAGGGATAGCAGCCTGAAGCTTTTGGAGTGCAGCGGGACCTCGCGCTGCGCTCCAAAGGCTTAGGGGTTAGCTGCGCAAAGCCTCTACAGGGCAGCGGGGTGAAGGCACCCCACTGCCCTGCGGAGGCTTGAAAGGCTGTCCCCGAAGCCAGAACAGCGAGACGGAGCACTGCGCAGCGTCTCACTGTTCTAGCTTGGGGATGCCGGGGCTTTATGGGGAAACCCCGGGCTTCCCCCTTCAGCCCCGACACTGATTTGATTCAGAATATTTTTTACTTGTTTTCCTCCTCTAAAAACTAGGTGCGTCCTTTGCTCGGGTGCGTCCTATAGAGCGAAAAATACGGTACCTCTATACTGGGAAGAAACAAAGCTGTACGTTAGGAATTAAAACTTTAGAAGCTTCTGAAAGTTTCCTCTGGCTCCAGACTTGGGAGTGTCATTGTGTATTCTTTGGTCAGAAGCTACTGAGCCGTCTGTGCATAATAGCTTTTACACAAACTTCCAAATGTTGCCTTCATAAAAATACTTATGCCAAGTAGGGGACATGAGCTAGCTGCCAACAGGCACTAGACTCTACACTTTCCTTCATGGTTTGCTCATTCAAATGTCTTATAGTTGCTGTAAGTTGCATTATTTTTTGTCTCTTTTTAAAAGTCAGCCAGTGGCCCAGGGACCCAGGTTTGATTTTTTTCTGATACTTTTTTTGCTTGCTTTCCTAACATGTTTGGCTTTGCATTTTAAAGCTTGAAATTGTTTCCAGTTCCTATAAATTAGTGATACTCGAAATATGAATTTGGTCCTCTTATTAGAATTCTGTCGGCTTTCCAACTTACCCAAATTGACTATTCTGATTTTGGGTTTTTATTTATTTGGGGTGGGGTGTTATTCTTAGCAGTTCTGGTAAACCTGATGCTTAATATTTAAATAGACCTTGAATGTTAATGTCCAGGGTTTCTTAAGATGTACCTGGGAAGGAAAGGCAGAGGCATATATTCTTTTCCAGTATCATAATTTTTAAGATTGTTTGGTAGTTTAAGGGTGAGTTTATACCATCATGGAAAGAATTTTAATCTCCGTATGATGATTCTCTCCTTACCTGTCAATTCTTTTTAATACATCAATTTGTCAAATTTTGTGAAGTACAATCAAAACCTAACTTTCAAAACATGGATATGGGTTTGTCTATACAGTAATTCTTCACCAGAGGAGGGATAATAGTGTTAAAACTCACTGTCAACTTTTCTTCCCTGTAAAAATGATCATATAAACTCAGTTTGCACAAGGTGCGGTAGAATAGTAAATGTACCCAACAATTTATATTGGATTATTTGCAGTATGTATGTATGTACTCACTTCTGCCTATTCCTAGCACCCTAACGCTTATTGGACCAGTTTGGACAGTCTTTTCCAGCTTTAAGAAGTGTCCTGCCATGCAACTCCCCTGATGTGCATTGCTTCATTCTTGGCTTGTATTATGCCAGTCTCCCTTGTGTTCCAGCTGCAGAACTGTGCCTTAGTACAAGCCAGGAATAAATGGCAGGGCTAGCACACAAGGAGGTGGGAGGAGCACTTGGTCCCAGCACTTGTTCTTGGCTTCATAAACTGGGGCTTATGTATTATCTTTCTATGCTAAACTGAGCCATTGATGAAGGACCATTGCAAGATGGCTAGAGTGTTGCAGCGACAGTGCTACCTACCTCCTGTCACCTTCTCAAAAAAAGCAGTGTCTGGTTTTGTTTTGTTTTTGTTTTGTTTTACCCTTTTCACAGCGAGATAAGAAACTGAAGCTCACCTCTCTTTCCGGGGCTGTTTTGGGTGCTTGCTTCAATTAAATTTGCTGGTTGTTAAATTTTGAAAGCTGGACTGATATGCATGTAACTAACCTGCAAAAGGAGGACTAGCTTCCAGGATCACATAATTAGCCAGTTGTCATGTGTCCTGACATGAGCCTGTTGTCTCCATGCCCTCTGAGCAGGTGCATGGGAGTGGAAAGGAAGGCTGGCAGGAAGGAAGGAAAGCTGGCCAGCCCACTATAGTCTTCTGGCTGAGAGCTCTCTCCCTAAAGGAACGAACAAAATACTTGGAGCCATCCCTGAAATGAGGCCACAGAACAGTTGCCTCCTAATTGTATTTCTCACTCAGTAATAAACATAATTAATTTTCCCTTTCTCTCGGTTGGATCAAAACATAGTAAGCAGGGGAAACAGTGGCTCAAGTAGATAGCGAGGAAGATAATTGTATTGAACTTCCATTGTTTCTAGAATATATATGGCAGCTCAAACATACATTGACTGGAATATAGATACAATGTTCAAAAGCATGTGACCTTTCTCCCTCCTTTTCAGGTGGTTCCATCAAGGGCTGAATCCATACACCAGTGGGCATGACTGGCTTTACTCTGGGAACTACTGGGACAGAAACTATTTCAGCTTGCCTGATATTTATTAAACTGCATCGGGAAGTCCGAGACTAACACAAACAAGTCTTAATCAGTTTTCAGTGTTTTCCTTTGTTCCTGTACTCTTAGAGAAAAAACAACAACTCTGAATTTTAATTGAATGTACTATATTCAGCAGCTTCTGCAGCAATTATGGTAGCACAAGATTATTGGGAGGAGATTTTGTCCACTCCCCTATATTCAACCATGTATAATATGCATACACCACATCCGTTACAGGGAGAAAGAGCACTACCTATATTTGCTGAAGAAACAGTGCAACTCATGTTCTGTCCCACCCAGGTCAAATAGAAAATAGAAACCCTTTGGGTTTTCTGTCTTTCTCTTTGGTCAGTGATAATCTGCTCACATAATGGAAATTTGAAGCCTCTTATGAAACAAATATCAAAAGCACACTCGGGAAATGCAATACTACCATGGCTTGGAGGCAGAGAAGGGCATGCCACTCTTGAGAAGAATTACTCAACTTTCTAAAAGTGACGTTCCATTACTTCATAAAATACTGGATTATAGATTATTAGCCTCAAAATGTTACTCTCTCTGCACCAGCCTGCCCTTCTTCCCATTCATCTCCAGAATACTAAGTAGGATTAACTGGTATAAAATACTCAGAAATATCTATTCCATGTTTAGTGCAGTGTTTTGAATTTGCTCTTACAACTTTTATTACCATGCTCAAATCTTTATGGAATTAAGAGCCATTTAAATCTTTAAAAGTTTAACTAAAATGAAGTATTTTTTTTTTTAATCTGCAATGCACTTAAGATGTGCTCAGCACTATCATAGGTGGGAGGAACTGGTTCTAAGCAACAGCATGGATATTTCAAATGTCTCTGGGTATTTGCTGTCAGAAGCAAACTCTCAAAGGAAGTTGTGCGCATTTCAAAGCCAGCAAGGCAGCTCTGAAACTACTGTACACAGCAGATTTACCCCTTTGTTTGGGGTACATTAAACTTTATGGCATTATATATTTGTATAAAACTGAGTACATAAATTCCAGAGGGCTTGCTGCTCTTGTATAATTTAATTGCTGTTTGGAAGTATAGTGTTAACTGAATAATTTAATTGCTATTAATAAAGACTTTAAACTGCCTCATGGCCAGAATTTCTTTATTGCATTCAGGGAGGTGGGGTATCAAACCAGGAAAGGGTGGGTTTTTTTAAGGTTTGCAAAATGTTTATTGAATCAGTTCACCCTAAAGCATAGTGGTGGTTGAATAGTTAAGATAGTAAAATGAATGAGATTAGTTATCCTAATTTCCGCAATTTTATGGAAGTCCTATTTATCTTCCCGCCACACTGCTGTTGGGGGGGGGGAGGTGAGGTGAGAGCATGCTAGTCGAAATGGGCCTATTTGGAGGGCCAACGGTAACCCACAACTGTATTACTGCCCCAGGTTGTCTAGCATACAGCAAAGGCTTGCTTCACATATTGTATAATTTTGAGGTGGGAAAGGACACTTTGTGTTGGGCAGGAGAGATGGGGCCCCTAAACTTTCGTAAAGTCTTTTGCCATACCAGGGAACTTGGAGAGAGGGAAATTATTAGCCTCTTTCTTAAGTATGGGCTTTAGAACTACAAAGGAGCAGTTAGTACTGCTGCTTCTCTATATATCCAAAGTCCAACCTGAAATAAGAGCTTGGCCTGCCTCTCTTTCTTGACCCCTCGGAATTGCCAGAATGACCACAATTAATGTCCACCCAAAAATTGTGGGTGGAGGCTTCCTAGTTCCCACTTTGGGATGGAAAAACCCATGGATGAGACAAAACAGCATAAGAATATAAGAATATGAAAGTCTGTTTTCATTTTGCAGTTGCATGGAATCTCCATGCCCTCATTCTGTATTTCCTGGAATAATGTATTTTGTCAATTACCCGGTCATAATACTTCTGACTAAGGGACTTCCAAGTAGCGTAACAACTTACTGGGAAGGGAATATTGTCCTGAACTTTAGGAACTATATAACAAAGGCAACGTTCATTTTGACTTCCTTTCCCTAGCAGTCCATTTTAAATTTCTCAAATAGATCAAAGGTCAAAATGAGGAAAGTGTCCTGATTTTAGTTCACTACTCCTTGATTACTAGTCTTAAAACTAAATACCAATGCTTTTTAAAAAACAGTCTTTAGATAAGAGCGCTTGCATTGCTTTATTGCGTGTATTAGTTAATCAATTTCTAATTAAAGATGCAGGTTTCCATTCTGGGGTGAAATGTTGAACAGCACCTCTTCTCAATCTGGGAGGGAAAAAGGTTTACTCAGTGAATTTAGCATTTTTTGTTCATGGCAGTAGCAAAACATCGGTGCATACGCTCTACCACATTGTCTTGCAGAAAGGGATAAGGACTCTTAACTCAGTGCATTCTAATCTGACAGCAACTCTCAAACAATCTCAGCCAGAGGTCGTTCCCAGCCCTACAAACCAAGTTCTTTTAACTAGAGAAATCAGTGGTTTGAGCATCTGAACTATAACCAGCAAAGCATGTGCTCTGTGGCCTTCCTTGCAGCAAGAAATTGGAAACTACAGTTTGAAATAGGTTTCCAATTTCGGCTTTGAGGCCGTGTGCGAACAATGTTTTGCTGATTCAGGTGTCACAGCAAACTGACTGGTGCTGAACAAGAACCTTGAAAGAGCAGCAGCATGCAAGAGCAGAGTGAGGGCACCATGACTCTGCAACTCATTTCCGATCCTCTTAAGGGGGTGGCTAACCTGTAGCACCCCCCACCCTCAGCTGTATGTTTGCTTTCACCACATATGCATTAAAAACAATCTCTGCTGCAATCTACAATCAAACATGGTCATGACAAACATAGTGGATCTCAGCTCTACTCCACTACAGAAACAAAACAGCATATTCGCTGGGTGATGAAAAAGTGGTAAAACAGAGGACTATCTCATTTCTAGCAGAAGTTCCACAAATGGGGCACAGTAGCAGAGAATGCCCTGTCTTGGGTCATCAGAAGCAAGACCTCCTCCACAGATCTTTAACTCCAAGGGTAGTAGATACAGAGAGATGTATTCAGGGACCAGACTCTATAGACCTATAGATAGCCAGTATGGCAAATACATGTGGCAAATACATTTTATGAAAATGAGATTATGGGGGAGCAGAGAAGAGCAAATTCTGGAGGCTTTTGTTGACATGCAAGGGCTGCTTGGAGAGAGTCAGAGATTTAGTAAGCCCTTGCTGATGTTAGTCTCCCCAACTTCAGAATTATTTCCTTTGTGCAAGTGATTCACAATCCTATCTGCCATGACAGACAGCAGGGATTCTATTAACTCTGTTTTTTAAAGTACAATCAGTTGTGCACAAGTGGAAAGGTGCCAGGAGAAAGAATTACAATTACAGTAGTTTGGTGCTCCCTGTTTCCAGCTGAAACATTGCAACCAGTGCCAACCAGAAGGGGCACACAGGTAGGGAGAGAGACCCGATTTCCACAGATGTCATGGTCCTACCAAATGGGAACAGGAAGCTAAGGCACAGCATCTTCCTAACCTCCTAACCTCTTCTGAACTATACGTAGCAAATAGGAAATTAAGGCTACAGCCATACCTGGGAGTAAGTCCCATTGGATTTAGTAGGACTTCTGAGTAGACACAGAATCAAACTTTTTTATAGCTTTTCAAAATAATTTATAAGTTTTTGTGATTCTTAGAAATGACTTCTTCATGCAGCTCATCATGCAATGAAGGTGTAGGATTTGAGACTAAAACCCCCTTCCACAATGCCAGCTTACGCAAGAGCTAGCCTGCCTCTAACTGGATGTTCCATACAGCTATCAATTGGGATATCTTTCTTTCTCCAGGTTCAGAGGCAGTCTGTCTCTGAATAGGCTGATAGAGACTAACAGAAAAGCATTATTAGCCTCAAACTCTGCTTGTGGGCTTTATTTTGAACCTGGTTTCCATTGGGGGAATCCAGGGATGCTGGATTAGATGGAATGGGCCTGCTCTTCTATGAAAAGCCTTTTCATATAATCTGATCCCTATCCCATTTTAAAGAAAAGATTGCTCTTTTCTATCTATCTTGAATCAAGTTTTTGCTTTTTTGTTAGCCTGTGAATACAACCCAGTGCTTCAAGAATCTTAACAAATCCCACTGTTCTGACGCATGAAGGTTTTTTATTCTGTAATACTATACAACTGACAGGAAAATGATGCATTTTAGCATCTCTATAGCCTAAAAAAGTTTCTAGAGTTGCTTACAAAGATCAGACAGTCAGGTCTCGCTTTGAGGGAGAAATTTAAAATCGTGTAAATACATGTAGTTATTGGGAAGGTGGAAGGGAGAATAATTTTTTTGGTTGGAGGACCTGAGAACACAGTGGGAAAGCAGTGCGGGGAAGGGGGATGAGAGATGGAAGGAAGGATGGAAAAAAGAGGTGGAGAACAGAGGAAAAGGCAGGAGGAGGATGCTGTGCTCTGGCAACCCCAGAAATAGTTCCCCTCTAAGCTGGCCTATCATTACTGCAGAGCCTGTGCAAGAAACAGAAGTAATGATCATTATCACCATCATTTATAGAGCCTTAATGAATACAAGTAAAACATTAATGTGTACCACTATCTACTTTTGTGTTGTCCACCCCCACCCCATCCAAGCTTTTAGCCAGGCTGTGAGCCTGAAATTTGTCCTTCACCTCCAACTACTACATTAAAGGAAATGGATGTTTATGTATAATTTTGGTGCAGCTAACTGATACAGTCTACACCGAAGGTGGAAATGCATCAAGTCTGTAGGAGCTACATGGTGTTTTAATAGATGCCTTAACCCTGTTCACGTGTTACTTGCAGGTGGGACATAATTGTGATGGCTGCGGAAGAGAACCATGCTTTTAGCCCTGCCTGCACCTGACACACATCTGTATGTGAAGAACATGAGAAAATAGGCATTGAATTATGAAATTCCAAGCTCCGGCATGGAATTGCTGTCCTACACAAAAACCCACTCCTAGAGACCCTGTCCCCCTCCTCCCCTCGGCTTTTCCTAATTTCATCAGGGAGATGAATTTTGTTGTTCCCATTGTCAAACAACTGCAGATCTACCAGTAGAGCCCAACCTACGCATGCCCCCTGCCAACCTTGTCTGCACTGTCAGGAGCTTGCCAGGGTTTCTTAGACAACCCAAGCTAGAGATGCCACGGAATGAACTGTGGACATTCTGCCTGCAAGTCATGTGGTCTAGCCTCACCCTTCCAAATGTAAAATTCTCCTTAGCAGAAAGCTGCCACCACTGCACACTTTTACAAATATTTTACCTGCTATATTTTTAATTCTGACCTGGCTTTCTGCCTTGTACTGATGCAACTGTCAGCTCTCATCACATCCACGCTATATATGGAAAGTACATGTAAGGCAGATTTAAACCACATGGCTTCCCCAAGAGAACCTTGGGAACTGTAGTTTGTTAAGGGTGTTGGGAATTGGAAGTCTACAGTTCTCCAGATTCTTTGGGGAGATCATGTGCTTTAAATGTCTAGTGTGTTTGTGACCTATGTTATTGGGAACTACTCCCAAAAGTATGTTTACTTTATGCCCATCTTTGCAGGTCACATCTATTCATGGTTTAATTTTTCGATAGGACCGAATTCCACCCACCCATTGTAGGCTATGCTATCTTTAACTACTTGGTCAGCTCATGAAGATGAGAACTGTAACTATTGCAGAGCTGTTTTAAGTACAAGAAGACATCTGCATTATGAGGCCCACCAGGCTAGAATGACACCACCAAGCCATCAGCACCTCTTGAGCTCCTTGTGGCTTAAGCTGGCCTCATCTGCTGCCAACAAAGTTGCATTTGACCCATTTACACCAAGTTTGTAGGAACTGATCTACTGTTTCCTAATCACTGGAATTTTACAACACCAGCACTTTGACAAACCCCAGATCATCCCCGATTTTATTTAAGTCTACTATCTCCCCCTCCCTGTTTGGCTATTCTCATACACCCTGATACACTGAGTAATTGGCCCTCAACACCATGACATGCGTTCTTTTAAACAATACACTAGACAACATCCAACGTCATGTGAGGAGTAGGGGTGCGAGTGGATGGGTAAGGCCTGTGTCAGAACTGGACATCTGTTCCACAAGCAGGCTGACATTGTTGGTTGTCACCCTTAATACAGAGCAGCAGTTCTAAAGCATCAAAGCAAAGGCAAACCGGGTAAGATTTTCAGAAGTAACAAAGACAGCATTTCATGGATTGTTGAAAAAAGAATGGAACTGATCTGCATGTCTCAGCAAATCTCTAGAAAACCCACAACCTATTCCATACTTTCAGTTCAACAACAACAAAAACCAGAACAAAACTACTTTTATCTTTCACATGCAATAGCAGCTGGAAAATAACTCTGAGTGGCGTTCAACTAAGTTTTACTCAGATTTATTCAAATGAATGGGCCCAATTTAGTGATGTTCATTAATTTCAAAGGATCTGCTCTGAGTAAAACTTAGTTGAATGCCACCCTCTATTTTAAAGATAGCTCTTCATTAATTCTGCAATGTAGAAAACTTGCAGTAAGTATTCTGTGGACCTTCATCAAATTTCTAACCCAAACTTAGTCTCCAATAACGAACAATGCACATGAAGGAAAAAGAAAGCAAATGACAACAGATTCAGTGAGGGGGCTCACAAGCTTCAAACCCGTTTCTCAGAAACTGGCCAAATTCACATTCCAAAGGAAATCAGCAATATCCCTTCATTCATTTGTTGAGTATTTTTTAAACCTTCTATGAACAACACTTGATTTGCCACTGCATCTCTGAAAAAGGGACACACTCACCAAACCAATTAAGATGTAAATGGCATCAGCACCCTCATACAGCTCAGAGCACTATGTCCTTGGAAACAGGGTCTCAGGTGCATAACTGGGCAGGGAAGACATATGCACAACACAGCGCTCCATGTGCCATTACCCTCTCCTACGCACTAAGCCACTCTCTCCATGCACTACAAGTCCCATCATCCCTGGCCATGCTTGCTGAGGCTGGTGGGAGTTGTAGTTCAGCAACATCTGGAGGGCCAAAGGTTTCTTTACACCTGCATCAAATCCTTTTCTGAATACAAAAGTCCTACCAATGAATTGCGGGGCAAGGTGGAGGGTATTCAATTTCCAAACTTTTAACTTTTCTGCCAAACAGTCAAAGAACAGAATTTAAGTTTCATAAAAAAACAGAAGCTAAGCACAAACTTTTGCATCAGAGCCATCACCTGGGAATACATTCCACTGAAATCAGTAGGATTTGAGTTCCAAGTTGAAAGCTTATGGTCATTGCCAACTGAGGTGTGTGCAGAGAATTCCAACATTATTTTAGTGTCCCGTTTTCAGCAGCTCACAACCCTTAAAAAATAAACTACTTGTCTACTATTTATTTTTCACTGTTCCCAATATGAAAATGGTACAGCTTCTTCTCTAGAGGGAAATGCATAAAATAAATTTGGGGTTAGGGACACACACACACACACACACACACACACACCCCGCCGGTTTGCAACCTTGGAAGAAAACTTTCTGATCCCAGAATGGCTGCAGCATATTAGAAATGTAGCCCACTACAGAACACATCTCTACAACCAACCAACCAACCAACCATTAAAAAAATAAACAAAGTGAACTGATCTACTTACCCTTTTGCTATTCTGTCCTGCGCACAGAGGCAGTAGTAAATGTGATCTCTCCTGCTATACCATAGCTGCCTGCAAAGGGTGCTTTATCCCCAGCTCCTGAGCCCTTCTTCCCATTCATCACATCTTCCAGTGGTATGGCAACTGAAAGAAAAACTGGAGTTGGAGGCCTGCCGCTATCCTGTGTGGAGTTAAAATTGGGATTGGCCATTTTCGGATCTGCTGCCCTGGCAACTGGTACGGGTATTGTAGCGAACCTCCTCACAGTCCCGCCAGTATCCTGCTGTGCAAGGACAGCATGGCCAGGGATGGGTTTCCAGTCCTGTTTATTCTGAACAGAAGAGCCCACTAAAATGAAAGGTGGTGCATTTCCCTTCTTCCCTTCTTCCATCATCACATAAGTTGGAGAGGACACTTGTGGTGGTTGGCCTTGTTGTAGCATCTGCGGCTGTAGATACTGCGGCTGGTCCTTACCACTAGATATGAATAGGGTTGCCTGGGGAACAGGAGCACCAGTTCCAACAGGTGGAAGGGGTGGTGGAGGTGGTGGTGACTTGCGACCTTGTTGATGCATATCAGTTAGACAATAGAGAGTCCACACATTAGAATATGGTGGTGGTTGTCCTGGTTCGCTTGTTGCCATGGCTATAAAATAAAAATTTAAAGAAAATTTGCTGGCATGAAAGACCATCTAGTAGGATGTACGAACTGCAGTCACATTGCATAGCCTTACCCACAACTTTATGCCACAGAGAAAGGATGTTACAGAGAGGAGAGAATCCCTGAAGGCAAAAGGGAGGACCTTGGCATGGCTGAAATGGAGAACAGCAGAAGAACCGGTTCTCATAATTTTCGAAATAAATCCAAAGTATCAGATTCACAACTTTGGGGGGCAATTTTTGTCATTAGGTACTTCTGTTGGTTGTAAGGATACTGTTTCCGTATGGGTGACCCAAAGATAATGGGTTGAAAGTGTCTCCTCGACCACAAGTCCTGTCCAGCCATGCCAACCCTTTGTGTTCCTCTAACCCCTGTCCCCTTCGGCATTCTCTCTTCTGTAAGATGCTTCCAGACCTTACCTACCTATACCTCTCTAATGGGAAGTGACTCTAGGGAATAGTGCGCCATCACAGGGCACACCAAGGCCATGGGAAAGGTGCTAGGAGAGCTTCTCCAGCTCGAGAACAGGAGTGGGCTACACACTTCTCACGGAGGGAGAGCAGAGAATGAGAGGAAACAGTGTCGCCATGGGAAGCGAATCCTCCAGCTGCAGCAAGATCTGCAGTTCTCAGCAAGAAGCGATTAGTCCCCTCTCTGTCAACAATCTGGAGAAGACCAGACCTAATGGGACAGCCCAGGCAACCACCACCATTTCTTTTAAATGCAAAAACCTAAGCAGTGCCATGGCTGAGCATCTGAATACTAGTTCGTTTTTTAAAAAACACAACCTGAAGCCACGGTCACCCACATCACTTTCTGTTAACCGCTGTGAGCATGTGTGTAATTTTGATTCAAGATGCATAGTCTATTGTGAGAGGGGCTAATCATGGTTTAAAGAAGGGCCAAAAGGCATTGGCCTAACTCCCCGCTGAATGTTATCCTGCTCCTGCCCAGTCTGCTTGTAGGAAATGATACAAGACTTGAGCAGAAAATTGGGGCAGCTGGCATTCATGCAAGGTACGTTTTGGGGCCTACTCACAATCAACCATGCACCTGGAAAAAAACAGAGGCAAAAATTCCAGACATGCACATTCCAGTTAGGTGCTGTGGGCTCTGTAACTCCCTAAAAGCAAAAGTGACCAATCACTTATCTCAACATTGCACTGCCATAGATACTTGCATTTAAATAATTAAAGCTCCAGTCATCAAGGCACTGTACCAGCACAAGGCCTTTGGGGTCACAACCACACCATTCATTTAAAGCACATGGCTTCCTCCACAAAGTCCTGGGAATTGTAGTTTAAGGGTGCTGGGGGCTCTGTGAGAGGTAAACTGCAGTTCCCAGTATGCTTTGTTGGGGGAGCCATGTGCTTTTAATGTACAGTGTGGGTGTGACCTCAGTCTCAGCTGAGCTATGGGCACAAGTGCATTTGAGGAGATGGAGCCATCTGTTGATTATGGAGCAATAATATCACTACAACATGGAATAGGCAGCTTTCAGAAATATCTTGACTTTCTTACCTGACATAATAAAACCTGGATCAGCTGAACTCAGTTCCTCTGCAGTATCCATCCTGTCAGGGTCACATTCTGCATCATCTGCAGATGGATCTAGAATACTAGCAAACTGACCTGCATTCTGCGAAGCCATCAGCGGATTAAAGAGACATGCTACAGTGTCTACGAAAGGAATTACTATCTGCTGCGGAAACTGCTCTACATACGGTGGTGGTTGGGGCTCTCCACCAGCATTGGGATCATCATCACACATGGGGGTGAGCTGTATGTCTGATGTGAGCTCAATTTCACTTGAACAAGATTCAGCCCGCAATGGGTCTTTATCAGGAGGAGGAGGTGGTGGTGGTGGCGGGGGCGGCTGTTCTTCCAGCAAGGGGTCTGAGGAATCTGGATCTGCTAAGTCGGCAGGTGGCTGCTCAGCCTGACTGCCTGAGGTAACTACCTCCCCAGGAGCAGAGGTGTGACTTTGAGTGGCGGACCCAGCCCTGAGAGAGTGTACAGAAGCTGCAGGGGTAGCAGGTTCTGCTTCTGCTTCTGCAGGGGCAGCAGGCTCTGCTTCTGCTTCTGCAGGCGCAGCGGGCTCTGCTTCCGCGGGGGCAGGCTCTGGTTCTGCGGGGGCAGGTTCCGGTTCCGCGGGGGCAGGTTCCGGTTCCGCGGGGGCAGGTTCCGGTTCTGCGGGGGCAGGTTCCGGTTCTGCGGGGGCAGGCGGTTCCTCTTCTGCAGGGGCAGGCGCTACTTCCGATGGGGCAGGGGCAGGTTCCGGTGCGGGTGAGGGTGGCGGGGCCTCTGTGACTGAAGCAGCAAGATTCTCTACACTTTGGGATGAGGTAGGGAGCGTCTGCACTGAGACCGCCACATCCTTCAGTTCAGCTTCGGAAGAAACAGGTTCAACTTTACCTAGCATCTGGGATGCCAGCTGGGCTGGATCGGCCGGGACGTAGGCGAGCCCAGCTCCCTTTTCGTCCCCAGCCCTGTCTACAAACTCGTCCACGGTCGATGGGTACTGGGTTGTCTTGGTGCACTGTTCACGGCGTGGTTCTTCACTTATCTGGTCCTCTTCTGTGTCAGTCGATTTCTCCTTCCGTTTCGGTTCGTCACTCATCGGAGCCGTCGTGTCCACCTCTGGCCTATATGCATCTCCCACGTCAGCCCTTTTGCGGGGCACCTGTGCCGCTCCTGCTGTCCCTTCTGCCCATCCTTCCACTGCAGGGTGAACAGGAAACAAGGTTAAACAGCTTTCTCCTCAAAGCGCTTTCTCTCTCTCTTTCTCTCTAAGCCACCAACTTGCAGTTGCTTAAAACCACCAACTTCCAAGTCCAGTTTGAAAAGCTTAACACTTATTTATTAATTGCTGGGAGACTCAATGAATGGCTAACATGGAGCTTGTGAAATGTTGAGGTTGTTCCATACATTCAACTGTCAGATAGTGTCCATTTGTCATTTCAAGGCTGCACAATAGGAGCCGGTTTTCTGCAATTCCCCAAAGACTCGATTTTTTAAATACTTTCACTTTATACTTTAAATGCTGAACAGTAAATGTCATAATGACCTAGACAACATTAATCCCTTTCCATAAAACCACTTATTTCCTTTGGAGAGGGGTTACAGCTCAGTGACAGAGCAAGTGTTTTTTAAAACCTCTTCCTGTAATAGCTCATGATCTGTGATTTTTATTTTTAATGTGGTTTCAATTGTACAGATGTAATTGTTGCAAACCACTTTGCTATTTTTTATTTAATTTTCATATGCAAGTGTTTTTTTATGAACAAATACATATACAAGGTCCGCTGTTTGCTCCAGTCCAGGCAGGACTGGGAAAGACCTCTATTCAAAACCCTGGGAAGTTGCTACTACAGTACTAGTCAAGTATCAACAATACTGAGGTAGATACTGGCCTGATTCAGTATTAGGCAGCTGTGTTCTTTATGGAAGGTGTCTGCTGAGCACCACTTTCTATAAACCCCAGGTTCCTACAAATCATAAGTGGATCCTTTCTACTTCAAACAATTCATCTGCTTCTGGACTATTACCAAATAGTGGTCATGGGCCTTATGGACCTGACCTGATCTCAAGTCCGAATAACCCTAAATAGCCACTATGAGGAGGCTGCCCCCCTGTGGCCACATGTCCATTTGGCAAGTTGCATGTGCACTATTCACTCCTTGTTTTCCTCTCGCATCCACTCAGCAGCCTAATTTAGAAAGCAGGGGAGACCTTTTCGTTGTTGCTATTGTTAAACAACTGGGCATCAGAATCCTCATGGATCTGCTGTGAATCACTCAAGAGATCTACCTTCCGGCCACCTCTGCCTTAAAACATAGATCAGGGACATATTTGGGGACAGGGTATTTTGTGACTGCATGAATAAACTTCCCCAACCTGCAGCTACTTATTTGTTGCATATTTTCCACAAAAATACAAGTCAACTTTGTGGGGCCTTCCAATGTTGCTGGGCTAGAACTTCCACCATCCTTGACTGTTGGCCATGCTGTCTGAGGCTGGTGGGGGTTGTATCAAAACAACCTCTGGAAGGCCACAACTTCCACCGTCCCTGACTGCTGACCCAAACAGTGTCTCTTCAAATTGCCATTTAACAGGGGATCTATCTAAATCCAATTTAGCTGCCTCAGTTATAATCCCTTTTTGAGGGAGACAAAATAACACATTGCAGTAGTTCTGTGATCCTGTTTACAAGGGCGAAACGAGGCTTTATTTCACCCAGGTCAAACACCCAGTTTGGCGCGCACACACACACACACACACACACACACACCATGTGCATTTGTGTACACACACAGAGGCTGGAAACCTCAATGGTGCCCCTCTGAAGGCTTCACCCAGGGGGGGGGAAACTGGCTAGGTCCCCCCCCCCCCAAATAGCAACGGCTCTGCTGTGTAGCATATTTTAAAAGGCATGAGATTCCAGGACTCAGGCTATGATATAAGTGGAAGACTGATGTGGCAGAAAAGGGGTTTCTATTGCTACAATTGATAACAACAACTGTTACTCCTGCTACTAACAATACGGTTCAATAGTCTTTAAACAGAGATATCAAGTCTTTTTAACCCAAAATGATGATTCTAATACAAAAACTGCAGGCTACCATTTAAAAAGAAATACAGTTTGCACAATGCCTGTCAATATATTCTATATACTGTCTAAAGTTTATTCATACATACAATTCCTAGTGATTTAAAAACACATGTGCTAAAACACAAGATTGCTGATTTCCTCCCAATACAAGGAAGGACAATCTTTACTGCAATTAAAAGGTTAACAATCAATTTTTTGCTTGATTTGGCACTTTTCGTATTTAATTCAGTAACACTTAAGAAAGTAGGGTTTCTTATTTAATTTTCCTGGTGATATTTAATTTTCCAGGGTGAAAAGCACCCTTCCCAAGCTGCATTTTCTGGTATGGGGCGAGTTTCTGTTGGAAAATGGGATGAGGAGGCGAGCCCCTTTTCCCCCATGCCAAGTTTCCACTTCAAATAGCACCCTCAGTGGCTGCAGTGTATTTCTTTTAAAAAGAGGGAGGGAAGGCAGGAATGATCCACACCATAAAGTGCATTCAATGCACACTTAAAGCAGACTGCTTTCCCCAAAGAATTTCAGGAACTGTAGTCCCCCCAACCTACAATTCCCAGGACCCTTAACAAACTACCACTCCCAGGATGCTTTGGGGGAAGTCATGTCCTTTAACTGTGTGTTGGCTGTGCTTTAAATGTATGGCATGCATCTGCCTGTGCTAGTTCTTGCCCCAAGAACTATTGCTTTGCTGCTCATGTCTTACCTCTAGTCATATGAAACTCTCTCACCAGGTCTTTAATGTCTAAATTAGGGTGGTCTGGAAAGAAAAGGTGGGAAAAGCCAATTAATTTTAATTCAGGGTATCAGATTTTACAAAGGCTTGAGGGGGTGGTTTGCTGACAATTTATAAATTGGAGCCATTGCGGCAGTACTGTTAGTCCAAAATGTCACTGAATTGCTCTATAACTTAAAAAAGAAGAAAAGCAAACCTTCTCGGAAAAGTATCAGTTCCCTGAAATACACAGCAGCAAATTCAGTAATGTTAGAGGGACTGGCTTTCAGAACTGCTCTGCTCACTCCCTCAAGTAGAGTCTTGAGGCCATAAGGAACCACCATCCTGGGCTTTGTGGTATGCATTGTTGCCACTTGAAGACAATACTGCAATTTCACAACTGTAAAGAAAGGAAACTGGATGAAAAGAGACACTGGTGTTTTCTACAATCTACACAACTACTTTCTACCCACAAGCCACATGGAAGGTTTCACTCACAGTGATTTTTAGGGCCTCTAGTGGACAGTAATGAGGAAGTTTAGCATGTGTAGACTTCTTATGGGAATTTTTGGAGGGGAAGCCATGTTAGGCTGCAATCCACACCTCCCTCTTTGCTCAGTTCACACTGCTAACTACTTGCACCCCCAAGGGTAGCTGTAGAATGATGTCATTTTGTGCATTTATATTCTGCCTATTAGGGTAAACCCTCCCAAGGCAGCTAACAAAAATCAATACAAGATAGCATTTCAAGAGGTGTTCGACTTCTGCAGCAAAAACAACAGAAGTTGCTTCCAAACCTGTTTACTGAGCATTCCTATTGATTTGTTTGCACATTTGTGCGAAGGGTTACACACCTCACTTTCCAAGGTATTTTCCCATCACTCTCCGAATCACAAAAAGCACCACCTGAATTTGCAAGTATGCACTTGAATCACACCTGTAAATAGCAACAGGTGGAAGATGTCCAGGGACTCTTATAATGCCTTACAGATTAACAAATTTAATAGTGAATCAGCTTCTATCATGTGCATGGAGTGTTATACTGAGTTACAGAATACATATGGGAATTTTGGGGGGGATGGGGGTGTAAAAAGTGAGGTCAGCAAGGGAAATAAAATGCAGAAAGTATTAATTATGCACATTCACGAACTTCAGTTAAGTACATCCTTATCACCACACCTGCATTGTATTTCCAGCTATATTTCTACTCAGACCTAAATATGTGTGTGTGTGTGTGTGTGTGTCTACACACACACACACACACAAACACACACACACATATATGAATCTGATGAAGTGGACAAAGTGGTCCACGAAGTTTATGCCATAAGAAGACACAAATAGCAGAGAAATGTGCTGGGAGTCTTCCCTGTGGGGAGGGTAACCACAACTGAAATAAAGCATCCAGCCGTAGTAGGGCGCCGCTCCCGAGACCTCGGGCCCGGACTCCGACGCCCTTCCCTGCACGCCCCTCGCCCAGCTTCGCGGCCCTGCACGCAGGAAGCCGCCCCTCGCTCGGCTCCTTGTTTGCTCCCCATCCAACCCGCTCGTTCTCCTCATCAGCCACAAGGTGGCTCCCTCGCTCGCCAAACCGCCGCTGGCTCGAAAGCTGCCCGACCTTTCTTTAAAAAATACTTCGCTAGTCGGCTGCGCCAAAGCTCCCGCCTCGCCCCTTGCCGGAGCCTCCTCTGGAGCGGCGAAGAAGACCGGCGGACCTTTTATATCGAGATGCTCCTGGTGGGCGGGGCTAGAGCGCACGCATTTGTGAGGTCACAAAGGCCGAGTTAGACCAGCGCTAAGGAAAGGGCGGGGAGGACGGCCCTGACGTTCGCCAGGCCTACTCTAGATATACGCGCGAAGCCCCTCAGCGCGGCCAACTCGGGGTGAGCGCGCGCCTCCCTGAAACAGGCGCGAAGGGGGTTAGGGCGTCAGGGGTCCAGCTGCAGTTATTACACGGCCGTTACATAAACGCGTGTCATTATTACAATAAAAAACCCGCCAGTAGCTCCACACGTGACGAGTTATCTAGTGTAGAGAATTAATATGCCCCTCCCTGTTTGCATTTCCAGGTGAAACTGACCTGGCTGCGCTCGTTTACCTGTTTTTTAAAAATTGTTTTTCTGAAAATATTGTTTACAATCTGTAACACATGCTTCTCCCACCCTTATAAAATGTATCTTCATACTGCTGTCAAACGTTAGATTGCACACTCATGAAGACACATACCTCTCTCCAGTATTTTGGAGGTGCTTTATAAATAAGCAGCAACAAAATGGATGCCTGCATACGTACAAATTGACAACATACACGAGGCATGCGAAAATGAGTACAAGAGACATGTCTCTTAAATGTTTGACTTTTCAAATCCACTTGCAATGTGTCAAGAAATGCTATATAGCACTGAAAAGCTCAGCTATTCAGCATTAAGTTCTCCCCTAGCTCCCTTAAATCTGTATAATTTCACTGCTTGAGCGCCTTCCAAGGGCCATAGGTAAAGGTAAAGGGACCCCGGACCATTAGGTCCAGTTGTGGCCGACTCTGGGGTTGCGGCGCTCATCTCGCTTTTATTGGCCAAGGGAGCCAGCATACAGCTTCCGGGCCATGTGGCCAGCATGACTAAGCCGCTTCTGGCAAACCAGAGCTGCACATGGAAACACCGTTGACCTTCCCGCCAGAGAGGTACCTATTTATCTACTTGCACTTGACGTGCTTTCGAACTGCTAGGTTGGCAGGAGCAGGGACCGAGCAACGGGAGCTCACCCCTTGTTGCGGGGATTTGAACCGCCGACCTTCTGATCAGCAAGTCCTAGGCTCTGTGATAACAAATTAACGAGTTGCATGCAAGTCAACAGGGTACTGTTGGCATCCGCTTCTGTGAGTATAGCTATATGATGCATGTGCTTTCCGAACATTTATTTGCTACAATGACTTCTGTGTGCACCTGAAAATAATGTATGTGAAGAGATCCTGAAACACAGCAGGCACAGATCTCCACTGGGGAGTTCATGTAAGCTTTTGAGGCTTCACAGTGTTCTGGTTTTTGTTGTCATGTATTTTCTGATTTTGAACATTGTGGACCAATTCTCTGTAACTCAGGACTTTAGGGGAATGTAAAAGACAAGTGTGGGAATGAATGCAGGTGGACTCTTGGCAAAGCTAGTAGTCAAGTGAGTAAGCAATTGAGTATAGGCAGATAAAAGGTTTTCAAAGCCTGCATATGCATGGAAAGCAGAAGTAGAACTTTGCAGATCTGGAATTATTCAAACACTCAGGTAATTAATACAAGTGTATTTTGTTTCCTTTTTTTAATGCTAATGTTTTCAAAATGCTGGGATCTATTCAGGCATTTCCCTATCTTATGTTTGAGCTAAGGCTTGAAAGCACAGAACTATATGCAGGTCTGTACTACAGATTAAACCGTATACAACTGAGATGACCACCTAAACAAAGATGATGAATACCTAAACAAAGTGATTTTTGAAAAATTCTCAAACTGAAGTAGCGAACATTGTGCATAGTCTAATGGATTTTATGCAACCATTACACTGGAAGAGATCGAAGGCCATCTAAACTTAACCCAGCACACAAAGACCATTCACCCACTTGGCACAACGCAGATCAACCTGTGGCACAATTCAGCTCACAAAACAAACTCCAAGGCCTCCAGGCAACTTAATCTAGAGGAAAATCCCTTCCAAATGTAAATCATACCCAGTTCATACCATGTAAAATTTATCCAAGTTATGCCGCATGAATTATTGTGAGTGTGACTTATGCTCCAAAACTTCCAGTCTAATTGTAGCAGTCTTGGCACTCCAATAGAAAAAGAAGGGAACCAGTTTCCAATGCAATGGTTCACATGTGAGAGATGTGAAATTGTACAATTTCATTGATAAATATTATTGTATCATATTATAAGCCCAGGACACTCCATTTTCTCTCAGCTAGGCTAGCCAAAAAAATTAACTCAATATAAATTTTCTTTTGATTTCCACATTTTGTTCAATTTAACTAATTGCTCCTCTATTCCATTAACTCTGCTGTTATTTGCTGTGCAACAATTGTCCCTTTCACATTTGTTTGATCAAGCAACCCTCCAGGCTAAGCCAGTGATGTAATCTATGCAGGTGCTGAGGGAATACAACAGGATGGCATTTAAAAAACAGAGGTCAAGTCAGGAAAATGTTCTACAGATTTTATTTAAGAACCAATGTGGTAAATATAAGAAACAAGCATTGAAAGTTTAGTGGCAGAACATAAAGTGTTTGGCTCCGGGGGGGGGGGGGGAGTGAATACATCTTTTAAGGAAAACATTTTTTTAAAATGGTAAACAAGTACAGATTTTGCATGGGAAACATGTCTTTGCAGCACACATGGAATACTGTTGTCTAAGCCACAACTGAGACCCAGTTCATAGGTTGAATTATGCTTACACAAGACATGGGCAGTGCATCAACTGAGTGGCATGAGTACTATTAAAACAGCTGGGTTTCCCTACAGTAGACACAGGGGAAACTAAAAGGAAAGAATCACACACCCTTGTAACCAGGTATATTTAGGGAAAACCAGCAATTTTAAGTGCATGCTCACCATTCAACCAACATCTGCACATGTATTCTGTATGCTGATATTTCTATGCAAGTATGAATCAGTTCTGAGCTGAATATGGTAGAAGTACTCAATCTGCAAAACCTGGAGAAACTAAAACATGAAGAACAAACATTCAGGTTCCGGCGGCAACCCAGAACATTTCAGCCTTTGTTCTCACTGTGATAAACCAATCTGAGCTGTACACAGAAAACTAGGTGTTAGGAAGAAGGATTCTAGGTTAGAAACTTCTTTTCCTGAGAAGCTAGTCTTCTAGGTGGAGGTGTTGTGGTTGTTAAATACAGAGGAACATTTAATCCTGTGAGCCCACTTCCGCAGACTTTCTTGAAAGAAGCCAAGCACAGGTCTACCACCTCAGAGGAGAACTAGGCCTAAAGACCCAGCCTAGATATGACCCTAATTTGAATAGAGCAGAAGGGGAATTTAATCCTTTCTCTCATCAAAATTCCTTCTGCCCAGAATGGAAAAAGGTAACAAGCCCTAGTATTTATTCTCCCAAGTGCTTGTGTGTATTGATTAAGCACCACCCTCCTTCCAACTCTGATCAAATTAATGCTCTTGCAACTGCATTAAACAAAAACTATTGGGAAACCCTCCACATGTCTCCTGCACCACATCAAATTTGGCCATAAGTTACACCATTCACTTTGATAAACATCCAGGTATCCTTGAAAAACTATGCATATTTATCACTAGAAGGCTACTTAACTGAAGGGTAATTACAAAGAAGGGAAAACCCTCAAATCTTGTTCTTAATTTTACTCAGCAGAAATATTTTTTAAAGTACAAGTTCTGTAAATTAAAGACATTTATAGCACACCAAAGTAAACAATCTAAAGTGACATGTAAAAATTCAAGTTATTCACTTGAAGGACGTCATAATGCAATAAGGTATCAACAACAACAAAAATATACCAGACCTGGTAAATTCTTAATAATATATATATATATATATATATATATATATATATATATATAACCAATGAGATGCTTACTCTGTTATTGCTATTAGACCATGCCTCCGAGCTATAAAGTATAAAAACTTATTCCAATTACATAAAATACAGCTGAGATTATTCTCATCACAGGCATAATCTAATATAAAAATACCTTTGACATTTACAAGATAGAGGTTTCTTCTATGTGTGCACAAGAGGGGTGGGAGTGGGGGAAATACATGGATGGCACTGAGCCGCTGTCAACATACAAGGCGAGATTACTTTGCTTGCAGGATTAGCACATCTCAAAACAGACCTGGCGACAGCAATAGGCCCATGATCAGGTCACTACTGTTTTATTTATCATCTAGACACTTGTGAGGAGCCCCTCCTATGAACCCATCATGCCAATGCAAAAGTCTTCTAACTTTAATAGCTTTGCTCAGGCATTTATTGGTGTGTAATCCTCAAGTCATGTAAGCTGGCACAGGTGTACTTAAAACAGTTAACTTCTACAAGAGTCTAAGATGCTGAGCTAGTTTAATTTACTAATTCGTGTCTAAAGAAAAACTGCAGATAAGGTAAAGTGCTTACACCAATTTTAAAAAAACCTAGCAGAAAAATTGTGTGTGAGAGAGAGAGATTCATAAGCAATCAGGGGTCAAAAATGCTTTCACATAGGCATATAGCTCCCAACCCACTATGTGTTTTAAGTTTTGTTAAATTTTGTAGCTGTAGGATGGCTGCTCCTGTTTCATGAGCTCAACACTGATAGCTTATCCTCCAATCCCATGACCATGCAGGGATGAGGATGCTGCTACTGTGTTTGATACCCATTGATTCTCTATGACCACCAAGGGTGAAACAATCTTGTTGTAAGGCAACTGCAGTTTGTTGCTTGAGCGCTGCTAATTTCCCAATCCCCTTGCCCTTCCAAGGAAAGTACTGCAAGGATCCCAACAGGTTTTTGTTTTTTTTTTAATCTCCAAGCCGAGAAACAGAATGGCAAATCCTGCCATTTAAAGCAAACAAAAGAGCAAACATCCCATGTCTACAAAATGAAACCAAAGCAGATAAGCTGTCAATCCATTGAGAAATGGGACTCCTCCAAAGCAATAAATAAATAATAATAAAGAAATATTCACAGCATATAGTGTTACTAAAAAGTAAAGGTGTAGTTACATCTCTTAAACATTCAACTTCTCTTTTTAGAAGGCAGCAGGTTCAGCTGTCGTGAAGTGCTTTTTACTGGCCAAAGGGAGAGTAGGGCAATCTGACCCACAGCTCCAGTCAATACTTGGCAGTTTGGGGAGCAGGCCTATGCAGGTTGGGGAATGCTCTATATGCACTGCACCACACGGAGTATCAGCGAGAGCTGGAGGTGAAATGTGGAGCCCCCTGCTTATATTTATCTCCACGTGTTCACCAGAAGCATGGCAAGGTCTGAATCAGGACCAAAAAATTTGTACTCTCCATATGCCAAGAAAGTGTTGGAGCCAGTCAGTCAGGTAAAGTACAAACAATGTAAGCATTTTTCAGAGTGTGCCAGAATAAAAGTTTATAGCTAGGTACCAGGAGTGAAAGTAAGGCTCTAACCACTTTGAAAGAAAAAGGTACTTCAGTTCTACAAAGTTACTCAATTCCCAAGTATTTAGGAAAACTGCTATTCCAAAAATTGGTGTTTGAGTTGTTTTTGATTTTTTTAAAAAACACTTACTTGTTAAAAATAAAACACTAAAACAAACTGGAATAAAGATAAGTGACATCATAGGTCTGGACTGCCACATGGCAAGTCCCATTATATTTAACATATGAGTGATAATTTGTAAACACCTTGTTAACAGCAAAGCTACTAGGCAACAGTACCATTTAAAACAGATAAAAAATGTCTGTAACACAATTATTAAGGATTTGAAAAATAAACATTTGGCTGAAAAATAGAAGTTTCTAAATCTTCACACAATTTAACATAAATATAGGAGTAGGCTCTGTTACACATGCATTTGGATGATCAATATAACTTAAATGAGCAGGTTTGCTGTGCTGTGAGTGAGCCAGGCTTGATTCTTTCCAGGCCTGCTCTGTTTTTGTTGGCCTCTGAATAAAATAATATTTATTTCTGCCTATTTACAGTTTCAAACAATTAATTACACAGTACTGTTTCAACAAACAGTTGGTATCCCTCTTCAAAAGAACAAATAAACCTATCCAAAATGAGAGAAAAAAGCTTTTTGCAGAAACTGAGCCAATGTTGTTATAGAAGTCAAAGTGTGCTTATTGTAGGCTCATTTGTACAATCACAAGCTAAATATGTTCCACTTGTCTAAGAACAAACAAAAAAGACACACCTCAAAAGCAAAGGCTTCCAAACCTGGAGAAGTCCTCTAGCACAAACCCCACAGAATCCCAGAGTAGAGATATGAAGACAAGTGGGAGGTGGGGGCTGGAATAATTGAGTAACAACTGCCTCTCCACGACCTAACCCAATTTTCCAGTCCCCATCGCCCCAGGCCTTCACATATCTATCCCAGGAGTTAGGCAACTTCTAGCTCCCACTCACTCAATTAGGACTTGTGCAAGAGAAATTGCTACTGGATTAGGCCCTAGGACACTTAATATTTTTTGGCTAATTTTGCCCTTAACCATTGAAGATGGTAATGTTTTTCTGCCACCAACTCTAGATGTCGTGGAAAAGGTGTCTCTGGCACTGGTGGTTGTTTTCAGTAGAGAAGCTGGTCCTCCTAACAGTTTTGCTCTGAGTGCAGAAACAGGGAGAAGAAAGAGTTGAGGCATCCTGCCCATCACTGGGGGACCACTTCTTTTAGAGAGGCTAACGCTGCATGTATGCGGACATGCAATCTGTTCTCAAAATCATACCCTGTGAATTCCTCCTGCAATGAAAAAGCAAACGAATACATTAGCCTAACTCACTCAGGTTTACCAAAAAACATGGTAACTTCTACGCAGGACAGAATATGGCATTTATTTGTTTATAGGACATAGCTCAATACCCTCAATGGCAATGCAGGCTGGGAAGGATAAAAGGTTTCCATTCACACCCCACAATTACTATTAGCAATGCCACCCTCCAAGTCCAGCCAGGCTAGATCATGAAGGAAAGGACGCCCCATCTGTATAATAATAATGCTCAAGTAATTTACTTTTTTTTTTTTACCTTTGCCTGAAGCAGTAATGCTTTGCCTCTTGGTATTGTCTGTAGGAGGAAGCAAAATATCATTTTTGAAATTTGTGTGCAAATGCAAGAAAATAATACTTTGGGAGACAGACAATGGCACATTATGGGACTTTCTTCATTTCTTCACTCTCTGCTTAAATCTGCTCTGGAGGTTTTCCAAACCCTACAGTGAAAAATTGGGGGGTAGGCAGGAGAGAGGAGAGGACATCTTGTTGCACCAGTGGAAACTTGTTCTATGGTCTGGTTAGTCACCACTGAATGTCCCTCTTTAACTGGTCTAATGAGAATTCAAGTTCTAATAATGAGTTTGGCTAGCAAAATGCCAACTACCAGAAATTAGATACGTAATTTTAATAAATAACGTCACTCAATAAGTTTTTAGGTATCTCAAAATAACTGGCAGCTGTCTCTCCTCATTAAAAAGAAGAACAAATTTGCACACACAGTGGGCGATATTCAATTAATGAGTCCCATTAGCACAAGGATTTCTGCTTGTGCAACGTGACTCCCCCGCCCCGCCAAATCTCCTTCTAGAAAGCAGTAAACCTCGTAGGCCATCTTCCACATGCATTGTGTGTTTTTAAGTATACAAAAATGGGGCAAAGCCCTTGTATATCCCCTCCTCTTCATATAAGGATCCAAATAAAAAGGCAAATACGAAATACTGATACATCATTGATGTGCCAGTGGATCTCTGTTTTTCATGTTCAAAACAAGCTCGTGCTGCCTTTCCATAGTCTTGCTGGAGAGCAATTAAGAGGCAGGTCTGAAAAGCATTAATTAAAAGCTATTTTAAGACCTTCTCCTTAAATATGGCAATGAAGAGAAGCATGGGCAGCTGAGTGTATGAAGCATTAAGAGAAAGAGTACGAAGATCTCTAATTTTTACATGCCTAGATCTTTACACTCTTACTAGCTTCACAAGTTTTGCCACACACAGTTGGGAGGCATTAAGTAAATGTTAATAATGCTTGGACTACTCAAGTGTTCCCTACTGGAAAAGGGCTTAAGCAACCCAGCAAGCCACCCATTCCTCACTCTCTTTACCTGTACCGATGCTCTTCCCTTCCCTCCTAATCTCATTCATGATGCTAACCACAGCTCTCCCACTTCACCCTAAATGTGCTGGAGAGGTAGGGGTAGGAAGAGAGACTCCAAGCCACATTCGTAGCCAGCTAATGCCTGGTTTAAGAGTAATGCTGAGCATGCAAAAGAAAGGAAAAAGGGGGAGGCGGAGAACCCTTACCCAACAAGGGTTCAATGTAGCCAATGTAATTTTAAAAATTTGACCACTAGGCTTTACCTACCATACTGGCATAGCATCAACTACAGGTTCCTGACATGCTAATGCTACATGTATACAGACCAGCAACACAATTTAGATATCTTCTCATGCAGTATTCTTTAACCTTTTATTGTGATACTTGAACTCAAGCCTCATTGCAAAGGGGGAAACGGGTCACCTGACACCATGCTGATGTCATGTGACCAATATCAGAGTGGCTGGGGATGATGGAGTTCAGGAACTAGCCCGCCAGGCTGAAAAGGTTTTCCACCCCTGAGCTAGATCATATGTTGAAATGCCATATGCAATTCATTTGACTCCATCTGAGAATATCACCTGTACTTGATGGACTATATGGAACTGGCAGAAATGACTGGCAGAATCCGAGACCAGGGAGAAGAGTCGGTGAAAGAAGATTGGAAGAAATTTAAAGACTATTTACAGAAATATTGTAAAATTAAGGAATTTTAGAAGGATGTTGGATAGAAACTAAGTGGTTTCCAGCTGTAATGCTTTAAGAGATACGAAAAAAGGTTTTATAAATGGGTAAAAGCTTAATGGTAAGGATTTGCTGAACTAACAAACTGAACTGGAATACAAAAAAGGGAGGTATGAGGAGGTCCGGGGAAATAAGTGTAAGGAAGATATGTTATGGAAAATTAACGACGTGTTTTTAACTGTTTTTATTTTGTATGTTTCCTTTTATTTTTCATTTTTTTGTTATATCTTAAAAACTTTATTCTTTTTTCTGTATTTTCTTGTATTTTTATTTTTTGTTTTTGTATTCTTTGAAACTTTAATAAATATCATTTATATTAAAAAAGAAGAGAATATCACCTGTACTACCAGTGCAATATCATTTCAGAACATTTAAACGTTTTTCACCAACAATGCTGCAGTGACTGAATAAATGGACATTTCAAATGGACCATTGATTTTATTGCACTGATTAAATGCAAGAGTCATATCAATAAATTGCTGGTAAACTTGATGCAATTATGTTAGGCAATCAGTAAACTGGTAGGATAAGATCAATACAACTCCCCAGAACACAGGAGCATGTGTTAAAAATAACACCGCTAGGAAAGGCCAGAAAGAGAAAATGCACATTCCAGATTGCTTGCAACCTTCCTCTACTTCTCTCTTTTGAAGCAGTAAATTCAGACATTTCCAAAGTATGCTGTACTGTTTACCTGTGGGTCTTCTAACAAGAGACAGCCAAGTTCATAGCAAGCATAGGGTTGGATATATAAATTGTTTTGGCGGCACAGTTCATCTTTAAGGGCTCGTTGAAAGAACTGTAAAACAAAATTGACACATTCAACACACAGTGACATTTCAAAGAACAAAAGAAACCTTCACACTGGACAACATATTCTCAGATCTTGCAACTATCTTCACCTGTAGGGCCTGTTGATTTGTCAGTTAGCTTCAGAACCAGTTAATGCATCAAATCAAAAATAAACTTGGAAGAACTCCCTAGCTGTTGGGAGTTCAGGGACTTTAGAAGAGGAACATACCTGAACAGCATCTTCAGCATTTCCTAAGCATTTGTGTATGGCCCCAAGTAGCAAGTTCTTTAAACCAACAACAGTGGAATCATCAATTTCATGGCAAGCTATATCAGAAAAGAAAAGGTTGAAGCATTTAGTTTTTAAACTAGATAAAAAAAATATTAAATTTAGTTCAACAATTTGTACACAATTTTATTACAATTGCCTTTAAGCAGTATACAAGAAACCCAACGTAATTATAACAAAAATGAATTAGATACAGAAAGCTGCTTAAAAAGCTTTAAAACCAATCTTCCCCAGGTTGCTGCTCTACAGATAAGTTTGGGACTTCAAATTCTCATCAGCCAGTGGACAGGGATGATAGGGGTTGTAGTCCAAAACATCTGGTGGGCAAATGATTGAGGAAGGCTGCTTTAAACCTATCCCCTAATCTTCTGTCTTCACTTTAGACTTTTTAGTCCAATCAACATCTGGACAAAAAAATGCTAATATTCTCCCCTTTCAATCATCAACCACCAGATGGATCCGGTGCCAACCCTACTACTCGTGCATGATGGCAATGGGTCCGATCTGCGCTGTGGAAGCAGCAGTGGCTGCATAGCTCCATCAAGCCCCACCAGTGCCAGCTAGGGGGATGGATTGACCCCTAAACCTTCAGCATAGCCATTCAAATATGCAGGAGAGCCAGGTGAAACAATATATGAATTGGCTCATAGTTCAACCAACACCGAAATGTTTATAATAGCTTTAAAACATACTGTTCTATTGCACAAATATTTTCATTTATGTTTATGCTTGAGGAAATGCCAAATGTGTTTAAAGCAGCAGCAAATTTATGTTGACTAAGAATTGGTTAAGAAACAAAGGAGCAACGAAAAGTTTGTGAAGTTACCAATAAAAAACAAATAAGGTAAAGCGTTATAAATCCTTTACAGTGGACACTCGGGTTGCAAATATGATCCGTGCGGGAAGCATGTTCGCAACCCGCAGCGCCGCGTCTATGCATGTGCGGGTTGTGATTCGGCGCTTCTGCGCATGCGCAAAGCGCGATTTAGCACTTCTGCACATGCGTGACCGCCGAAATCCGGAAGTAACCTGTTCCGGCACTTCCGGGTTTCAGCGCATCTGTAACCCGAAAAAACACAACCTGAAGCGTCTGTAACCCGAGGTATGACTGTATTTGCATGAACCAGGGAGGAACATGTTGGACACAGATGTGTACACACACCATGAGTTTAAGTCAAGCTTTCCAGCTTTGTATTCTGTATGAGTCAAATGGCACAGAAAAATGAACTTCTGGAAATATGTTCAAGTTGCAGCCTTTACCTCTGGATGGCTTTTCCAACCCTAAAGCAAATTTCCCAAGGCCTAAAGTATAGTCATAAAAGTCAGAAGAAGGCCTTGAGAAGCTATATACTGTTTATATACAGAAACGTGTTTTAAGTCTTGTCTAAATTGCTCACGGCGAGTGCCAGCTGCCATTTTGAATATGAATCTCTTCCATCCTAAGGCTTATAGCTTCTTCAGCAACCCGAGACAAATGACATCACCACTAAGTTTAGCCTTGGCACTAAAGAACTCTCTTAAAGAGATGCATGACAAGGCATCTGTATAGGAATGCTGTATAGTTTTGTTTTTCCTTTGAAGCAATATGCTTTTTTATCTTCAGAAATCCACAGTCTAACAAAGCGTGCTTCAAATTAAGGCAAAACATGAGTAGATAGTAAAGAATATTTGTCATCTGTGCCTGTCTCTACTTCCTGAAGATGACAGATCCGGCATCAGTTGTTCATGCCCTAATTTCGAAGTGAATAGGTCGTGACAATGTGGGGTTCCCTTTAGACATTCAGGAAACTTCTACCAGTTGCCATCAGGTACTGGAAGACTGGGTGTTATACCATCCCTACTGGTTGCCCATCTGTTTCAGGGCTTTATTTACACTGCTGGTTCTGACCTTTAATGTGTTAAGAGTTTAGGACCAGATTGTTTCAGAAACCAGTTGCAAGATATGGAGATGCAGACTGGGCAACTAACAGCCAACCCTATCTATGTAATATCAAGTAATCTTTGCTGCGCACAAGAGGGGAGATAGTGAGAGGAGAGGGGGTGGCATAAGCTGGATGGGCAGTGGCTAACTGTCTCAGTGTGCCCCTTCCCATCACCTTGGACTCCTGCATCTATTGATAGCTCTCTCTTGGGAAGCTACGTGAGCACTGGTACTCACAGCCTGAACATCAGAAATAAAGGGAACAATGGCAAACCACAACACTGAACCAGTAGCTAACATGCACTATATTTTGGCTCACATTACTGCCAAGAATATGTTCTGATCGGTGGTGGGAGAACAATACTCAAATTTCCACAATCTGGTTTATTATCCACTTCAAACTGCTTATTATTCAAAGCCCAAGAGTTTATAGCGTATCAATCATTAGATGAGTAAGCCAGTTTCTGCCTTAAATTGGCACAAACTGCAAGTATTAGCGACAGAAAAGTGAGGGTTTGTAAAAGAAACAGTTTGTGCAGAAAACAACAATAAAAAGAAACAGACATCACATCTTGTACCTTGACTCATGTGCTGTAGGTTTGGGAAGGAGCAGTTTGGAAGAGCTTTCCATAAATACAATACTTCAATGGATGCCAGTATACAGAGTTGCTTGGTTGGTTTCTGCTTCCTAAATCTATCTGCCTGAAAACAATAAAATGGTTTATTTTAATTTCCATCTAAGCCAAGGGCAAGAAGTTTTCAACATGTTTTCAAAATGCAACCTTTAAAGTTATACAATTGGACAAGCTGAAGGATATTTTTAACATTCAGCCAGAAAAACCGCAAACCTCCAAAGACTGAAATGTCAGCGTAAAGAATCATGTGCCACAACATAATGTTCCAGTGTACCCCTAAACACTACAAAGTGTGTGCTGTTCAGGTCTTCAGCCAGTCTAGAACAGGAACTTTGTAGTACTGTTTGGGACTCGCAGGGCGCACATTTTTAAGTCCCACTCTTCCAAAACATTCCCCTCCAGTACTGAAAAGCTCAGAATAACAACAGGCTGATCTTTGCGCATGACCATGGTGCAGCTGAGCATTAACCCTGTTGTTAAATTGCTTTGAGATTTTTTTTGCACAAAGCAACTAACAAATATAAAGACCAATGCACGCAATGCAGATCTCATGGATTTAAAGTTAAAGGCACTTCCCTTTAACTTAAGAATTTTGCGAAGCATTTCTGAGCTCACATCAAAGGAGAGCATTTATGTTGCATGTACCTACTTTCTGGATCAGATTCCTAATCATAAAGAGTCACAACTTGTCTTGCGAGGATGAGGGACTCTTTCCAATTAGTTAAGAAAAAAGCAATTTGTGGACAAGTCCCAGACTCCTATGGGGAGATCCATAGCATATCACTTATTGGATCCTTCAACCTCATTCAGCCACCCCTGTCCACCCAGACCAAGCCACCCCATAGCAGAAATGTACTGGTTTTAAGGTCATCAACACACACTTGGGTTACTGCCCAACACCATGTCCACAGTTCCCTCTTCTAATTTAGATCTGCCTCCAGGAATCTAAACTCCTGGTATTATCTCAGGTATCAACAAAGCAAGGGGACAAACATGGGAAAGTTTTCAAGGGCAAGAGAGGACAAAGGAGAGAGAAAGAAAAGGGACCAGATAAAAGAAGTGAAGCCCTTTTCTCTCCAGATAGCTTGTTGGCAATTTAAACTGTTTGACACTCAGTGGTAGAAGCTGAGTTATGAAAACTAGGACCTAAATGGCACATTAAACCAAGTTATGTGCGCCACAACAGAATGACTAGGCACACTTTTTTATAACAATACAAAACTGAAAATTAATGAACTGCTGCTAAAATCTTATGTTCATTTTTCACATGGTCTAGTCCTCATCTGAAGACTGCAAAAAAACACAAAGCCATGCTTCCCCTGCCTGCCCCCTTAATATTGGAGCGTCCCTCAAAACACTGCCTGTCTGTAAGGCCAGCTGAGAGGCAGAACCTATCAGCTTGCCTGATGCTGCAGTGATTTCCTGAAGTTGAGCAGGCAGAAATTTCTCCTCCCACGCCCTCAGCATCAGCAGCGGCAGTTTAAATCAGAAATTTTAGGTGCAGTACTGCTCAGAAATTGCTTGTGCTAATGAAATTCCCAGTCGCAAAATGTGCCTAGAACAATGGGAGTTTTGAACGCTGTTGACACTGCTTTAAGCCAAATATTGCCATACAGAGAATTTAAAATGTTCTTATGGCACTAACCTTAATAGGATCATTCTACAGACACTAACAGCACAGTAACTGAACAAGGAAAATGGCACATAGTAAAAAAATGGATTGTCTATTTTTCTCTTCAGAATGTCACATGCACTATAATATTATTTTGCTTTCCCATTAAGACAGACATGGTTTAGCTTTTCCAGTGGAATTCTTCCACTACCAGTTTCCATTTACAGAAGTATTCCTGTATCTGGCAGAAGAAGCATACAAAATTAAGATTCTCACTAAAATTATGTGCACTCTCTCCATAAGGAGAAAATAATGTACAAACCAGCACAGCATTGAATCATTCTCTAGTGCTGATCTCATAAAACTCATGGCCTTTTCCTAAGTTGAGAGGGGTACAAACTGGGAGGGGGGGGGAGGTGTCCCAGCCTGAAACACATATGCTTCTCATGACAGGTCCTGACATACTTATTTTAACAGGGTCAGTAAACTTCAGTATTTAAACTGCATTGTTCAGTAAAGATTTTAAAAGATTCAGCTTAGATTGCTATCACCACCACCACCACCATCAAATCAACTCGGCCTATGCTCATCAGACCTTTTTGACCGAAAACTGCTCAATTTGATTGTTTTTTCTTTTAAAAAGCTTCTGGACTTCTTTGAACACATTCTGAGCTCCATTCACATCACCGGTGGCACCTTGACACACTGTAATAAAGCACACACCAAAAGTTTATTCTAGTTATCTTAGGGCAAAAAACATTTTCAGCTGCCATTCCACATATTCATAAAATTTCTTAAATGTTTAATGACTAACTGATGCCTGAATTTGCTTGTTTTTCTTTCCTTGCTCCATCTTTATGTAGGATACCTATGCGATTATAAGCCTACAGGCAGGTTCTGTGTTGCTTTTGATATTTGTACAGCGCCTAGAAAACCTTAGGTGCTTCATACATAAATAATAATGAGATGCAAACAAATGCAGATAGAAGCTATCATGCAGGAAGAATATTGCATGCTCACATTTCATCTAATTAACAGTAAATAAAAATATATAAATACACACCACTGTTACATTAATGTTGTGATTTGTGAAGCTGTAAATCTAAGGTTTATTTACAATACATAACCTAGAAAAGGAAAAATGTAAGTTGTGGGTAGTTTTCTTGCAGAGATATGCTACTGCTATATAATGATCAACGAATTCAACACACCCCCACACCCCCCCACACTCCTATTCATGTAATGATACTTCCCTGCTGTCAAATAGGCATAGTAGCATTGGGACCATCTTGATTCATTTTTAAGACGCTCAAAGGATTCAAATGCATCCTTGAAGTTCATTTCTATCATGCTGCACCAGCCTGTAAGAACAAGCAAAACATTTTTTAAACACACTGAAAAGAAATGGTTCATACATGGAATAAGCACACACACACACACGGGAGAGAGAGAGAGGGAGAGAGGGAGAGGGAGAGGGAGAGGGAGAGAGAGAGAGAGAGAGAGAGAGAGAGAGAGAGAGAGAGAATATATCTGGAGGAAATAGAATCTGCCACTGATGCAGGACTGAGTGAGTCCTGATCCCTCACTGCACATGAGAGCACAAGGGTTATGGGTGTCAACAGCCATTGCAGAAATGGAGTGGAGTTTCTGTAAGCAGGCAGCTTTTCTGGCAGCAAGTTGCCCATCACACTGCTTCAAGTAAAACCTGCTTGTTTTCTGTCTGAAGGAAGTCCACAAAGGTTAGGAGATGTTACAGTTTCAAAGAGTGGGTGAAACAAAAATGCATTGCTTTGTCTTCATTTAGAAGCCACGGTGCCTTTAATTATATCAGGAACACAGTCTTCTGTAAGAAGTCACTGAATAAAAACTAGAATCTGAAGTGTAAACACAGCTCTTAACATGCTTTCAAAATGTGTGTGTATGTGGGGAGAAGAGGTGCAGTTTTGGTTTACTAATGCTGCACTTTCTTGACAGTAAGCAAGACATGCATTCACTCCACAGTCACAGGTTGAACATTATCAATGTAACTTTTTAGGTGTGTGTTAATAAAGGCAATGAGCATGTAGCTCAAGTAATCCTTATGCATCAATGGACAATTAAGTGTGGTAAACTTAATTTCCCCCTTTGTCTGTTGACCAACAAGTGATCATGATTATATAATTTACTAACACAACTCAATATTGCTCATTCAAGCACTAGTAGCAGTGATTAAACACAGTAGCAATAAGAAAATACATTAGTATTATTATATACCAATTTCATATAGACAGACATGCTGAATCTCTCTCTGATCAGTTGCCAGTTCCAAAGCAGTATGAAAGGAGGTCAAGGCACTGTTGATTTGACACTAAGGAGAGAGAGAGAGAGAGAAATACTATTATCAAAATGCAACTATGAATAAATACCAGTTCTATCATTACAATTCCAAGCCCTCCAGAAGATTGGAAGCAAGGATGGTCTGGTGTGATTTTACTGCAAGCCTGCAGCCTAAACATCAGCTGGCTACTCAAATCAGGCCTGGTTCACAGGACACACTAACTTGGCTTAACAAGATTACACAAATGTATGGTCTGCTGGACAGGAGCTGACGGCAACTTTGCTGTTCCCTGGTCATTTTAGCTGCTGCAATGTACTGAGTTAAGCCAAGGTTTGACTTAGTATGCTATATGAACCAGGTTAAGTTCTCTTCTCATTAACCAATAGCTGTAACAAAGGTTTGTTGGTTCCTTTCTCTCCAAAGAGTGAGTTTGTTGCTTTGTTTCGAGAGAAACAAACCACAAGCACTGGTTTACACATAATACTAAGCCAGCCTCCTGTTTTTCTTCCTCCTGGCATGGCATAAACAGGAACTGAGTAAGAGCAAAGCAGGCACAAATGAGGAGCTTTCATTGGCAGGCTCTGGTTTAACACTGCACATGAATAAGGCCACTGTCGTGCTGCCACCATTTTAGCTAGCCATGTACAATTTCAGAACAGTTTACTTCTTCTCCCACAAGGGGTCAGGAAGACACTGGAATTAATGGTACCAACAGAGCAGAAGCCAGATATGAAAAATGTCACCCTTTTGCCAAAGGAAAACCTCTACTTTGACATCTATAACTGCCAACACATTTTGGAGATATTCTCCGCACCCATGACCTCTAGAAACTTGTTTTTCAGTTTATTTTGTTTTTTTAAGAGTCCAGGGCACCATGTTTCATGCTAAATAGAACACTCCCCCAATCACTGTCCTCTTGACTATATTATGGATAGGCCAACTGCATTGATACTCTGTTATTGAAATGGTTTTGACTCAACAAATCTTGCAAAATTACAGTCATACAGAGAAGTCTATCGGTACCTCTAGACGCTGTATTCTTCCCTTGAAGAACATAAAGAGAGACGAGTTTGGATAAGCAGCTTCTTTTTTCTGGAGAATGTCTTTAGCCTCTTGCAATCCTGCTTTGGTGTCACTGCCATCCAAAGCAAAAAAAGGACGAACCACAGTGTGGTACCACAGCAAGGCTAATCTGAAAAGACACACACACACACACACAAATCATGAAGCTAGCTGTTTCTGTAATGAGGAGCTGCTGACAAAAGATTTTCTTTCTTTCTTTCTTTCTTTCTCTCTCTCTCCTGTGCCAGGCCAACATTATGCCAATACCTTAATTTAAACCGGGTTGTCTTTTTGTGCTTCTAAGCAAGGTCACAATCCTACAGCATCACACACACAGGGTAGGACAGAAGTGTGCATTTGTGTGGTCATTCATTATGCAACAGAACAAGCAAATATTCCCTCCACCCAGCTGCATACTTAAAACCAGTTTGCAATTCACCACACAATCAACTACAGTAAAAGATTCAGAACACCTCAGGCTATGCCCAACTTATTCTTCCAGCTGTGCCAGAGATGTCTAGGGTTCCAGTCGAAGGCCACTTGTGCGCACAACATGTAATTAACACTATAGTACAAGAAGGAAACAGCTCAGCACCCCTGCATTATGGGGCTTTCATGTCAGAGGAAGAGGTAGCCCTCAGTATGCATCTCTTTGCACATACAAAGCTCTACTTTTATTGAATTGAATACACACAGTATTTCTCAATCCAGAACCCTAACATAGTATTAAAAAAATATGAATTACAGACTACAATTGGAATTAACACGTTAAACCAGAATTCTAAATGAAAAATAGCTGCCATGCAAAATAAAAGCCAACATTAACCCAACTTTGCAGGCACAAGTCAACACCAGCTAAATCCTTAACAAAAAAAATGTTTCTACAAAAGGTTAAAGTGGTATATAATTCATTAATATCACTCAAATCTTTCCAATAGCTTCACTGGATGGAGGCTGCATTCACAGTATTTCACCTCAAGCCAAATACTTCTTGCAACTGTGGAGAACCAGAGGGTCCTTGCCACAGGGCTATTACATGCAAAAGGAGGCTATGGATTGGGCATAACTATTCCTTCCACTGAGCTGGAGAAGCCTGAATGGAGGAGTTCTACATGTTGGTCACAGACCACTCAGGGCTTTTGAGAAATGTGGTCCATCATTGGAATACACAGAATCATACAGAGACACAGAGATAGAATAAGAAATTCTATACAACATTACTGAAAACCAATTTTAAAAGTGCCAAATTATTACTGCCTTAAGAGCTGTTTATTTCAATCAGCATTTATCTAGGATGTTTGAATTTGTAAGCATCTGAGGACACAAAAATATATCCTTGGTGAATTAAAAATCTCTCTAAAAGCCAGATTCTCATTTCATAAACCATCGCACATCAAGCAACAACATTATCTGGTGATGTTTCCATTAAAATAAAATGAAAAGAACAAATACAAGACCGCTTCCTAACTTACATTGGATTGCAGTTTACTTACTTTCAGTACTAAGTTATTTACCAAAGCATTGCAATATAGCTACTCACGTAGCTAAAGGGGCCTTCATGTCCTTACTTTCACTTGCATATATCAGTGAAGAAAGCCCCTGCAGGCGGTCTCCAGGAAAACCCAGCAGGTTGATGATTTTGAGCAGGTTTGGGGGCACCATGGATATGCAAAGATGAAAAAGTCCATATCCAAAGCTAACAGCACCTTTCAGACGGTTTAGTGAATCCTCCGTTATGCTTTCTGCAGCAATATGATTATCATTTGCAGCGTAAGAAGTCAAGGATTCCTGAGTTATCTTCTTCTGATATAATTCCTGAAGTGTATTAATGTCTGTATAGCATTTATTGTAGATTTTCCAAGCTTTTCTAAGGATCCACCCACCTTTTATATAAGCTGGGAAAAGAAAAGAAGAGTTCAGTCAAAGATAGCAGCATTTCCAAACAGAGAAACAACATAATAATGGTTCCAGAACTGACCTGGACCCTGCAATGATAATCTGAGGCCCTTCTTCATGTGCTTTCTCCATGAAAGGTCCATGAGAACAGGCCTTTTCCAATCTGTGGAATGCTCTCCCCAGAAAGGTTCGTCTGGCACCTTCATTATACAGTCAAACCTCGGTTGTCGAACATAATTCGTTCCAGAAGCCTGTTCGGCTTCCGAAATGGTCAAAAACAGAGGCATGGCTTCCGATAGGCTGCAAGAGCTTCTTGAACTCAAGCAGAAGCTGCGCTGGACGTTCGGCTTCCGAAAAGGTAAAAAACCAGAGCATTTACTTCCAGGTTTTCGGTGTTTGGGAGCCGAAATGTTCCAAAACAGAGGTGTTTGGGAGCTGAGGTTTGACTGTACATCTTTAGGGGGCATGCAAAAACATTTCTCTTCTCCCAGACCTTGGGCTAATTAAACAATCTATGTATGACTTTTTAAACTGTGTGTGTAGGGTATTGTTTTTGTTTGTTATTAAGGTATGTATTTTTGTTTTTTTATATTGTAAACCGCCCTGTGATATTTGGATGGAGGGCAGTATAGACATTTAATAAATAATAATACTAGTAAAAGTCATTCATAAATACTGAACATCAACTTATTATACCTTTCCCCACAACAAACAAGCTTTACAACACACAAAGTGTTCCACTAACGCAAGCACTTTTGGCAATGTGCCGGAACTTCATTTCCTGTGTGCTCCCTAAATACGTTCTGGGGGTTCCCCCAACCCTCCTCAGATATAGGGAAGCAAGGGGGTGAGGAAGGGGAAGGGAATTCCCATTGTACAGTGAGAAGTGCTTGTGCTAGTGGATCTGCTTAATGGACTAAAACCTAAAAAACCTTTCCAACTTATACACATGCTCAAACCAATATGCAGGGATTCTGAAAACAGAAAAAGACTAAAGAACCTAAGCAGTTAGTATGTGATATTAAGAGGAGATTCTGGTTTTCGGAGGATTCTGCCAAGGGACTCAGAATATGTGGGGACATATAGGGCCCAAAGAAAAAAATGATGTAGCATGCAAACTCTAACCATAAATCTTTACAATGGTTAAGTCACTATTCATTCCCAATTGCTTTGGATAGGCTGTAAACAATGAAGGAAGGAACAGTTTCTTTTTTAGAACTATCAAGCTATGGAAAATTAAGCTGTCTGTTGCAATAAAAACATTCAGACCAACAGCCATGATTCAGCTTTATTAGGAGGCTAAAGTTACTGCAAGACTGTGCAGTTCGACCACTTTCTGCTGCATAGCACATTTGGTTCTCGTGTGGCTCACCACAAGGCAAGTGTTTACACAATTTTGTTCAGCAATGCCGCAGTAAGCATGGAGGGGGTAAAATACATAGTCCTCTCCTCACCTTGGCTTGCACATTGACAGATAAAGGTCAAAAATGAGAGGTACACTTCAGAACAATCTTATATAGACGTGCTGCGTTTTGCACTGAAATACTAGTTTTCAAAAAATAATCAGATATACATGTATTTCTTCAGCATGCACTAGATTTATTTAAAATATTCCTAATATCCAAGGGTGATACAAGAAAGTAAAAAAACACACACACACTGGATGCAGAATTACTGTTATCACATCATTTGATTAAATGTAAAGCAGCTTCTAATCTGACCAACAGTGTTAACTGAAAGGAGACCAACAACTCACTAACAGTAACTTGGATTTATAGGGTCTAATGTTAAATAACAACAGGAGTTCCAAAAAGCATTTGAAACCACACACAAAGAAAGCTGTAGCATGCACATGAAAGGAGAAAAATTTATTTCCTTCTTGCAAACTGTCTTAACAGGCTACTAGAATGGAATGTAAGTTGTCAATCACCAGCACATCAAACTGGTCAACAACATTTTATACTTTCTTGTCACCTACAAGTGGGAAGGACTGGAGAACTCAAAAATTCAGTTGGGGTGGGGAGGGGAAATAAAGGTTTAATATTAGAAGTCAGAGCTCACCCGAGAGTTCTTGTTTCACAAAAGAAAGCACAGCAAGATAAACTTGACAGTCTGCTACAATGATTTGTCTCTGCAGTCGATCAATCATGGATGGGGTAGCCTTTCGGCCATCAACCTGTTTGAAAGCCATGAAAGTAGGGTAGAAACATCCAATGAATCTTAAATTCTTCTAACTCAGGCAACATATTCTCCCTTGCAACAAGGTGGTCTTTCATTTCCCAATAGGGACACACACAAAAACTGTGTGGAATCCTAACACAGAACTGAAACTAAAGAGAATTGCCTATCACATTTACAAAACTGTCTGTATGTTTGGAAACTGAAAACATTGTACATTTTCCATATGTTGCAGAGGAACACTTTCATATGTAAGAGCATTATGATAAGGAATGTATTGTCCATCCAACAGAAAGTGTGCGTACATACTTCCTGTCTTCTGCTCTAGCAGGTAAAAAAGTTCAGTACTGGAACCATGAAACAAGCATATCTATTGTATTTCCCATTCTAGCAACCTTTATTTGAAATCATTTTCTTATTCTGTGGAAGCATAGAAGGAGATGAGAGGCAGTAGCAATAAAGGAGAAACCTTTCAAATAAAGCCATGGTTAGCTTCGTATTTTAGTTCGCTTTGGCATAAATAATCAGATTCTATTACATAATTGCATATGCAAGAGTGTTTTAAAAGAAATGGATTAGAAAAGCAAGCAGTAATACCTGCACATACATTTCATAAAATGTTGGGAATATATATCACCTTTTCTTTATTCAAGTGTCAGAGGATGTTACTGTCTTTTACAAAAAAAAAAGGTGATAATCTGAGGAGTGAGCACTGAGTTCAATAGGGCATTATGCCTGCTGTTCCTCTCTGCAAAGTTGCTGCCCACCCCTGCCCCTCTGCAAAAGATGATGGATGGTGCATTTGTACACTGGGAACTGGAAAACAAAGACCTCCACATATTTCCATTAGAAAAATATATGGAACAGTGAAACTAAACAAACTGCTCAGATTTTTATACACTCAACATTAATAATGCAGGATGTTCTCAAGGGAGGCCAAAGCTTCATTATTTATAGACTATGCAGTGCTGCACTGGTCCACTGAACTAGCAAAGACAAACAGCATCCATGGGATACTTCAGCAGGATTACTAGCCAAAATTAATCATTCTGGTTTGGAAGAGGAGACGTGCCAACTACATGTATACAACAGGTGGTGGCAACTGAAGCGGAAATCCTCTATTAACTTACATCATCTGAAACAGTAATATATTAATTGTAATTTATTTTAAGTGCAAAAACATGTGCTTCAAATGTCATTTCAATTACAAGTGTCGGCTTTGCAGTCACAGACAAGTATCAAAGGTAAGCAGAGATCCACATAGATCTGTCAAGTCACAACACTGCAAATACCTGTATGAACCTGCAATTCAACAGACAGAAGCATGAGGGTTAGAAGCTAAATGGTAACTGGTAACTTCTGAATTAACAGATGCACCTTCTTTGCTCTCCAAGTCCTGCCTTTAAACTAGTGTGGGGAAAGTGAGGAGAAAGGACTAGGTTTCAATGGAGGAGGCCTGCACAAGTGGTAAAGAGAAAAAAAGGAGATATTCGGGGGGGGGGTTAAAGAAATTTGTCTGGGGTGTTGGGGGAGGAGAATCTGGGTAAGATTTTACTGTTTCAGAGAAACTGAAGGGCAAGTTACTTTGGAAGGTTTGATATTTGATGCTCAGATTCCACCCTCTGCTCACTTTGAGATTTTGGGCAATTGCCCCATCGAGTTAGCATTCCACTTCCACCAGGAGCCAATGTGGAGTTCTATTTAGAGTTTTCCTAAACAGAAATTCTATTTAGTTCTCATGGCTGAGGATTCAGGCTTCCATGGACAGAGCTGGGGTGCAGCAGAAACCAAGGGAAAGTGAAATAGGAGCGGATTAACAAGAGTAGGTCGTTGTAGCTGTGGTCCCTCTGGTTTCAGGGGTTATCAGCTACCACTGTCAACAACTCAGCAGGGCTAGCAAATAGAATGGAACACGCTTCACAAAAAGAAGAAAGCCAAACGACTATATATGGCCAATATCTACCAATGAGATGCCTAGTGGCACCTGAAAGAAAGCTTCTAGAACAGCAAGACTAGCCATATCAGGCTACATTTTTTGTCATGACAACCAGAAGCCAAGACCTTATCTATCAATTGCCATAAGCAGTCTGAAGTTGGAGCTTGTGACAAAACAAGGCCTTTAGGATCTCCTACCTGGAGCTCCAAAGACCAAAGCTTGGGTACTAATGCCTATTTGAACAGATGGCGGTTAGGTACCCTGACGATACTACAAAGTGGTAAATCACAGGGATGATGGGTTGAATGTAAGACAAGGACCTCAGAGACCAAGATTTAAATCTTCACTCAGCCATTAGACAAATATCTAGGAAGCAGTTGCCATATTAGCATGGGGTACATTAGTTCACATATTAGCAATGTTGCACTTACATTCTTCTTAATTTTGTTTTTAATGGTTTCTATAACTCCTGCTTCTTCACTCTCACACAGTTTTTCGGTAGCTTTTAAGTCCTCACATGCCAGCTGCATTTTTTCTTCTTCAAAAGTCATCATGGCATTCTGTTAAAACATAACCAAAAACAAAACAAAACACCCCTATTGAATCATAAAGTGACAACCTAATCTAAACCTGCTTACTGCTGCACAGTCTAAGGATATTGTATAACCGTTTTATAAGCACTTGAAATAAGCTCACTATCTAAGACATATAAGCATCTCACCCAAGAGCACTGCATTCAAAATGTCACTGTGAAAATGAGAAGAGAAGTCAAAAATTTAACCATTTGCTACTGTGCACTGAATGAGTATTATAAAACAGTACTGGGATGAAGGCTTCCCAATGGAAAAATGATATACAATTAACTGAAGACTTTCTTGGAACCATTACACACTTAATGCAATAGCCAAGGTCACAATTAACTTTGCTAACATGATTGTAATTCAGGAACAGAGAGCATGTGGCCCTCCAGATGCTGTTTGATTCCATTTCCAGTTCCAGCCAGCATGGCCAGTGGTGAGATATGATTAAAACAGTGGTCTAACAACTCCTGGAGAGCCACAGGTTTCCCACCTTGGACGTAGTACTGATCAGACTGGCCATTCCAATGCATCATCAGAACATGAATATTTGCCCATGTGGAATGTACTTACTCTAATAAGTCTAATGCCATATCAGCTAGCATCAGGAGACCACCATATGAGACTCTGGGAGGGAGGACACAGAGTCGAAATATTAAGACACTAGAAGATTGTGCTCTACTCTCATTAGATGCAAACTAATGTCAGTGCTCACGTATTTCCAACAGAGCATGAAGATTCTGTAGCATCCAAACTCCCTATATATAATATTAATATTTGGTTATTAGTTTTGATAACCTGTCAAAATTATCATGGAATTCTTTTTAACAGCTTACATTTCAGCTATTCCTGATAGAGCATGTATGTTCCCTACAAGTTTAGGGTAGCTTTTAATGTTTAATAGGTTATTGTATTTTATTGTTTTGTTGGAAGCAGCCTAGAGTGACTGGGAAACCCAGCCAGATGGGCGGGGTATGTATGTATGTATGTATAAATAAATAAATAAATATTATTATTATTATTATTATTACAAGTTAACTCATTCTTGCACTTCCAGGCTTTTAACACAGACATAAAAAAAGAAATAATCAAACCACTTTCCAACATAAATGAATATACATCACCAAGCTTAAATATGTTACTGCCTGTTCACATTATAAACCTATCAAGCGGAACTTACTAAACATCAAGACAGCTGTGCCTGTCCAGCCATTTTAAAAGAAATGTTAACTGAATGTCCACTGTCCACCCACGTTTTCTGTTTTTCTCCCAAAATTCCCATTAAGGAAACAGATGTTCCCATGAAAATTTCCAAGGGAAATAAAATCTTCTTTCATCAAATTAAAAACAACACGAGTTAGCAAACACTACACAGAAGCCATTGTCTCATTTGAATTTTCATAGTAATATGATTTTTCATCTTATTTTTGGCACAGCACTGATTCTTTTACACATTTCAAATTTGTCCTCATATTAGGATAACAGGGTACAAAGTACACCTTTCCAAGGGCAAATTCGCTTCCCAAACTGCCGCATTACTCCAGTGCAACTGAGGTTGTACAGTCTTTTGGACTCTTATTTCTGCTACCTGGAAGCAGGACAAGCAGTAGCAGATGCGCCAGGGCTGCAATTGTTATTATTAATATCATACTGATATCTCAGCATTCCACCCAAAGGAACCAGTTGATCTGGGTCTGGGAGTGCTTCAGCTCAAAGCTGAGCCCTTGCTTTTGGGTTAATGTTTGGAAATTTCGATCTCATGGACCCATACTTCTCTCATCCCAAATCATCCACAAATCACTTTTGCATCTTGGTTGGGAAGAGCTTGAGACTGAAAGGGGAACGTCTCACTCTGCTTGCCTCTTGCTTTTACTACCCAACTTCTCAGACTTTGCTTCTTCCCTGACAATGAGGGATGGTACTGCCTGTACAGGTGCGCTCAAAGGCTGTTAGATGTGCTGTGGCTTGGAACCTTCCCCCTGCTCAGCTTCTTCCTGCAATGCAGGGAGGTACCATAGCTGGGATCCAAACCAACTTCAAAGTGATCCCAGATAGGCTCTGTCATTTCTGTATCTGCCTTTATTGTGGAGGACTTACACAGGACAAGCATTAGGGGGTGTGGGTATTTGAAGGAGACTCCTTCACGCTGATGTCGAAGCTTGCTCTCCCCAGGTGCCCACCACCAAGACACTGCTGTCTGGTGGGGGGGGGGTGCTATCAGATCTGCTGAAGGTAATATTGCCCTCAACTAAACTGACCAACACTTCTGATAGATCCTCTGGGATCTCCTCCTTCTCTCCATGCCTAACAAACTGATCTCCAGTACAGCTCCAGGCAGAGGCATCTCCAGTGATGCACTACAAAAAGAACAACAATAGCAGTAGTAGTAGCAGCCAGAGTAGGCTTTCTTCCACCACTAGTGATGCCAGCTTCAGAGGTGGGCTGCAGATCTACTGCATATCATTGCTGTTCCTGCCTGCCATAGTAAATGTGCATGTGAGTTTGGTGGGGGGGGGGAATTCAATGGTCAAGTGTTACTCTGCCACTGCCATTGCCACTGCCAACTGAACACCATGGACAAGCTCAGAATCCTTCCAAAGTGTCCCACTTCAGCTTGGGATTCATCCAAACCTGCTGCACTCCCAGAGTATTAACTCTGCCTTTATAGCTTGGCAGGTATCTGGGGTGGGGTGGCCAAATAAATAATGGCTAAGCAAATAAATAATGCTTAAGCAAGGCTGTTGAATTTATATACACTGCCAAACCATACTTTTAACAAACACAAAAACTGTAGCTTCACATCATGGTTTGTTGTCAGAAAACAACCCATGGTTTGTCTACTGGGGCGGGTTCAGAAGTCCAAACAATGTGCTTCAGTCTAATTGAGCCAAGGCTTAGTGTTGTGTGAACCAGTCCAAGAAAAATCAGAAATTAAAATAGTTATCTGATTCTCCCAACATAACTGGGTGTTTCATATACAACTGAACTGAAATTACTGTGATACTGTGTTTGCTGAAAATAATAATAATAATAATAATAATAATAATTATTATTTATATCCCGCCCTCCCCAGCCGAAGCAGGGCTCAGGGCGGAAAAGAGAAGTAATGTTACATAAACACTTCATTATTGTTACTTCTATAGTTTCTATTTGTACAGATTCTCCTATGTATCTATCATCACTTTTATGCCTCAAAGTCAAAAGCAAACAGTAACCCCTTTACTTCTGGACAGGGTAATTTCATCTCAGCTCCCACATATAGCAAATTTATTTCCCAATGCTTTTTCTAATGGACATTTTGAATGACACAGGCATGTAAAGTGCTGCAGCTATATTTAGAATAGTAACTAAGCAAAAGCTTTTCAGGGCACAATGATGCTGTGCTGTGGTGTTACACTGGTTCAGCAAACCAGCTCAGATAAGCAAGGGTTTTTTGGGGGGGGGGGTGTTTCTATTTATACACACCAAAAGGAAGCTATTCCTAAGAAAATATACTGCATTAAGCCTTTCCCTGACATGACAGCTGATGTTACTGGGACACTAGCAAACTCCAAGTTTTACAAAAATGTCAACACAGCTGCAAGTGGGATTTGCCCCGTACTTCTTTGCTTCCCATGTAAATTCGACAATAGAAGAAAGTAGGACGAGTATGTATGCACATTCTTAGTCTAAAGGTGCCATAAAAGCTTCTGCTGTCTTCACTATTTACCTGAAACCACCAGGTTTTACAACATTTATCATGGCATGTGCTTTCATGGACAAGGGTGTACTTCACTTGATGCATCATTATCAGCAGCATCTCAGAGGATCGTTAAGGGAAAAGGTTACCTATTTTAATTTGCTCTAGTATGTAGGTTAATGACCAAACAATTTACTGTGCTACTGAAGGAACAGGTCTGTCTTAAAAGTAGAGTTCATCATCAGATGTTGCAGAGTTATCTTTTTGATGTATGTTTGAATTCTTAGAAGATGATCTGCAGTAAAAGTTCTAAGTTGTCAGCATAGCCAGCATGAACTGTGCATGTGCTGCCAGGTTACACAAAATTTTGGAAGTGTTTGTGCTAGCCACCAACAATGAACCTTCTTTTTTCAAATTAAATAATTCAGTATCATACTACCAGGTGCAGAAGTTACCAACATTAAAATACTTCTAGATCAGGAGTGGGGAACAGGATCTGATGGGTGGGCCTTATCTGCCCTACCCAATGCAGGACAAATTTGGCAGGTCAGCAGGTCACCCACCTGTTACTTGATTTCAGGAGCGGAGTATTCTTCTCTACCTGCCTGCTGCTGCTGCCACCTGCCCACTCACAGGTGAAGTGCACAAGCTGCTCTGAACAGCACTTTTGAGCTGCTGATGAATGGAGATTAAATCCTGCTACCTTGACTGCACAATCATGTTCCATGTCGTCCAGTGATGTCAGTTGATAGGCAGGTGGGTGTGCTTTGAGAAAAATGGCCTTGCAAGCAAATTGGACCCCCTTGCATCACATTAATTTATCTAGACAATACAGTACAATATAATACAAATAAGCGCAAGAGTATTTGTGCTCACTTACCAAAAAACTGACAAAGCTAGCCCCAAAACTCATTAATGGACTATGGTTTCTGTAAAAGAAAAAGAAAAAAGGTAAAATTACTACTTGTGTCAACATTCCGTATTACTACTTGGGTGGGAGCACAAAAATCTGATCAAACATCTTTGGAAAGAGCCAAAATCCAGTCATTTTAAAGTTGTGCTGGCGGGGACTATTGTTCTTTAATTTTCAGGATCACAATAAAGACCTGTTCTATAAAATAATCATTCAAAATTCAAATCCATGTTCCACTTTTACACAATATACATGGATTTAATACATTTCCAGGATTTTCCAAATTCCTAGCATAAAATCAAACTCCAGATTGTATTTTTAACTAAACACAGAATACACACTAAATCTGAACTAATTAAAATTAATGACTACAGTGGTACCTCGGGTTACAGATGCTTCAGGTTACAGATGCTTCAGGTTACAGACTCTGCTAACCCAGAAATAGTACCTCGGGTTAAGAACTATGCTTCAGGATGAGAACAGAAATTGCGCAGCGGTGGCACAACAGGCCCCTTTAGCTAAAGTGGTGCTTCAGGTTAAGAACAGTTTCAGGTTAAGAACGGACCTCCGGAATGAATTCAGTTCTTAACCCGAGGTATATGAATTTAGTGCAGCAAGGAAAAGTTCTAGTCTGCAAGCCAACTGACAAATAATAACAAGAGAAGGAGCCGGGTTTGTAGGCAGATGTTTCTTTGACATTTCCACCTGAAATCACACTGCTTTGAAGCATCAAGCTATATTTTTGACAGAAAAGTGGCTTGCTTCATTAATTGTATGATCGGCTATTATGAAAATTCCAAAAATATCCAGAGTTCTCCTAAAGAACAAGTTTCCAGAATAATCCCATACAGAGAGCATTACCATTTTTATCCTAAACACAAAAAACACATGGATAATGAATGAGGGAAGGACCCCTATTTTCCAGCAGCTGGTGTTATCAGGCACAGGTGACAATAGAGAGTTCCATCTATGACACAGAGCTAACAACCCTTAAACTGCTTCTTTCTACGTATACCCAGAGGTACAGCTAGATAATTTGGGACCTTGGACTTAACGCTCTTGGAGTGCCTTTCAGTTGATGACAGTCACTCTAAAAAGTACTTGTCACTTAAATTTATTTGTCTTAAATTGCCTTTTATAGTCATTGCAGAACTACATCTCAAAACTAGATAGCCCTTCTAATCTTAGCTTGCTGATTTGAAGTTATCATGCTGACAGCTAATAAGACAAACTGATTTCAGTATAACCAAAATATGGAAGGAATGAACTGGGAGTGTTGCATATATTAAGTAAATTTAAACAGTAGATTGCATACTTTCTACTCAGGCGTGAACAAAATATTTAATTGCCACAAAGTTAAGAAAAATTAACTGTTTCCCAGGAAACATAAATCTATTCCACAAGAGACCACATGAATTTTAATTAGCTGCCAGCGATAACAAGTCCCCCCCCCCAAGGAACTTAATTAGGACACAAAATAATCAGATGAACAAAAGAAATGCCTGAAAGGTCATCCTTCGTTACTTCAGCGCTCTCTCTCTCTCGCTCTCTCTCGCTCTCTCTCTCACACACACACCCTATGCAAATTCATATACCCAAATTAGGTATAGAATGTACTTAAATCTAAACTTTCAGATAATCTTGGGAGGAAGGGGAGGTTGCAAAAGGGAAAACAGACAGAGGGAAACTACTGTTTCGCAGCCATTTTCAACAGAACTGTCAACTTTGGCCCGATCATGGCACTCAGCAGCTAGATTTTACTCTATGCCAAATTTCAGATGGTTTGGACAAATGACCTGGAGCTTATTAGCATTCAGCACTTAATTAATTAATGCCCTTTGATTCCTTCATTGAGTCTCTATAATTTAAACAGAATTCAGAGTGAAATGGAATTCAGCTAGCATGCTACTGCAGGAACATGTTAACTGACCCTTACATGTATGTGCTACTTCATTGAAGATGTACTGTATATGACTGGCACATCATACAATGACCACTGTGCTTTCCCTTCAAATGTCTTCATTTCATCCAATCCCAGACCAATTCCACAACTGGTTTCTGCTCTAAAACAGCTGTCTTTTTCTGTCTCTTTTCAATGAGTGGAGTTCAATGTTGCGCTATGACAAACATTCCATCTGTGCAAGCATTTCAGCTCACCAGACAGCACAAACCTTCCTCTCTCCCCCCCATGTGCTCTTCTGTAGGTTCTCCAACCCCACCCAGAGCCATGGGGGGCACAGGGGGAGGAGAGAGAAGAAGAGCCCCACTTCCCAAGCGGAAGACTTTACACTCAGGTTCTGCTGATGGAGCTGTTGTCCAGAGGATCTTTAAAAGAGAAAGAGAAAGCATGCCTCCTGTCAGTTATTTTTTTCCACAGCTACAAGCAGGGTTTGGGGAAAAGCAGCTCATATTAATATCTTTATCTTTTCCAGCCTTTTTGATGGTTTTCGTTCAACACTATTTTCTTGATAAGGCTGCATGCCTTTGAACTACAGATCTCCATAATGGGATTTATTGGCTAGAAAAGAGAGCAATTCCATATTGGCTAATCCTCTCCTGAAAGGTGGGGGCACATGAGGGATGAAAAGAAAACACGAATACAATATAAGAAACACTAGAATATTAAAGTAATGGTATTCTTACTACACATTTTTACAAAAATTGGAAAGCTATTTGGAAGCAGGCAGCTTTCCATCATGCTTAAACAATCTCTGTAGAATTGGGCAAATAATAAAACAACCGACAAGCAGAACCTGCAACAATTTGTTGCAGTGCCCTTGTTCATTTTTCCAGCCGTTTTCCAGGGCACTCCATTTCACTTCCACTCCTTCCCACCCTCCTCTCTTTTTTGCCCCCTTAGCAGAAATGTTGAGTTTACAGAAGTACAAAAATTCCCCAGAGGCAGGGTAGGGACCACTAATACCTCTCTCTTTTTTTCTCTGTGGCCCCTTTTTGGCTAAAAACATGTTGTCACTCCCTAGCAGAGTTTGCTACTACAGTGAAGAATGCTATTCTAGGTTTGTTTGGGGTTCTTTTTATTATATTTTATTTACGAAACATTTCCTACAAAGCACCTCAAGAGATTTCACATTGCAATAAGAACACACATAAAAAGACGTATATAAATACAATTGCAATGTAATACATGTACTGACTAGAATAGGACTCCACAGAGGGCTTGCTGAAAGTGTTTTGTCTATTAAAAAAAACTCCTGAGAAAGGGTAAACCTGCATCTTACGCTTATTTTACTTACATGATCGTAGCTTTGCAAGGGCAGGGAGAAATAAATAAATATATGGAGAGCGGAGGAAGCCCACTTGCCATTTATTTGGCAGAAATATGTGATCATGGGCATACTTGGCTTTGGGAAGGCGGTGTGAGGGCTCTGGACTACAGCTGCAGTTGGCAATAGTCTTTTATCAACAGATGTCAAAAGCTTTTTAAAAGACATCAAAGTCTTTTTAAAAAAGAGGGCTGCCATGAACCTCAGCCTGTTCCACAATTTCACGATAACCACAACTTATACTTATCTGAGGGAATCTTCTCCTTCCATCCTCTTCCCCCATTTCCTCTACATACTGTAATGACCAAACTTGGGCACCAATTATTTTCAGCGCCCTTCAATGAACAGGAGCACCCCATTAATTCCAAAAGGGAAAGCACACTTATGCAAGCAATCTCATGTGTGCAAATAATGCTTTCTTTGTTGAAATTAATGGTTCTAGCATAAAACAACAGCAAATTTTCATGTAAGAACTGGACTCATTCAGTAACCAATACTGCTGCTACTATAATTTTAAATTGTACCAAATTGTTTATTTTACACTCTGTTCATTTCATTTTTCATTACATTACATTCTGTTCTCAAAGTTACAGCTCACTAACATAGAACAAAAAAACAGAACAACCCTTTCAATCTTTATAGAGGACAGAACTCAAATTAGGTATTTGTTGGATATAAGCAAGCAAGGAGATTGGTGTACTAGCTTCTTGGCAGAAACAATAAGCTCAGAGGGCTAGCAAAGAAGCTGTACACTGAAAAATCCAACAGGTATGAATTAATTAAGGGTACAATCCAACTACAATTGAGCTCTGGGAAGAGAGCGAGCTCTAACTGCAACACAGAAGAACAATGATCTATTAGCAACACAGGTGTTTTCGAGCCAATTTGAAGTGTTGGTGCTGACCTTTAAAGCCATAAACAGCCTCGCCCCTGTATACCTGAAGGAGCATCTCCACCCCCATCATTCAGCTTAGGCACTGAGGTCCAGTTCCGAGGGCCTTCTGGCAGTTCCCTCACTGCAAGAAGTGAGGTTAAAGGGAACCAGGCAGAGAGTCTTCTCGGTAGTGGCACCCGTCCTGTGGAATGCCCTCCCACCAGACGTCAAGGAAATAAACAACTATCTGACTTTTAGAAGACACCTGAAGGCAGCCCTGTATGGGGAAGTTTTTAATTTTTGAACTTTTATTATGTTTTTATATGTGTTGGAAGCTGCCCAGAGTGGCTGGGGCAACCCAGTGAGATGGGTAGGGTATAAATAACAAAATTATTTTTTATTATTATTATTCAATATTTTAACTTGTAAATCCCCCAAAGCTTTGATTCTTAGTTCTAATACTACCATGGTGATGAGTTAGTAAATTCTTGTTCATTTTTATAACTGTCAGTTTCCATTTCATCTTCCTAACTATTTTTGCATTTGCTGACACTCTTAATTTGCCTTCTTACTCTCATATCTTCTCTTTTCATTATTACTCTGACCCCCAGCAACCATGTTAATGCTGCTTTTCACTCTTACACCAATCAACATTACTAAATTTGAGTCCTCTTCTTCTTTTCTAAAGCCATCCATCTTCAGCTCCTTGACGGTGTGCATCCCCTCAACCCCCATTTCAACCACACAAAATTATCCTCTGATCTGTACATTCTCCATCGGGATATGGAGCTGTTTACTCACTTTGTTGGCAATGACAGTGACAGGGAAATGACAATGGCAACGACAGTGACAGTGAAAGAAACAGATGCTGTACAGTTAAGGTGCAATACTGAGCAATGACAGGAATAAAAAGGGGGGTGCAATTTTGGAGAGAATAATGGAGGTAAGAAAAGAATATCTGTCAGGAATTAAAAGGTGTGAAAGACAAAAAGCAGAGCCAGGTGTGTTTCTGTCACTGCTAGGAGACTCTGGCGGAGTGAGTGAGTGGCAAAGACACTAGATAGCTCAGGTGGGAAGAGCCAGACACTCAAAACTACTTTAATTGAATATTTCAATTACTTCTACACTTGTTTTGATGCTCAACTACAATTTAACAAACCTTTTTACATTATTGCATTGCCCCAAACTGTCCACTATTTCAGTCAACTTAGAAGAGGCTTAAAGCTTTGACACACCTGACATGACACTGAGAAATTTCCTATGAACATGTACTTTAAGTGACTGTTCTACACAAGTGGGGTTAATGGACTAGTCCTAGTTCTGACAGGCAGCAACCTTAGTTCCAACTCTCAATAGTCTCTCCCTGTTACATCACCAAAGGTCCTCACCCATATGTTCAAGCTTCCGGGGGGGGGGGGGTTAACTTCAAGGTTACAAGCCTCTCAGGCCAGAAGTGGTTGGAAAAACTAAAGGAGGAGCAGTAATTGACTAGCTCGGACAAAATCACATCTCACAACAAGGGGTGACATTTTTTTCAAGTAGTCAATACTGTTATGAGTTTGGGGGTCACTCTGGATGATACACTGGGTCTCCTCCAAACCTGTAATTCTGTGCCTTACAGAATGAGTAAGATGAAGCCTGCCAAACCAGTTCCTTTGTCAAGGTAATAGCTTTGGCTGACCAGTTAAGTAAGGGATCCCGGGATGGTTAAGTCCAGTCAAATTCAACTATGGGGTGCAGCGCTCATCTACACTTTTAAGGCCAAGGGAGCTGGTGTTTGTCCACAGACAGCTTTCCGGGTCATGTGGCCAGCATGACTAAACTGCTTCTGGTCACGGAACACCGTGATGAGTGCCAGAGCACACAAAGGAGGAAAGCCACTCTCCGTTTATTTATTGCCCCCACCAACCTGCACAAAGCTGCAACCACAGGCTTACCCAACTTTGGGAAAGCAGTGTAAGGACTCTGGCAGAATCCCAGAGCTCTCACAGCGTCATCCCAAAGCTGGGTAAGCAATTACTAGGCTTTGGGAGGGAAACGGGAGGACTCTAGACCCTGTCAGAGCCTTTGCACCTCCTTCCTTAAGCTGGGCAAGCTGCTCACTATTTTGCAGAGGGGGGCAGTTCTGTGGGTTCCTGGCTTTACGCCATTTTGCTTATATTCATGATGGCCAGGAACCCAACACACCACGTAACATGTGAGTTAGCTGTACTGCTAACTCAATGTTGTGAACCCCTTCATCTTACGTTCAGGTGCATATATGTGTAAATATAAAATGATATATCCTTAAGACATCACACTCACCACTGACCATTCCAACCCTGGGTAAGTGCACCCCTGGAAGCTCTTGCTGCTTGCAGACTGGGGTAGGATGCAATATACAGCAAGAAAGAATTACAACGATTATTATACCATTTGACTTGCAGTATTCTATATTCTTCATAAATCATCTCTTTCCTTGGGTATAAATTTTTCTATTCAGAAGGTAAGTCAGAAAGCCCCAGGCAAAAACTACAAATAAATAAATAAATAAATAAATAAATAAATAAATAAATAGGAGAGCTTGGATTCTAGGGAAACTGTTCTGTGAAATCTGCTTTGTGTCCTATCTTCCATGCAGCAACACAATTAACAAATGCTGGAAGTGATTAATACCTTCTATAATTTCCGTTACAACTAGCTGAGAGTAGGCAGCAACTAACAGCAGCCACCCCCAAGTCATCTTTTGATTTCCCTTTCCAATTACTAGATCCTGGTTTGCATTAACACCGATTGGATCATCTATTCAAATAAGATGCTATTTGCAACACCCTGAAGCAGTTGCTGAAACTCTTTAATTTCAGAGGAGAAAACTGAGACATCATTTCTTTCTGCCGCCATTTCTTCCTGTTAGCTGGCCTCTTCTAGTTTCTACCTCTGAGGTCCACAGAATAGAGGAGAAGGTTGTTTGACCTATATTCATAGTGCTGGTAGAGTTATACCACATGTTTTTTCTCAACTAAGATCAACTGAAGGATTCCAATTTCCCATTGGTATATACAGTACTTTACTATCCACTTATCTAAATATCACAATAATTTTGGAACACATATGCCACTTCCCACATCTCAGCTGTTATTGCTTCCTAAAGTCTGTCCTAGAAGTTAAGGAAAGGATACACAGACATACACATACGTTCATGAGTCAAACTTTGATGTGACAAAGATATCTGATATGTTCCTGATTTGTGAGTAGACAGGTATACTAATTATCACCAGCAGCACTCCTGTGACTGATTATTAGTAATGGTTTATGCAAATAATTTAGATGTTTTACCTGAAATTGACAGAAAGCATAATTATGCTGTTATAGTTGTTCTAAAACCACATATACCAGTTTAAGATCAGATTAGTTTCCTCAAATGAACAAATTAATATGAAATAAAAGGTGAAACAGCTATTTAGACTCAACTCTGCAAAGCAACTTCCTCAGATAATAAGATAATGATTCCCCCCCCCACTCTTTTTGAAGTACAGGATTCTTGGAGTGTTAAAAAAAAAAGCAGCACTGATTTTTATGCAGATTTGAAGTCTGTCAAACCTGCATCCCATCCAGCTGGCACTGCTGTACACCAGGTGTTCAATACCCAGCTGTGTTTACACCTCTTCCAAGGTAAAAGTCAGGACACAGTCAAATACCTGCCAGGATACAAAATGCACTGAAGTATACACTTGCCCCTCAAAAGAAAAAAAGATTACTCTTTCATACTTCAACTTGCCTAGAGCTCAGTCTTTGCATAATGAAGATCACAGGAGAATAATTACATGAACTGGTCTCATTCTTTAGAAATCTATTTTGTGCAATATAAACAGCAGAAATGGAATGCAATGTATGATTTTTCTAGAGGATTTTTTAGCTTGCTAGAAAACATTTGCTGAGCAGCTCTATTCTTAGTAGAGCTTCCTCTAGTAGTTGGTATGCTTTATACACACGTATTCAGTACAATATGAGGCCAAAACAACATCCTCCAAGTAAATTGAGGCCAAAACAAGTCATGGTTTGTTCCCCCATATACTCCCAGTCCCGTAGCAAACTGAAGTAAGTAGCGAATTCTAAACTGAATAAAACTAATAAAGACATTTCCTTTTTGAGATAATTGTTAAAATCTGAATGGGATGGTTCTGAAGACAAAAAAGGTTTTCTGCAAGAATGTTTGATCAATTTCAAGGTCCCTCTAACGCAGCAGCTTTACTGAAGCTGAGCAGGTTGTCAGTGCCTGAATGAGAGGTCACCTAGGAACCCAATATATATTGACTTGAGTTATATATTTCATCCCTCTTGGATTATGTATTTAACAAACAAAGTATGTGATGCAGGAAGGCTGACAAGTGTATTTTTGCTGGTTCATGCACTACAAAGAGGAACAGGAAGAACTAAGCATAAACTTAACAATTTTATGCTGAAATAAATCTCAAGGACTTCAGCAGAAAACACTTCCAAGTGAATGTTTTAGAATCAGGGCGTAAGGATATAGTTCTTCACATTTTACCAAACTTTAAATGTACCAAAATTTACTTTGGCTAACAAAAGTATCTATGAAATTGTACACTGGGAAAACAAAAACATACTGAAGGGGGTGAAATGGGGAAGGGAAAAAAGTCAACTAAGCAGATAATCTGCTCTGCTGAACTGAAATAAAAGAGTGTAATAGAAGATGACAGTACTCTTCCCCCAAATGCTTGCAGGATGCAAGGAAATGCTCTCATTAAGAAGATACACAGCATTTGTGCTTAAGCTTCTCTCTCTTCAGAAGAATCTAGGTGGAATAAAAAGAACTACACTGATGCGATCTTAGTCATGCTAAGAGAAAGACTTTCTGTGAAAGACTGGAGAGTGAACTGGGAGGGGAGGGGGGAAATTGGCTCATACAGGACGTAGAGATGGCACTGTAGTTTATGCAGGTAGCAAATGGCTGATCACAGGCCTGCTTACCTAGGTGCAACACGAGCACTAAACAGGGCTTGCAGAGAAGGACAGGCACCATCAGTAAGCAGAAGCAACAAAGCTTCCTCAGAGCAAAATAGGGCAGACGTTAAGCATGACTGGAGATCCCAGAGACAATACTTTGAGACAGCCATCATATTAGGGAACTGGCAGGGGAATCAGCATCAGCTAAATCAATGTGAGATAAATGGTCACCAAAGCAAGATTAGCAAGCAACCTTATGAGAATTATTTCTTCATTTCAAGAAATTAGTCCCAACTCTAGAAGCATTGAGGTCATAACAGCCTCCCCCACTCCTGCTCCGGTGTCTCAAACATAGAGAAATGCATTTCTGTGATCAGTGAATGGACTTGAAGTACTTGATGCAATTCTGTCTACAAAGCCAGATGAGAGGGTGCCTGGGAATACAATTCCTTAAGAGACAGAGAAGGCCAAAGACAAGTGTAACAATGAATACTACTTCAAATTATGGGAAACCACATTGAAAACTGGTTTGACAAAGGATAGGAGACCCAAGCTGTTGCCAGTCAACTTTTGAGTAAGGTAGGGATGAAGAGTATGGAATTCAGGAAAGCGTCATTATATATATATATATATGAACAAGGTTGGGTGGGAGAAAACAGGCATGAGGATAAAGTGATAGAAGGTGGTTAATGATCACCAGAAGTGGCATCTCCTTGAATAGTAATACTGCTAGCTAGGTTGGCAGTTCAAAAGCACACCAGTGAAAGTAGATAAATAGGTACCACTGCAGCAGGAAGGTAAACAGTGTTTCCATGCACTCTGGTCCCCATCCCGGTGTTCCATTGCACCATAAGCCGTTTAATCATGCTGGCCACATGACCCAGAAAGCTGTCTGTGGGCAAACGCTGGCTCCCTCAGTCTGAAAAGCGAGATGAGTGCCCCACTCCATAGTCGCATTTGACTGAACTTAACCATCCAGGGATCATTTATCTTTTACCTACCTAATACTGCTAGCTAAATGAATTGTAGAAGGTACCACTTAGTGCCTAGATAATGTTTCCTAGACACTGGTGGTGATCATTGGTGAATGGAACAGAGGGTAGAGAATTCAAACAAAGTTAAATGCAGCTGTTTTCCTGACCAGGATTAGCAGTACAGCAGGGTTTGAGCAAGTACAAAGGTCCTCATTTTCACCACTGAATCATCATTAGCACTACCATATATACAAAAATACGTGTGTGCGTGCACACGTGGGGAGTGAATTTTTGTGTGGCAGTACTCACTGGTATGGAGGACCAGCATCTCTCTTTTTGCTGCCCGTAGCAGCCATCTTGTGCAGGCACCCACCGCTGGTATACTGATATAATATACCAGCTCCTCAATTTTTACACCACCACCACACCTATACACACACACCGGCTTCCAGGACATGTTGCATGACTACCAGGCAGCTTGGAAGTAATAGGAGCAAACTTCTAGGGGCTGAGGGGTCTTTGCCACCCCAATAAAATATTTGAGGGGGCTGGGCCCCTCCAAAGTTGATGGGCATTGCCATTCAGATTGTGTGCATGCACCATGTCATGTGATTGATTTTGCAAGGCGGGGTTTACCTGCCCCCCTCCAAATATTTTATTCAAGTTGGCACCCCTGCTGGAAGTTTCTACCAATTCCCATTTTATAAGTTAAATATTAGGGAGTAGCTATCCCTGAAGCCCAACAGATATTTCGCAGTGGGGAGACAAGTAAACTGGGATGAATGTAAGAAACGCAGACAAGGAAATAAAATGAATATGTACCGGTAATTGTGATGTGAAGTCTAACCATAGCTGTCAACTTTTCCCTTTTTTAAAGGGAAATTCCCTTATTCCGAATAGGAGTCCTCGCAAGAAAAGGGAAAAGTTGACAGCTATGAGTCTAACAATTTGTGGACAGGTCATGAGGTATCCACAGTCACTGGAAAGTTCACGCAACAAGGCAAAGTAAGGGAGATTAACTGTAAGCAAACAAATAGGCACCAGTGGCTGTAGTGAGAGAACTAATTGATTCCCAGCAGGAAAATATTTTGGAAAGATTGAAACAAAGGCCACCATGCAGAATTTCAATTTTATTGTGAAGGGGGTCATCATACTGATGTCAAAGTGGTACCCAGGAGTATTATTGCAATCTACTTCATTTAGCACTTATTCCAGAGGTCTATAAAATTGATTAATTTTTTTTATTAAACTGTTGGGGAGGAATATAAAAACTAATGAGAGTGGAGGAAAAACTACTGAAATAAAACCAACAACTAGTGAATGTGTGAGGTAACACAGCATAGTGAAAGTATGTACCCAAGACACAAGCAAGGGAGGGAGGAACCATAAAAAGACTCTTATTTGTTTGTGGGGAAGAGAAGTTATGTGGCTTATACTGAAATACTGATATCCACCTGGCTGTTACATACAGCTTCTACATTAGTACATTTCTCTAGAATTGTCATATTTTCTTCACACCATTTTCATAGAAGATCCAGTTTGGTTGACAAATCATTGTATTATAGAGTGATTTTAGCCTTCGCATGTTTCTCACACTCAAGTTGTATCACTTTTAAAATTACAATTTAAACCCAAATGCATTACCAGACAACACTAGTGTGAACAAGCAAAGTGCTACCAAGGCTTTGCAGAACACCTATACCTTTAATTAGAAGTATCCTGCTTGCAGGTTCTGTCCCTTCATTACTTCCTACCAAGCATACACAGCTCTTGCTCCTAGAAATAGTTGTCAAGAGTACTTTAATTAGTTCTTTTCTCTCACTGTTTTCTTTATTTTATGTAAAATTGAAAAGAGAATTATGAGAGTAAATCACTGATTAAAGTCCCTATCGGAACTGATAATAACGGACAACTAAGTGAAGCTGCTGAAGCAATAATTAAGAAGTTGTTTATCAGTAATCCCACTGCTACACTCAATAGGATCCAAAAGAAGGATCAAAGCATTCAAGTAGGAAGCTTTGGAAGAGACCTTTGCTTATGAATATATATTACAGAAAGACTGTAGTCAAGGAAAATACCATTGCTGGGTAATATACCACTGTATAAAGTGCAGTCTTCATTTTAATTCTGCTTCCCACTGACTCCCACTGTGACTGAGGCATTACCTTTCTGTAGAGCTCTGATGTGGAAGTAACATTAGTTGCAGTCAGTGCACAACTTTCTCCCCACATATATCATTACCAGGATAAGACCAGCCACCACAAAGCAGCACACTGGGCACATTCCACCAAAGAATTGCCACTGTGCAGTCTCTATAAACTCTAGTGGTTTTTATACAGTTCCCCACATATACTGTATATGAATGAAGTTCTATCAGCAGCAGTGTTATGTGAATGGTGTCCAATGCCGTCCTGGACAGAACAAAGCAACCGCCTTTCCACCACTGCTTAACCACTTAGAGATCAGTCCCAGGATCTGCTTTTAATGCCAGTGTTCAGTCCTGAACCCCGTGAAGTTATTTAGCATCTTCAAGTATGTACAGAGCGGCTTCTTTCTTTCACCACTAACCACAGTTGATTGTCACATATATCTGGGTCTAAGCATTCAAAGAAAGATAGAGGACACTGAAAAAAAAACCTGAAAATACAGTGGCCTAAGAAAAGAAGAGATCAGATCATGATCTGGAAGTGGTTAGCCCTCAGTGTATAAAACCATTCTGCCATTCAGCCAGATTAGCTGAAGCAAGTTTCAATAGACACCTGCTGAAAAAAAGGTGACACAGGGTGTGACTGCAGTGACAGGTATTGCTCCAAATAGGAATTAAGGCACAACTGGAAGGTGTGATCTTGTTCAGTAGGAGATGCAATAAAAGAGAAAGACGTCATTTATTTAATGTGGTATGTGGGCAATCCTTCCACATACGTGGGTGATACATACAGGAAGAGCAAATGCCTCTGAACATGCTCAAGGCTATTACCTCACATATCCCAGGGCCAAGTGCAGGCATTAAAAAACAAGCTCAAGGATGAGCACCAAGCGAGGGCCGAGTTCTAGGTGCAGCAGCGAGGGCAGCAACGCCAAGCACAACAAAGGGAGAAGGACAAGTGGCGCACATTGCTAGGGTGGCAAGGGAGAGAGGAGCAGGTGGAGGGCTTCTGGCGGGCGAGCCTCCATGCACCCGAAGGCAACCCCAACGGTTATCATTCCAAAAAAGAAAAGCGGGCCGGGGGGGCGGCTTAAATTTAGGCTGGAGATCCGTCCCTTCTCACGTGCCCCCAGTTTAGACTGCAAGGTCCTTGGGGGGCCAGAGAGAGAGAGAGAGGATGGCGGGTACCTGTATTTCCTGAAGAGCTGGTCGGACTCCCGGAAGCCGTTGTTGAGCAGCATGTTGATGCCGGCCAGCGCCAGCTCGGAGTCCTCGAGGGGCAGCGGCGGCTCGCCGGTGCCGCCGTCCTGCTCGGAGCCGGCCATGGCAATGGGCAGGTGGGAGACCCGCCCAGCAGGCTCCGTCCTCCTCCTCCTCCTCCTGCACGGGCGCCGGCAAGCGGAGAGGCTGGGCTAGCGCAGAGGGATATAAAGACGCGCAAACAAAGCCGAGGCTCGTTCCCGCCGCCCTTCGCGGCCCCTCCTCCCTCAGCGGCAACCGCCCGCTCTCCCCTTCGCCGGCCCGACGCGAGTAGCGCAACCGGTTAGCTAAGGCGACTCCGCAGCCCTCGGAGCGAGGGCTTGCCGCTGGCGCGCCTGCGCGGGGCAGTGCGTGAGCCTGCGTGCCTCTGGCGCCGAAGCCGCTGCCCTCAGTCAGCCGCCGTTGGCACCTGCTCGGAGTGGCTGCTCGGGGTTCCAAAGGGGAGAGATCTGGGGCGGGACGCCACGGGGAGAGTTCCTGTTTGCTCTTCCAGGTGGCGTCAGCGGGTGAAGGTGGCTTCTTTAACAAACCGAAAAAAGAGGAAAAAGAAGGGGGGGAGGTTTTGGAGAGGGGGGGGAATGTAAGCTTTCTATTAAGTCCGCCGCCTCTAAGCATCGAGAGGGCTGAAGGGTGGGTGCATCTGATGCAGTGCTTTGTTTCCAGCAGTGGCAGAACAGCTGCCTCTGTTAAAGTCTCCAGGCACCTGGTCTTCAAAGATAGGCTGCTGCTGAATGTGGAGGTTCCATCATCTAACCATCCTAGTTAACAGAGCTACATAGCCCAGTCCTCTCCGGTGCATGTTTGCTCAGAAGTAAGTTACACCGATTTCAACATACGTATATGTGCTTGTTTCCAAGCTTTTAAGTCCTGCCTCTCGGTCATAAGTGTGGTGAGCTAACAACATAAAAACCGGGGTGGGGGGGAATCGATGTTAAATTCGTCAGTGAGCCATTTCTCTCTGGTTGGTGTTCTTAAGACTGCAGCAGTAAAGGATTATTGTTATTTAATACAGTACTTACAAAGTGCCTAAAAATTTCCAAGCACTGTACTAAAATAGATGTATTAAAATATAAGATAGCTCCTGCCAGCAGTTGAAATGTGATACTCTGCACAATTGAACTATATTTTCAAACATTCTGTCAAATGTCCATTTAAAAAAACCTTTATGTGTGTTTTGATTTAGCTGTAATTTCTCCTTAGAGTGAACAAATCACGATTACGCTGCTATGACTGTGTGTGTGCTGTGCCTATATAGCAATTTATCAAGTGTCTCCATAATATATATGGTTTTCTGAAGCAAAAAACCCAGGAGACTTGAAATAAAAATGCCAGAGACGCCACGGTGTAATATGTTACAATTATATTCCTGTCTGCATTGCTGCAGTAGTGAATATGAGAAGTTGAAGCTGTGTTTTTACTTTATATTCCCCTTGTCATAGAAGCCCTGCCTCCTAATACCAGGTGTCTGACAGCAGCAGGAAAAGTACTCTAAACATGTTCAAGGAGGTTGCCCTCCCTCTCGTTATTCTTTCAAGGACAAACCCTGGACTCCAAAGCAGATTGTGAGGCCAAGCCTTGGCCCAAATTCAGTGTAAACATGTGACTGCAGTTTAACAGAAAATGAAACAGGAAAGGGCACATTTTCCTCCTAATGGCAATGGATTGAATCCAAACTGAAATCCTGCGCATCCTTACCTGGGAATAAGTTTCAATGAACTTAAGGGGCTTGCGTCTAAGTAGACAAGTAAAGGCTATTGCTGATGAACAAGCACACAGTTTTAAAATCTTGAATGTTTATTTACACAGCTGTCATTTAAGCTGCAAGAAGCCACACACAAGGATAATCATGCAGAAACTACTGGATTAAAAATAAAATGAAATACCAAGTATAAATTTCCAATTATGTAGGACTAAAGATTGTGGGCAGCAGGGGGAGGGGAGGCCACCTGCTCAATGTCAAAACTGACCATGACACTCAGGTTGGAGGTGAGTGGTGTCAGGCCCACAACCTGCAGGGGCCCCATTGCCAAACCCCAGAATCTCTTGTCCTTCTTCCTTGCTGTTGCTGTTTGTTTATGCCCCAAAGAGGACCTTAAGGTCCATAAATAACAAATTTTTGGGGGTCCTGAGCCTCAAGGAAGTTGATACCAATCTAACTAGGGCCAGGGCCTTTTCAGCACTGGCGCCGACTTAGTGAAACTTTCTGACACAAGAGACCAGGGCCCTGCGGGATTTGACATCTTTCCGCAGGGCCTGCAAGATGGAGCTGTACCGCCTGGCCTTCGGCTTGGACTCACTCTGACCCCTTATATGGGATTTGGTATATAATTTTTCTCTTGGCTTTTTTGCTGGCTCATGTAGGACCAGCATGGATAGCTGTCTCAGGTGAATATCTGATGTTTCCTCCCTTTATGGTCTTGATTTATGGGCTACTACTAAAATGAGGCTGCATTTTAAGCTGTATTTTAAGCCGTATTTTAATTAACTGTCCCCCCCCCTTTTTTCTATTATGTTTTATTGTAATTTATATTTGGTGTTAGCCGCCCTGAGCCCGGCCCTGGCCGAGAAGGGCAGGGTATAAATAAAAATTTATATTATTATTGTTGTTGTTGTTGTTGTTGTTTGTCCTCTTAAATGCAAGTTGTAACTAAGGGAAGAAGATGCGCATAGAATCATAGAATTGTAGAGTTGGAAGGAACCACAAGAGTCATCTAGTCCGACTCCCACAATGCAGACATGTTTTGCCCAGCATGGGGCTTGAATGCACAACCCTGAGATTAAGAGTCTTATGTTCTACTGACTGAGCTACGAAGGCTTAATATCCTAGTTCCCACTAATATCGTTCTTAACAGGGACAGTTCTGAGTTTAAGGAGCAGCTAGGAATTAAGTACACACAGGTATATGGCTAGAGCTTTCTGGATTTTCTGGTGCATGTATACTGTCTGCTGTTGCTTGTCAGTGCATGAGTGTATTCAACATACTTCACCTGGACTCCTCATCCTGCTGCAAGAGACATAGCATTAACATTTAAAAACTGATCCTAAGCACTGTACTGCCAAGTTGTTTTGCCTGCTAGTGACTGCTTTACAGTCAAGCAAGAAAAGGATTTCAGACAGTAAGGATTGTGGTATTAGAATTCAGCAACAAAAATCTTGCAAATCTGGCTAAAAGATGGCTGAGCACCTTGCAAAGCCTTGCTTTCCGCAGAAGCGATTTAAAAGAACCCATTTATTTACCAGAATCGATGCTGCTAAAAATATTCCAAACCTGCCTGAAATAGATTGTAGGGCTTCACTTATTACTGAAATTTAAAAGTCCTTGTATCAAAAATGTTACAGCTCTTCCTTACTTTAAGTGATTGTTATCTGACAGCACAGGCTGTGCTCTGCCTAATCAAAAATGGTCTCATTTTTTTTTTTTAATGCATGAGTTTACAATTCTTTTAGTTGGCCAGGATAGAAGTTAAATCTAAAGAAGATGTGGTTCTTTTCTATGTAGGTTCATATTTAAACACTCAAGCAATCTTCCTATCATTCAGCCCAAATTGGAGAGAGACAACCGTGATTCTTCTAAAATGTGCCACCTAAAGTGATATACTCCCTTGCCTAACAGTAGAGCTGGCAGTTTCTACTGAAAGCAAATAACAATTTCCCAGTTGTATCAAATCCTTGTATGTGATGTTCGGCCTATTCCTATGCATGTTTTCTCAGAATTAAGTACCACTGAATTTAGCCATGAGACTTTAGCCATTTAAAATTTCAGATAACGTACAGACTGGTTGCGAGTGAAATCTGCAACAAAATTTTGCAGTGGGGTGTGTTTCCTTTCAGAATTCCAGTCACACGGATACCCCTTTCTCTCTGGTTTTCTGGTCCTTATCTCCAACAGTCCATCAGCATTCTATGGTCACTGAGCACACCCAGTCATCACTGGGCTGTTCTGCAGGGTTCCCTAATATCCTGTTCATAAGACATGTAGATTTGATATATGTTGAGACAGACGGATCAGGCCCCTGGTTGCACTGAAAGACTTGCACAGTATGTTCAGAGAACAGACCAAACACATTTGGGTTTCGTTGGGACATGATCCTGCACACACCCACACACACCCCACCCTGCAAACATTTGGTATATACGCCATGTGAGCCATATTCACCCATGAAGCTCACAGGTTGACCTGGGGCTAGTCCCTGTCAGCCTAACCTACCTCACAGGGTTGTTGTGAAGATAAATGAGGGGAGGGTTAGAATCATGAAAAGTACCTTGAGTTCCTTAGAGGAAATGTGGTATGTAAACATAATGGAATAAACAAACAGATGAAATGTAATCTGAAAACAGACAGCCCCGATGTATTTCTTACATTTAGATTTGCCTTCATAACCACTACTCTTCATGTGGTTTGCAATTTAGCCGAACAAAAATCATGGAGATAGCAAATAAGTACCTAAGTCCTGTGTGTTATCTGTGGAGTTCCAGAACCATGCTCTTTAGTTAACTCTGTTTGGCCCACTTAGAATCAAGTTATGCCAAATGCTTAGGAAGATTTGTGGTGTTGAAAACTGTATTTCCACTACATTAAAGCAAACATGATGTACTTCAAACAGCAGTGATCAGGCAATTTTACTGCTGCTGTTAGTGTTACAGCCTGTTCTTAATAGTTTTATAGTCCTTTTCCTGCATTAATAAAGTGCATTTAATCTCTTTACTATGGAACATCAAGAGATCAGCGATGCTGCAGGGTTGCTTGCAGGCAAAGTCTGTTGCATAGTGATAAAGACTGTAGGTTACACACAGGGCACTGATTTGCAGGACTTCAGTTTTAAAAAAGTTGATGTGAACAGAATAAAACTGGATTGGTAGTGGTAGGGCTGTGCAGCTTTTTTTAAAGAAGATCCCAGAATTGTTGAGCTTTTTAAGGGAAATCTAACCCCAAAATAGTGATTTGAAGCTTTCTGAGCTGTTTCCGATGCTTTTTCTATCACATTGCCATACATCTGGGTTTACCTACTAACACAGTCAGACACTTAAAAAGCCCATTGTGGCTGGAAAGCAAAATATAAATATAATTTATTAAGTAATGGGCAATATTTGCCTAGTCCTGTTAAATGCGGGGGGGGGGGGGGCTATGATTGGCTGCACCTCTTGCAGATTAAACTGCATCCTTCAAAAAGAGGATGGGAACTTTATTTGGCTTTCTAAGTCCTCATGATGGCAAAGGCTTTCAAGCTTAGCTTACTGCTGATCCTCAGAGCTCACAACCAGAGTTCGCAACCAGACCTCACAAACAGGGACAAGGATTACAGAAGGAGACTGAAGAGAGCGAGTTTGTGTCTTCTGGAGCCTGAGTGTGTGTGTGTGTCTGATTGCTTTGTGGGAACACAGGATCTGAGGGGGAGGCGTTACAGCTAAGAGGAAGCCAACTGAGAGGGGAGTTAGCAACCAACAGCAGTCAAACTTAGCTCAGTGCAGATCCTGGGAGCTTGCGAATAGACCTCACAAACAGGTGCATTTGTGAGGGCGTTTAGTGGGAGAGTTTAAGGGGGAGGACCAGAGTTCTGTCTCTTGGTGTGTACAGGACCAGAGACATGGAGGGCGAGGGAACTGCTGCAGTGACCTATAACACCTGTGCCATGTTTGGATGATGACTCAAATGCTCCTATACTTACTTACATGGGAGTAAGTCCCACTGAACTCAATAGGACTTTGGGGGGACAAGGATTGCACCATCAGTGAACTGTGAGGCACCCATAGGAACATTGACATTGTGCAAATGAAGGTCAACATGAGCACAAACATCCCCATCCTCTTCGATGTAAAGGAATGTATCATGTATACAGTGCACATTTGACTCATTTCCCAGTCTTGAGGGTTATGGTGCAGCCTTCCTTCCATGCACTTCCATGGGGCCCTGTGTCTAGGCAGATTATTTCAGTAATGAAATAATGAAATCAAGGCACAGAAGGGCCTTTCAGCCCCTAAATCAATCCATTCAAGATTAGTCCATGCTGGTAAAATTATTATCATATGACAGCCTTGCTTAGGCATGTGTGTGCGCGCGCGCACACAAAGAACATTGTATTCTCTCAGACCAGTTATGATGTCTATATACTGCATTGAGAATCAAAGGCAGTATGCTTCTGAACACCAGCTGCTGAGGAACAATAATGGGAGGCAGCTATTGGCCTCATGTCTTCTGTGGGAAGAGGATGATGGACCAAATAGGCCTTTGGTCTGATCCATCATGACTCTTAATGTTAGTCACCCCTAGAGACAGTCTTTAAAATAAATGAATGAATGAATGAATGAATAGGTACACAAATTGGGTGGCAGGGAATCAGTTTTCAATAACATGTCAGCATTGGGTGTGTGTGAAATAAATCAAAATATTCATTACTGCTATTCTCAACACATATTATCAATATAAAATTTCTACAAGTTAAGCCACTCATAGCTGCAGTACAGAAACTGATTGCTGAATAACCCTGAGAACATAACAAAATGTACTTGAGTAACATTGTGAAGTGCAATACAGGGAAGTCTATTCCACCTTCAGTACCTGTTTTGGTTTGATGTACAAATACCTAACATCTTTGCCCTCAAGGTCATTTCAGTAAAGTGAGATTTAAGCAAAGGTTTTAGTCTATAATTAACTAGCTCTTATTTTGCTGTCCTTTCCGGAATAGCTAGTTTCTCTGGTGAACATAGTAATAATGCTAGAGCTGTTAACCTTTCCAGAGATTGCATTACATTTGATCCTTTATGGCAATAATCCTTCACTTGAACTCCACGGGAATTACTTCTGGGTAGGCATATATAGGAATGGACTGATTTGGTCCCCCAGCTATCACCTTGTGTTCCTTGTGACTGACAGTGCCTCTGACTCACTGACATTATGCACAAAGCGCTGTACTTAAGTCCAGGCACAACCAATCACAGTGAGTGAGTAACTCTAAATCACTTGTAACATACATTTTACTGTTCAGTTTGGAAACTTATTGCCCTCCAGATGTTGGACTACAGCTCCCATCATGCTTGACTGTGGCCCAGTTGACTAGGGCTGATGGGAGTTGGAATCGAACATCACCATTGGAGGAGGAATAGTTTTCTCATCTACCTTAGTGTTTCCATTCTCAAGGGGGCTTCAGCTAAGGCTGAACAATGAATAAAACAGTAAAATTAATTGGTAATTCAAAACAAATTGTATAACAATCAAACAGGAGAATATGGGTTTAAAATCCAAGTCAACGAAAAAATCCTCACCTAGAACTAGAAAGTGATCAAATAGGTACTGGGTGAGCTTCCCTGGGGGGAGCATTCCATGGGGTGGATGCCACAATCAAGAAGTCTCTCTCCCCACGGTCACTGCCTGCACCTCCAGAGGCAGAAGAGCCAGAAAAAGGCCTCAAAGGATGACTGTAATGTAGTCACAGGTTATTGTGAAAGCAGAAGGGCATTCAGATACCCAGATCCAAAGCCATAGGGTTAAACACTCAGCAAACTATCATGGCAGCTTTCAACTGAAACACACAAACACCCCACCCAAAATTCTGATTACAAATCTATGTCATGTCCAGTTTGGCCCTAGTAATAAATGAGGGCTCACACAATATTGACTCTGGAAAGAGATTGTACATACTGTACTGGGGAGAGTGTTTGTTTCTAACATCTGATATAGCATCCCTGAGAAATACAGTTTTGTAATCTGAAAGGTTTTGCCACATGTGCTTGGGAAAATAAATGACTGTAATATGTGTTTTAGGAGTGGGACTGATAGAAGTCTTTGTTTCCCTTTGTATGCCTGAACATGAAGGACTC